ATATAACTGATTTAATAGATTATTGCATCTTACTGAATGAATAAATTTTCTTTCTCTTCTAACAAAATCTATTAACCTTGTGATGAGATTAATATGAAATTATAATATTTATATTTAAATTCTTAACTTTAAAGGTACCTTAAGTATATTAAAATAATATAATATTTTAAACTTTCAATTCTAATTCCAAGTTAAAAGGGTTTCTTAAAATAAGCTATTATATCTCAAAATATAATACATTTTTAGATAGAATAGTCTAAAATTGTCTTAAGTTTATAAAAATTATAAGTTCATAATTTGAAGTAATTTATATATATATATATTTTTAATTTGTTCACTGTAAGAGAAGATAGTTTTTGAAGAATATTCAAATATATTAAATACATAGATTTAGATAACAAAATTAAATAGTGAATTGCTTTTAGGCAAAAGATTGATCCAAATCTCCTTATTATTGTTATTATCAAATATACTTCTAACTTGTTTACATTTACATTATCAATATTTAATCTCCTTTAAATTTCATTTTAAATCTAATATCATTTGATATTATATGAGAGAGAATACAACTGGGATATATTATATTGATAGTTTTCATCTGCTATATGAATATTTACTTTTTTATTATCTTTTATTTAATTCAATGTTTATAATCTTAGTATTCTTATTTTTGTTTTAGTATTTCTACCTCTAAACTATTAAAAATGATAGAAAGACTATTATGAAATAAATAATATATAATTTAATAATGATAATAAATAAAACTTAATCTAACTTGAATAATATCAATTTCAATGATATTATTATTCCAATTAAATTACAACATCTTTCAAGAAGGGTTTAAGGTTAAGAAAATGGCAAAGCTATGCAATTATTAAAAAGCTATAAAAAAATTCCATAAATAACAACAGAATTTCATTCTCCAATAATAGTGAATAGTATAAAATAAAGAAAGGATTCAAATTATTCTTAATAACCATAATAATTAATAGAAAAAGAAAGTAAGTAAATAACAATTGATTCAGAATACATGACAAATCAATATAAATAAATAAATCTTTAAAGTAGTTTACCATAGATTCCATTATCAACTATGAATACTTTAACTAAATTAAATGATTTATCTAGAAGTAGCAATTTGATTTAAACACCTAAAAATAGTGATACTAAAAGATCTTTAGTGAAATCATAATTTAAAACATATAGTAACAATCAAAAAAATAATCTTATCAACAATTCTACGAATACAGGAAGTAGTAAAGATTCACACTAAAATTAAAGCACTTTATAAAAATAAATTTATGCAAAAAATATTATCTATTCTTATTGTGGGAAACCAAGAAAAAGAAAAGTAAATGTTTCTGCCAAAAGTTTTATTGTTTATGATTGTTTTGAGAATAGAATTGTTTCTTAAAGAAAATGTAATAAAAGAATGGAAATTGCTAGTTTAACCAAGATTATGACATTCTACATTACAATGGTTATTTTAGAATAAATTAATCTCAATTATAAAGATATCAAAGTCAAAGTTACTAAAAAAGCCTCAGAAACTATAGGTACAACAGCCGATTTGAAATATAATGACATTTTGACTATTTAAGATCTATTATATGGTTTAATGTTACCTTCAGGTAATGATGCTGCAACTTTAATTGCATAAACCATAGGAACAATAATGTAAATTTATTATAGATTATAAAATTAGATTATTTTATGAATCAGATAAATATTTGGATTATAAATTAATAGATATTGAATAATTGAGTGCTGAAGGTCATTATTATAATTTAGATTTAAAGACTCATTAATGTCCAATTGAAATATTTATTAGTAAAATGAATCATTATTCATATTTGATTGGATAAAAAAATACTTAATTTGCATGTGTACATGGATTGGCTAATTAAGATAATGTATATATAAACCTTATATTAGTATTCTAGTTGTCATGATATTGTTTTATTATCATTAGAGTGTATGAAATATGATACATTTAATTAAGTCATTTCTTGTAAAGAATACATTTCATAAACATAAAATAATAACAAAAGTTATGAATGGAAAAATACAAATAAATTATTAGATAAAGGCTTTTTTGGTATTAAAACTGGAGTAACTGATTCTGCTGGTCCATGTTTAGCAAGTGCTTATCGATCTAATGAAATGGAATATTATATCATTATTGTATTGAGTTGTAAGAATTTGCAACTAAGATTTGATGAAACTATTTCATTGTTATAACATGCAAAATACAAAAAGTCTTTGAATTCAATTATATAATGAATAAACCATATAATTACTTATTCAAATTCATCATTGTTGGAGACACAAGTAAACATTCTAAACTATTAAAGAGGTGTTGGAAAGAGTTGCCTTCTACTCCAATATGTTGATAAAAAATTTAGATAAGATCATGAAGCTACTATTGGTGTTGAATTTGGAGCAAAACAATTGATTATCAAGTCTAAAGTAATCAAAATTCAAATTTGGGATACAGCTGGTTAAGAGTCATTCAGATCAATTACTAGATCATATTATAGAGGGTATTTCTAAATAAATAACATTAGTTCTATTGGGGCCATATTAGTTTATGATGTTACTAGAAGAGAAACCTTTGAAAATGCTACTACTTGGGTTAATGAAATCAAGAAATATGGTAATGATAATATTGTGATCATTCTCGTTGGTAATAAAACAGATTTAAGCGATATGTACAATTTATTATATATTTAAGTCGGAAAGTATCAGAAGATGAAGCAAAAGAAATGGCAAAATAAAATGGTCTTGAATACATTGAAGTTTGTGCTAAATAGAATTATAAGGTTGATGAAGCATTTTAAATAATTACTGAAAAAATATATAAGAAAATTGAGTTAAACTAAATTGATCTATCCAATGAAGTATAAATAATATATAAGTATTTAGAAATGTGGAGTTAAATTAGGCTCTAAAGGAAGTTTTATTGAAGAAAATTAATAAGAAGATTAAAAGAAGTAATCAATATGTTGTTGATAACCTTTTTTATTCATATATAAATTTTATTGATTTTATCATGTCAAAATTTTATCTTATTTTTAAACATATTTTTATTTATAATAGCATAATTTCTTTAAATTTAAATATTACTTATACATTACATTGTTTAGAATAAATTTAATTGAAATCTAGATAGAAATTCTATATAGAAACAAAATAGTAAAGAGAATTGTTTTTAAATACATAGTAATTTCTAGAAACTTTAATAGAAATTATTTAGAGTTTTTAAATAATCCTTTATAGAAATAAAATAATTAAAAATTAAGTGATGCAAAAGACAATGTAAATTTTATTCTCGAAATTTCTCTAGCGCCCCTATAGTAAAATGGGCTTAAAGAAAAGATAATGTGTTTTTGACAGTTGAAGTTAGAGATTTGAAAGATGAAAAAGTTGATTTGACAACAAATTCACTCAAATTTTCAGCTAATGCAGAGGGTGTTAATTATACTTTTGAAATTAACTTCTTCGCTGAAGTATCTGTCGAAGTAATTTAAATAAAATTATAACATTTAGGAAAGTAAATGGACCAATTATGGATTGAATGTTAGATTCATTTTATCTAAGAAAGATAAAACTGCTTCCTATTGGACTAGATTAATCAAAGAGACTCACAAATTAGCATTTTTATAGGTTTGATAAATCTTTTAATAAAAGGTCGATTGGACTAAGTATGTAGATGAAGATGATGAAGCTGAAGAAGGAGGAAAAGGCTTAGATGATTGGGATTAGAACAAATTCTAAAATTTTGATTAAGGTGGTGCAGATGAAGATGATGAAGAGGGTGAAGAAGAATAGCCAAAAGAAGGTATATATTTTATGCATTATATTAGGAAATGTTGATGATTTAGAGAAAGAAGAAGAAGTTTAAAAAAATGATCAAGTACCATAGGAAGGTGAATAAGAGAAATAAGCAAATTGATTAAGATATATTATATCTATGTTTAAATATGAAAATGAATGTTTTCTGTCATATTTTATAATAATAAAGGCTATTGTTAGTTCTTTTTGAATTCTACATTAATATTTAATTAAAACAAATGAAATATAAAAATAATAATATAATATACTTTCATATATCATTTATCTCTGCTATATTTAAGAATTGAAAATAAGATAACTTCATTCTCTGTTTACTCTTCTTTGAATTTTTGATCAAGCCGAGGGTTTAATTTCTCTTTATCTATACCTTAAGTACACAATTGTAAAGTATCCTTAATCTAAACTACTTCTTCATCTGGTTCGAAAACGCAAACTGTAATGAAATTATCAAAGTTAATTCCATATCCACTACCTTTTGCAATCTTTCTTCCTTTACTATCATATCGATCAATCCTGCTTGATTTATATCTAATTTTCTTCCTTTAAATGATAATTGGTTCAAAATCATCAGGCTCTTCAGGTATATCTTCTTAATTCTCCACCTAAGCTCTACTTAGAACCAATTTGGGTCCTAAACAACTCGTTCGCATGGAAAAGGTAATTATTAATATAATAAACTTTCATTTTTGTTAATAAAAAAAAGGAATTTCAATAAATTATAACATTTACATTCAATAAGAGTTTATCGAAGATATACTTTTAATAAAATTAAAGCATTAATAAATGTTTAAATGTAAATAATTCTTATCATTTTTTAAAAATAATTAAAATATTGATAATATTTCTTTCATCATAAGGAATATTATGATTTAAATTAATTTATTCATACTTAAAATCATTAATAATTTACATATATTGATTAAATTTTATTGATCAAATATTTTTTAAATAAATGAGAATAATTTCAATTTTACGAAAATATTAAATTTATACTTTATAATAGTGGGTATAATTGAAATGGATAATAAAGAGAAATAAAAGTAATTTATATATTATTTGTGATTTTCAAAAAAAGAAAGAAACATTTAATAACTAAAAGTCGCTTATCTTAATATTTAAAGAATACTAAAAGTAACATAAGATTGATTAATTATAATATTAGGATTTAGTATGTTAATTATTGTAGGAAGATTTAGAGTAGATAAAAAATAAATATTCCAGATATTATTTAATGTTTTCATTTTTAATTTAATAGAAATTTCTAAGTCTCATTTGATTTAACTGAATAAAGAAGAATTCTATATTTTTAATAATATTTAACATTTTTCTGTGAATTATAGTGTATATAGATTATAGATCTATTATAATATTTTAGATTGATTATTTAATATTATTTATTTAATATTCAATCACTTACAAAATCTTCATCTAATACTATTCCAAAATCATCATCATTTTAATATTCAGTTTCTAATTCTAGTTTTTATGCAATTCTATTTTATATTTAATTTTATTTTTAAGATTTAGATTAATTTAAAGCTGCCTAAAATTCTGAATAATAATTTAATTATTAATTATCTAATTGATTCATAGAATTGTTTTCATGTGATTTATTTGGTTTTCTTTTAGTTTCACTAAATTACATAATTTCATCAAATTATTATTATTCTTTTGTCTTTTTTGGTTATTGTAATGATTTTGAAATCTTATAAAGNAACCAATTTGGGTCCTAAACAACTCGTTCGCATGGAAAAGGTAATTATTAATATAATAAACTTTCATTTTTGTTAATAAAAAAAAGGAATTTCAATAAATTATAACATTTACATTCAATAAGAGTTTATCGAAGATATACTTTTAATAAAATTAAAGCATTAATAAATGTTTAAATGTAAATAATTCTTATCATTTTTTAAAAATAATTAAAATATTGATAATATTTCTTTCATCATAAGGAATATTATGATTTAAATTAATTTATTCATACTTAAAATCATTAATAATTTACATATATTGATTAAATTTTATTGATCAAATATTTTTTAAATAAATGAGAATAATTTCAATTTTACGAAAATATTAAATTTATACTTTATAATAGTGGGTATAATTGAAATGGATAATAAAGAGAAATAAAAGTAATTTATATATTATTTGTGATTTTCAAAAAAAGAAAGAAACATTTAATAACTAAAAGTCGCTTATCTTAATATTTAAAGAATACTAAAAGTAACATAAGATTGATTAATTATAATATTAGGATTTAGTATGTTAATTATTGTAGGAAGATTTAGAGTAGATAAAAAATAAATATTCCAGATATTATTTAATGTTTTCATTTTTAATTTAATAGAAATTTCTAAGTCTCATTTGATTTAACTGAATAAAGAAGAATTCTATATTTTTAATAATATTTAACATTTTTCTGTGAATTATAGTGTATATAGATTATAGATCTATTATAATATTTTAGATTGATTATTTAATATTATTTATTTAATATTCAATCACTTACAAAATCTTCATCTAATACTATTCCAAAATCATCATCATTTTAATATTCAGTTTCTAATTCTAGTTTTTATGCAATTCTATTTTATATTTAATTTTATTTTTAAGATTTAGATTAATTTAAAGCTGCCTAAAATTCTGAATAATAATTTAATTATTAATTATCTAATTGATTCATAGAATTGTTTTCATGTGATTTATTTGGTTTTCTTTTAGTTTCACTAAATTACATAATTTCATCAAATTATTATTATTCTTTTGTCTTTTTTGGTTATTGTAATGATTTTGAAATCTTATAAAGTAATTTCTTCAATCTTTCTTCACATTAAGGTACTGAGAATCCTGTTTCTTATTCAAAATTGCTTAATGGAATTCCATAAAATGCATATCCTAATAATCTTGCATCTTTTTCATTATTCCATTTATGTAATTAATTTGCTAAACCTTTTTATTTAAATTAATCTTAAATATATTTTGGATATCTTTCAGGTATTCTCTTAAATATTTCACTCCAATCTCCATTATATAATTCATATAAAAATAATAACAACTCTTCATCTTCTTTATACCAATATTAATTTAACAGCACTAAATCTTTATCTTCACCTTCTAAATTTAAACATGAATCTCTTATTTTTGCAAATCTTCTTTTACATGATGCAATATCTTTTGTTTTAACAACTTTTTATACCATTTCCCAATCTTTACCTAATTTATCAACCATTTATAATAATAAAATATCTTCATTTAATTCCCAAATAGGTTTAGGTTTTTGATTTATAAGATTCTTATATCTCTCTTCTAATAATGGTTTAGATTTAATATTCATCACTTTTGCAATCTTATCCCAATCCCTTCCATATATTTCCACTCCCTATAATAATTAATTATCTTCTTATTTTGTCCATGTTCTTCCAGGCTATACCTTTTTCATTTATAAATACTATTCTTAATTAAGATTTAATGTTTAATTCATATTCACTAAATATTACAATGCAATTTAATAATATCATTGAATTTATTAGAAACTCAATTGATATTGATATATTCAATTTAAAAATATAAAACTAATATAGTCAATCTTTTTTATTAAATTAGAATAACTATTAAACTTTCAATCATTAAATATAATAATTAATGCATATCTTTAATAAACATACATTATTTATATATAAATCAAAATAAAATCATCCTCTTTTTTTTTGTTTTTTATTGTTGTCTTCTTCTTCAATTAAATCTAATGCTTCTTATTCTATTGATTAAGGTTAGTAAACATATGGTTGTGGTTTCAAAATTTCAAGTAATCCATTTTCACTGAATAATAAATAGTAATCTTTTAATTATTTAATATGTCTAATTTATTCAGTAGAATTGGTTCCATATAATGCAACTATCTATTATTTTTCATTTTTTTAATATATTTCCTTTCCATTACAGATAAAATATTTAAATTCATTATCAGCCATAACATCAATTAAGTAATCTTCATGAAATTCATCCTATCATTTATTAATAAATATTACATTTTTAATAGCTTAGAATTAATAGAGTTTTTAATCATTTTATTAGTCTAATATTGTAATTTAATTTGTGGTTGTAACACAATAACATAAATTATTCCAATATCCACAAGAATTTAAAGGTTAATCAAATCTAATCATCATTTATAATGATTCTTCTTCATTTTATTAAGTCAAATCATATGAAACTAATAAACCATCTGTTGAACATGATAAAAGTTATGTTTAAACTTAAGGATGAAAATTCAATGAAGATAATTCTTCATTTTAAGATGAATCAAATCTAGATCTCCATTTCATAACATTTAGATCATAAAAATCAATTCTTCCATCATTTCCACCTGCTAAAATATGTTTAGATTTAGCAATTGAATAAAATTCTTTTTCGTTCTTAAATTAATGAATTTATTATTTAGATTGTAAATCAAATACTTTAATTGTTCTATCATTTGAGCAAGTGAATGCTATATTGTTTTCAACTATTAATTGCTATATTCTTTTTTAATGATGATTCTTTTGTTCCCAAATAACTTATTATGTATTTAAATCAATCCATTTCAATGAAAAATCAGTCATAGCCATTAATACAGTATCATTAATTATTTACAAAGAAAGTGGAAACTTTAATTATAAGTTACTGATACTTCTTTATCTGATATTTACAATTGATTAACAGGTGAATGCTTTACTTTAATTTAATCCATAAATTAAATTTATGAAATAGAAGGAAAATAATGAATCAGATGAACTTCTAATATTAGCATAGAAATCTAAATTATTAGTACCATAATTTAAGAAAAACCAATAATAATGTGATTTGTATCAAATTACATTAATATTACTTTAAGTTGTTAAAAATAAATGACAAAATACTCATGTCTTAAATGTAATAAAATGTATTGTTCATTGGATTGTTATAAAACTCATAGTGAAACATGTACATAGTCATTCTAAAAGGAACATGAGATATAAAAAATGAAATAAATGAAGGCTTCTTTTGATGAACAAATTGAGATAAAAAAAGCTCTTAATCAATTCTATGAAGAAGTAAATTAATAATTCAATAAAGTCTAAAGATTAAAATATTATTCCAATAAATGAGGAAGAGATAAATGAAAGATGGGAAGAATTATAAGAATTATATGACTAAGGGACATTGAATTTAGATTAATTGACACTGGTTGAATAACATGAATTTGCCAAATTTATTTAAGAAATAGTAATACAAGAACCTTGGATTCCATGGTGGGAAGTTAATGATGTAAAGATTAATCAATATAAAAGGGAATATTTTCATTGTATATTGATGTATTAGATTAAAATTAAAATTAAAATTAAAAGATAAATAAAGATATTTATGAAAATACTTATCTTGAATTTAGATCAACTTTAAAGTAAAAAATATAAACTGTAGTATCTTTCGATAAATTATGTAAATTCTAACATGAAGATTTAAGAAATCATCTATTTAATATAATGTAATTCTTACTTTTATCTTAATTTAGTGCTTCTATATCAATAATAGCAAAGGTTCTAGATGGAGATATCATTGAATTAAATAGAGAATTCTATAATATGTTTATTACACTCAGCTACTCAATGGATGATAATACTTCATTAATTGGAAATTTAGATCTATCTTATAAAAAATTAAAGGAATATGCTCATAAAGTAGATAAAGGATTAATTTTGCCATATATTAATAAAGAAGACTTAATTAAAATATTCTCTGACAAATTTTTTGTTATTGAAATTTTATTTTATGCTTATGATGCAATTCATTCAATTGAACATTAAGCATAAAATGAAGATAATAGTGATTCTGTAGAAAACAAAAATTTAATAAAAACACTAAATCTTAAAAAATAAAAACTACTTTTTTATATTTCTTATTCTTTATCCAAAAATCATGAATTCTATTGGTAAATAAGAACTTAGATCAAAGAATTGAATGAGTGAATATATAAAGAATTAATATAATCAACAATTACTACTGATTTCAAATGTTTCTTTGCTTTCATCATCTGTCTAATCCTAAATTTTAAGTTCAACATGAGGGGAATTAATACCAGCCTCTTCTCTTAATTCTATTTCCTCAAAGTCACAATGATTTATTGTATGGGTTCTAGGAATTTCGAGTTATTTTAAGATGTTATCTTAATTCAAAACCATAGATTAGGAAAGAATCTATTTTTTTGAATTTTTACGTGAATGTTAATTTTTCAACATAAATTACTAATATAATGTTGAAACAGGTCGAACATCAGATTACTTAAAATAAAAATAAATTTACTTAACTAAGCCAAATTAAAAATGGTAACAATTAATCTAATTCTTTGTCATTTTTATCCGAAATAAAATCTTTTATTAAAAAACCATTCTCTGGTTAAAATAGAAATGATGTTTAGGAATTCTTATAAAAATCTAATTTAGTTACATCTATAATTAAAACTTCTTTCAAACTTCTTCCTAATTTGTTTAGATTTTTTGTAAGTCCTCCTTTAATTGGAGTACAACTTTCTCTATATAGCCTTGTTTAAATCCTTCTTTATGGATCAATTATATCCATAACAGGATCAGCATACTCTTTTAAGCTAGCAGTCCATAATACAATGTCAAAATACTCACTTAGGGATTCTATGAAGGTTTCTACACCTGGTCTAACTGTAACATATACTTTAAATAATTGACTTTATACAATTATCTAACATATTTTCAATATTACATCAAGTAAAAAATCATAACCATTTTCTGCTTTAAATTAACTATGTACTAATGTTTCATCTAAATCTAAAACACAAAGTTTTCTGGTCTCATATTTAAATTAATTTAACTTACATGTGATTTTGGAGTATCAATACCTAATTAATATCTTTCATTAGCTCTGACGTTCTTCTTTTGAAAAAAATAAATGCATGAACACAACTATTCTATAATCGAAGGTTTTTTCTCTTTTTACTCTTATTACTACTAATATATAATGTCATTGTTATTCATCCTGAAATATTTAAATAATGAATTAAAATTAGAATGAGGAAGGTAATATATTAATATATAAAAATAGCTCCAAAAAAGCATTCCATCACTCTCTGTACAGGAAATGTAATTATTTTATAATCATATAGAAAAATAAACTAAAGGAATTCATTCAAATTATGGGAGATCAATTTCATATTGATTCTGAACCTGTAGATCGTATTGTTTTATTGTAATAAATAAGTACCTGAGTTATAAGGACCACCTCTTTTAATAGCAAAAGAAAAAGCTATACTTGCTTATGAAAAATTAGGAAAAGCATGTGTTACAGAGGATACTTCATTGTGTTTCAATGCTCTTAATGGAATGCCTGGTCCTTATGTGTAAAATTTGGTTAATTTTTCTAAAATAGGAAATGGTTTTTGGATGCAACAGGACCAGAGGGATTAAGCAAAATGTTAGATGGATTTGATGACAAGACTGCATATGCTCAATGCATTTTATCATATATGGGACCAGAATTAAAGGAACCAATATAATTTGTTGGATAAACTCCAGGAGTTATTATAAGACCAAGAGGTCCTGGACATTTTGGTTGGGATCCAATTTTTTAACCTGATGGATATACAGAGACGTATCGATAAGAATTATTTTAAGATATGCGGAAATGGATAAGGATGTGAAGAATAAAATATCTCATAGACATAAGGCAATCCAAAAATTCATTGATCATTTTCTAGTAAATTGAGTGGTATAAAACAATGTGTTTTATGATAAAATGAAATTTCATTATTTATCTAGAAGATCTGCCATCGTATACAATCTTCTAAAAGACTTTTGATTTGATTTTGGTTTTTCTTCGTTAGGATCAATCATCTTAATTTAAATTTACTTGTTAAATGAAACTATTTTCTTTCCAGGACTAATCTTTGGTGAATAATCTTCTTTTTGAATTGGTTATAAAGAAACTTGCTTATTATGTTTTAACATATTCAGATTGGATTTTTATTATTATTATTATTATTTAAAATCTTAATTATCAAGTTCAAAGAAATCAAATATATTAATATGTTCTCGACTGTTTGAGCTTTTTCTTTTGAGAATACTTTTTAATTGCATTTGTTAATCTTAAGAATTATCTTCTTTTTTAAAGATATTGCGATGAGTTTATTCATATTATTATTTGGTAAATGGTTTGAGTATGGATTACTTTTTTTCTTCTCTAAATATCTCTCTAATAAGTTCTTTTCGTTGTAATTCAATTCTAGAAGTGTATTATTCAACACCTGGTTCAAGATTAGTAATTTTATTCAAATTGAGTAAATCCATACCTTTGGAAGGATTGAAGATGGTGTTTTATTGTTTTCGTAATTAATTGGAAGAGGGAGTTTGAATAATTTCAGGGAGAAAATTGTTACTTTTTGAGGATGGTCTAGATATGAGACTTTGCTTTTTGGTTTCCGATCTTAACAATGCTTGAGAAATCATTAAATAATTAATTAAGAGAGGAGTCAAGGGATTAAATATTATAGATATTAAAATGACTCTAAAAAGTTAAAGTTAATGTAATTAGTGATAGAGATTGGATTTTAGTAATAATTCTGATATGATAAGAATTTCATTTTTCTGTAAGCTCTCTGTATCCTTTCCAATCATGTGGAGCTTTCCCTCCATGAGAATGGATGACCTCTAAAAGAGTGTTCGATGGACCATCCTTGTGATCATGAACCATATACTTAAAGATATAAAGGAATGTATACCAAAGTTTTAGAAAATAGAGATTAAGCAAGATCCCATTAGCCTTTGATGTAGAATTGGAAGCCCTCTTGCCAAGCCTAGTAAAATTCCTAAACATGAAGATATATAAGAAATTACTTTTGTATAAGGTTCTCTGGCATACATGATTTCTTCATCAGTATTAAATTAATCTGCAACATTGATTTTGTCCTTAGATACATCCTTTTAAAGTTAGTTTCTCTTGAATCTGTTGAGCACTCTGAATTACTTTTACTCTTATTAATTCATTTTGCTCATGTCAAATTTATCTTATAAATCTTTGGTTTTTGCTAGCAAATTCTTAATTGACATATCAATAGTATGAATTTCGACAGGTTCAATGCTGCCTTTCACAGTAACAATATCAATGAGTCTTAATTATTTTTAACATTGTTCAGTGAGATTTTATTTTAAGATTCCACTAATTAGAATGACAGAACCAAATTATTTAGTAGCAGCTTCTAATCTAGATGCCAAATTAACATTCGGACTTAAATAGGATGCATCAATTTTAAAGGAAGATCCAATTGCACCTTCAATTCCCCATCCCATATGTAATCCAAATCCCATTTTTACTGAATAATCCTTCATACGAGCATTTAATCCAGCATGTTTCTTATACTTTTCTAATTTCTTAGAAATTGAGATTGCTGTAATAATCTTTAAAAATGATAACACTGCCATATCACCCTTCTATTTAATATGATGTTCAGATCGAACCACTAGTTTGGATGGTTATTAAGGATCTGGATGATATTCCATTGGAAAATATTTCCAAACTAAAAGGAATGCATCACCTATATTTTTATTTGCAGATCCTCCATAACTGTCAACAGTAGAATGAACAATTTCAGCAATCTCATTAACAAATACCATAACATCTTATTATAGTACTTCTGTAGCATCAGTGAAATTTCTAATATCACAAAATCCAAATATAGCCATAATCTTTTTACCAGGTAACATAGGATCAACACTACCTCCTTTTTTAATGTTTTCAGCTATAATTTCAGATCCAGCTTCACCAAATCCTACAGCTAACAATGCACCTACTTTCATTATTAATCTCTAAAGAATATATGTTTCCATTTTCCTTTCAATATATTTCTATTTAATTTTTTCATCATCTTCATCTTTTTCTAATTGTTCCATTATAAGATCTTCTTATTCTTCAATGTAGACTGCTTCTAATGGATTTTAAGCTATTAATTCTATCTTCTGCATCATTCTTTCTATAGGCTCTATCACTAATTCATTAACATCCTTATTAAATAAAACTGCACTAGCTGCTAAGACTATGCATACAAATATAGTTTAAAAGATTGAGAGAATAGCATTGATTTTATTATATTCAACTAAATCAGCCACAGAACAAGTTACCAAAATATCATTTGAATCTATTGCTGCATAATATTATTTATCTGATTATCTATATTCGTCTATGGCATAATTTGTTTCTTAGAACCAATTATGATTTTGAGAATAATTGAATATTTCGAAATTGGAATCATTAAGTTTAGGAGAATTTTCTGTTACATTTTGCCTTAAAACAAAAACAGCAAGAATAGGATAGATCTCATCTTAATGGAATCCAACATATTATTTTGTGAGACTTAAAACAATCTAATAATTGTCCTTAAACTATGCAATTCTAAAGATACCTGAATCATAAGAATTTATCGTCTCCTAATAAGTATCAAGCTATAAAACAGGAATACTTATTAAAATGGATAAAACTATTGTTATGACTCTTCTCATCACCAAATCAGATAATCTAGTTCCAACATTACTCTCCTTTACATTCTCACTGCTCGTTAAAGATATCTAACTAGACTTTAATTATTCATTTATTGTGATTACAGCATTCACATTAGTTTAAAATTGATTTGATTATTGATTAGATTATGCAGACATTTATGAAACTCCTATCTAATTATTTTAAGGAACTTGCTATTGTTGTATTAAACCAATATAAGGTTGTTTACTTTCAGTAACTAATTTTTATTGTTCATTAAGTTCTTATCCATCATCATTAGATTTAAAATGTTATCTACCTGATGGAGGAGGAGATGGATAAGAAGAGTTTCTCTATATTTAATATTGTTAATGAGGAGTACTATTAATTTATTATTATTATTATTATTATTACTATTATTATTATTACTATTATTATTACTATTATTATTATTATTATTATTATTATTAGTATTATTATGACTATGATTATTATTATTACTGTTTTTAATTTTCTTCACTTATAAGTTTGTTTTATTTGAGAATCTATTAAAGAATTTTTTTTTATTGTTCTTTTTCGTATTATTATCTTGCATGTTTATATAATTTTACTAATCTTACTAAACGGATTATTCTAATCACTCTTGCCGCCTTTCTAGCCACTCTGGAGGCCCTTCCCAATGCTTTTATTGTGGCAGCATTCCCGATATCACCTTCTTCTCCATACCACAAATCAGTGATCCAACCAATATCTAAAATCATTGTTGCTGTTGAAATTACATCCAAAAAAAAGTAAAACTAATAAAAATCAATAGGAACTATCTACATACATTCAAAATATAGTTTGGATTTATTATAGACGTCAAAATTATTTCAAGTGAGAAAAAGGACATACTTATTATAGTTAGAATAAAAAAGATGTCATCTTCTGTTTTGCCAACTGATAAAATTCTTATATCATCTCCAAATAAAGCATAAAGAGTTACTATGGCCATAATTATAGAAAATGTCCACCCCTCAATCAATTAAGAAATCCATTTCTAATATGCAGGTATTTATTTAATGTTTTGCAATTTCGAAAGTCTAGCCATTATTGTGCTATTCAATCTCCTAGGAGGTTTTTTTCTCTGTTCATCGTTTCCACTTTAATTAATCCCTAAATTGGAGCCTCTTGCACTTTTTACACTTTTTATACTATGTGGACTTTTATTAGATCGCAGTTCATTAAAGTCAGCCACACTTGAAGGACTTCTCACTTTACGAACTTTGCCATCATTTTCAATCTCCTCATCTCTATTTATGTCTTTCTTTACAAGAGGGTTACCTTTCTGTTTATCAGTCAACTTTTACATTAAATTATTAAATGTACTAAAAGGGTTCATATATTATAAATATCAAGCTAATTGATCCTATTTCAATATAAAATGAGTCTCAACTAGTTTGAAATTTATTATAAGTTTAATCCTAACTATTGTATCGTTTTTGTTCATTAAATAATTTCCATAAACTCTGACTCTAAATTCAAAGCTTATAGGTTCAACATTAAATTTAATTTTTAATATACATTGATCATGAACAACTACTTGCTGAATGCATTCTTAGAAATTTTATATTTGTCTTAAAATAGTAATATTTCACTTTACTAAATTTATTAAGTCTTACAACAATATCAATGCATTCAAATTTTAGATGGTATCAATTTTATAAACATGAACTTAATATGTAAACAAACTAAATTTTTATATAAATAAGAGATTGAAGTCTTAAAAAAATATTTAATGTAAAATTCATGAAAGTGAACCATTAATCTTAACAAAATGCTGAAATTACCTACTTATCTCTCAATGTAAATCATTTATTTATAAATTTTAAATGAAATATCGAATTCTAACCATTAGAATGATTGTATCAGTTATTTAGAAAAATTTAACTCATATGATGATGAGCATTAAATACTTTATTTGAATAGATTGAATAAAAATAGAATATGCTTTTATTGCAACAAAATACTTTTTTGAGATTCAAGATGTTTAAATAAATTTATGTAACTTCGCACTGTATATGATTCTATTCTAAAGTCTCAGCTAATTAATTTCAAATCTTTATAGTTTAGAATATATTGAATCATATATTAAAAAAAATATTCATTAATCACTCTTTATTTAAAATAGAGAGAATAAAACAAAATTTATTCTTTTTTGAATGATAATTTAATTTATGATACTTTAAAAATAATAAGGAATCTGCATTTAATCAATTAATAGCAATGTAATTTAATAAATTTTACTAGTTAAAATATTTATTGATTTTTAAATGTAAATACATTTTGGAATAGAAATAAAATAAAATTAAAGAGATTTTCTAAATAATTTTATATTTATCATAATTATTTTAAATGTAGCATAATTTGAGATAATAGTTATATATTGATATGATTATTAATTTAAAGAAGTATTATAAAGATCAAAAACTTTAATTTAATGGATTAATAGTAAGAGTCAACTTTTGTTTGATTTAATAATTAATATTTTTAATTGGGTTTAATTTTGCAATATAACTAATTTAACTAAATTCTTGATATATATGAAATTTATAATAAAATTAATGAAAAAAAGCCAAGTGATAAGGCCTAACTCCAATCATAAAAATGATATAAAGAATAATCAAATCTACATTCCAAAGGTCTCAAGCATGATAATTTCAGAAAAGATAATGTAGAATTTACTTAGAACGACTTCTGGTAATCCACTACCAAAAAATTCACCTAACTAAAATATGAGTCCTACTAAAAAGAACTATATATAAAGTCCTATTAAGAATTAAAAGAATGTTTAACATTCAAATTCTCTCAATAGTTAAATTAATTATGTCGTCACAAATTCAATCAGGTATTAAAACCCTTCAAATAAATCTTATTTGTCAAATAGTTTTACTAAAATTCCTACTAAAAGTGGGTAGAGAGTATGCTAAATCATAACAAAAACTATGAACTTATCTTCATTGATAAAATATGATCAAAATTCTATCCCTTTGCATAAACTAATTACTAAAATGAAAAATAAAGGTAAAGATAAAAGATCGATATCTTAATTGCCTACAATGTCAACAGAAAGAGTAGTTCAAGAATCAGAGAGATAACAACAAAAGAGGAAAAAATCAGTTCGATTTCATGATAAAGTAGAATATCTTGTAATAGGATGTTCAAAAGGAATTGAAGAATACAAGTATAAGTTCTTTGAACCTCTGGATCAAGAATCTGTACATTTATGACATGTATTTAATTATATATTAATTAATTTGTATATATATAAAATTTTAAATTGATAATCGAGTTTAAATTAAGCTCAAAATAATATAAGTAATTTTTATATTATTAAATGTTTGTATGGAAATGTTTTGGATTCAATTAATGAAGCAGTGTATAATAAATAATTATCTAATTAGATAATGGATAAAAACAATCCAAACATAAAAGAATATATATTATCCTAATTAGGAGAAGATCCAACTGAAGAGGCAATAAAATAAGTTGCTGAAAAAACTTAAGTATTACCAATATTGATCAAATAATGGTTACACTTTTATAAAAGGAATAATTAATCATAAAATGTCATAGATTTATAATCACAAAAACTTGAAAGTGTTCCAAAATTTAATGGAAAATTTGATCAATATTATGATGTTGAAGATCCTAATTATGAAATAAAACAAAAGAAATAATTTATATCAGATAATCATTAGAAATTAACACCTTAAGAAGATAAAACAATAGAAAAATAATTGAAAGAAGTAGAGAAAGAAATAAAAAAGAGAAAAAAATTATTGAAAACAGATAAGAAATAAACAGATCCATATTTCAATGAGCTTTATGGATCAGATGAATTAAATTAAGAATCCAAAATCTATGATAAATAGCAATTTAACTTAAAAGAATAATATATTAATGTTCCCATTTATTACATGATCAAATTAGAAGAGAGTCTTATGGAATAAGCAATTAATATCCATTAAAAAATAGTAAAAATCATAGAGGCAAAATATGATTATCTTAATTTATTATGAGTTTCTAATAATTATATAAAAATGAATTCAGCAATTGATGAATAAAAAATGAAATAAACAACATCTAAGTTCTCATTTAAACCTACTGTCTTACCCTAAATGATGTCTACTTGTAAATTAAGTAGGTTTCCAATGGATGGAAAATTAGGTGAATCATTTCAAGAATCAAATAAAAGATATAACAGATGGTATTTCAGAATTCAAACCCAAACAGAGAAACAAGATAAGGTTGAAAAAGATAAAGGAATTGAAGTACATTTATTTTTTATTAATATAATAAGGATGTTTATATTTAGATGCAAAATAATCAAGAAGAAATTTGTGAAGATATGAAATAAAAAGACTTGGTTGGGCCAGATTCCATTAAGAATTATTACTAAACCTATAAAAAAATAAATAGAATCAAAGAGTAGAATAATCTCTTTACAATTTAAAGTAAGATAAGATCCAGATTAATTTAGACTCTGTCCAAACTAATCTCATAATAAAATCAGAACAATTAAGACTATTACCTTGTAAGATGGGATTAATAAAACAAAAAGGAGAATCAAAAGTACTGAGTATATAAAATCATAAATATGGTGATAAATATGTTGAAGTACTATCAGAAGGTTTAAGAACTCTCCCTGTAATTTAGGATTTCAATTTCAATTCAAACAGAATTAAAGAAAACGGTGCTTCATTGATATTACCTTTAATTTCAAAATAAGCGAGATCTATAGAAATGGTATCGAATATAATTGGAAAAAAAGGATTAGAACCAGTATTAAATGTGCTTCCATCATAGAATTGCAAGTATTTATATCTTCATGAATTTTAAGAATCTAAATCTTAAATTTAGAAGATAATTAGTTGGGTGATATTTTAGCTTAAGAACTCTTTAAAGCTATATAAAAAAATAATACTGTTAAATTACTTAATTTATCTAAAAATCAAATTAATAATGTTTCACATACTTTTATTAAATAAATGATTGAAACAAATGACTCTTTGGAAGAGTTGTATCTTCATTGGAATTTAATTAAAGGAAGTGGAGGTGCTGAAATTTTTAAAGCATTGATTCCTAATAAAAACATAAAAGTTTTAGATTTGTCATATAATTTATTAGGATGTGGTGGTTCAAATTTAACACCTATTCTAAAATAATTTTTTGAAGAAAATAAAGAAATGCTTCATTTAGATTTATCAGCAAATTAATTTAGTTTAGCAGATAGTCAATCAATATCAGAATCTTTAAAGGAAAATCACACAATTTATGGTTTTCATTTTTCTGGCAATTTTGGATATGTAGATTCAAAAGGATTCTTAATAATTAAAGATGATATGAGAAATTTCAATTAAATTCATACAGATTATAGAATTAGAGGATGTGAAACTCATAGTAAACCATATTCAAAAGGTCCAAGATCAGAAAAATTAATGGATATATGTTGGATTTGTGATGGTTGGTAGGGTTAGAAATTTGAATGGATTCCAAGTAATATTAATCTTTTAATAACAATTAGATAAAAGTGGAAATGCATCAGAAGAACCAATATTTATTCATTTTGATTTTGAAGGATATGAAGCTATATTTTTAGGGAAACCAAATGAGAATGGTATTTATTCAACAAATAGAATGGTACCAACAGGAGAATTAGATTATTTTTATACTGGATGTTAGTTATAAGTGGCAAGTCTAACTGAACCATTAAAAGTTCATAATGAAAAATTTAGAGTAAGGACTAAAATAGCTGATTAAATAATAGATGTATTATTGGATGAAACAAATCATTAAATCATAAATAAAGGTAAACCAGTTATATAAGATTGGGAACAAAATTATGATATAAAACCAAGGACTTGTGATCCAATATATATTCCAGCTAAATTGAAAAAATAAAAACGTGTATGGTCATTTCCTATATCAATTTGGGCACCTAAATATAAATTTGATACAGAGGAGTTATTACGTAAATGTTTTGAGAGAGATTGGAATTGTTCTAAGATAACAAAATTTGTTAAGAAAACTGAAGAATAGGAATAAATCAAAGAAATGTTATGGCAATCCTATAAACCAATAAGAGAGACTTATAGATATTATTCAGCTATAAATCCAAGTGGTGATGTATTTTCTATGTCTTAAAATCCAACTTCTGAATTTGTGAATTAATGTTAATTAATAGATGGAAAATAAATGAAATTGGCTGATGTTGATTTAAAATTTATAGCTACTTGTAGTGCATCATAATCTGATTGGAAAGGTAACTTTAGAAATCCTGAGAGATATTTAGTTAGATATTAGATGATGGAATTTTTGGTAAGATTATCAGAAGATAAATACATAAGAAATTAACCTGGTTCTCCATCATTTGTTTAAGCAACACGTATGATATTAGATTAGTGTTTACCTCATATGTCTTAATTTGATTCTCATAAATGGAGAATGGAAAGATATTTTATAGAATAATGTGATGATGTATGTAAAAAATACAAATAAGTAATTGATTATGTTTATATGCATAATTCATAAAAAAAAGTAAAACCAGGATAAGCTCCATTTATGTGTCTAGATGAATTAAAGGATGTATGTAATAAGGCAAATCTATTTGATGAGAATTTTGTTGAAAGAGATGTTAATTTAGCATTTTGTTTATCTATGTTGACTTAAGTTGATGAATTAGAAAGTGATAGATTATTTTAAATGTAATGGATAGAATTTATGGAAGCATTGGCAAGAATAGCTGATAAATACTCTCCAATAGGAATTGGAAAGTAAAATGAAGTATATATTTAATATATTTGAAATAGAAAGAATGGACTTATGAATAAAGGTTTGCATAACCTCTGTACTATAAATTAGAAGCTTTTATGATTCATTTGATTCATACTTCAGTTGATGAAGAAACTAAAAAGAATTGGAAGATACCAATAGTTTCGATGTTCGATTTAATTGAGGAAGATGATTAATGATAATATTTTATACTTATATTTAACTGAATTGAGTTACAACTAACTGGTGCAATTATGAATAAAATAATATAAATTAAAGATTTAGTGACAAATATTGTTAATGGCTAATTTTCTTGAGTTCCTTAATAGCTTAGGCTAAATCAAATAGATGGAGATTCCTTTTTATTATAGGAATTAGTTTAAGATCAAGGAAAACTTTATAAATCCAAATAGCAAACATTTTGAACAAATTGCTTAAAAGTAAATAATAATTTAAATAAGACTCTTATCAGAAGACAATAAAGGATTAAAAAGAAAATGGGATAAATAATGCAAGATGTTATTTATATGGGTTATAGTCAAATACTTTTAAGTTAGAAATAAAAAAACAATTAATCCCAATTTAGAAGAATGGTAAGAATTATCATAAATATTCAATTTTGATGAAGTGACTCTGAAATAACGATGGATTACACTAATAAATCCAATGACAAAAAGTTTGAATTGGGAATCAGAAGAAGATAATATAATAAGATCATTAATGATGTATATATTATTTGCTTAAATTTCTTAATTTTAGATAATAAGAAGAAAAACATATATGGACTTAAATTGCTTTAGAGCTATATAATCATAATAATGGATAATATGTTAGAACACCAAAATAAGTTAGAGAAAGATGGATGAATTATTTAAATCCCAAATTAAATAAGTAAACTTTATTTTTAACAATTTAATTAGATCTAGTTGGACTGATTAAGAAGATAATTAATTATTGTAAATCGTAGTGAATAGTGGCAAAAGATGGTCTTTAATTTCTACATTATTGTAAGGAAGAACTGAAAATTAAGTAAAAAATAGGTATATATAATATATTGATACTTATTTTAGATTTAAAAGTCTTATTCATAAAATCTATAGAGAAGAAGATGATGATGAAATTGAAGAATTAACAGCTATTAGATAATATTTATCTAAATAAATTTCAGATGTTATTAATTAAGATAATCCTTCATTAAAATCAATAAAAAATGAAGTAAAAAGTGAAGAGTCTTAATCTAATAATATCAATATATAGAAATTAAAAAAAAAGTAATAAATAAAAAATCAAGATGAAAAGAAATAATAGATTTAAATTAAAAAGAAAAAAGTTAAGGTTATTGAGAATCTATAAATAAAAAATGAAATCGATTAAAAATTATAATCTTAAATTCAATCCATCAATCAATAATTTTGCTTATCTACAAATGGAAATTGTGACACTTAAAGCTAAGAGAATAGAAAAGGTATATCTAGTTCTCATTCTTAAGGATCCATATAAAACCAAGAATTTGAATGCAAATCCTAATAAAATATCTAATCCTAATCTAAATGTTCATACTAATCACTTTCATACAATGGATAAACATAAATGAAAGAAACATTACCTTAATATACTGGATTCAGACCATATACAAATGATATTTGCAATGATTTATTCTAATAAACACCTTGTTAAATTAATAGATTAGGATTTGGGATTAAATAATAATAATATCCCTTCTAATAGTTATCACCATTTCAATAATAGATTTAATAAACACCTATAGTTTATACTCCTCTTTATTTATATAATTAATAATTTATGGCATAATCTCCCTACAAGAGTCCAATTTTATCACCACATATATGGATGTAATAATAATAATAATAATAATTAATATAATAATAATAATATGAGATTGAGATTCAGAATGAATAATTAAAATAGGAATAGTTTGTATTTATATATATTTGTATTAATTTAGAATAATAGATTAGAATTTCTTTAAGGATAAGATTTAGTTTCTAAATGGAAAAATAAAAGAGTATAAGAAAAATAAAATTAGTAAGAACTAAATAAGATTATAGATCAATGAAAATTGTTTATAATAACATATCTTATTACACTATCTTGTTTCTACTTCTGATATAAGAATATCATTATATTTTTAATTTCTTTTCTATATTTAATGAAATAATATCATTGACTTTTCTTAAGTAATTGATCATAAATAATTACTCTATAGCTTTAAATAATATTTAATTCATTCAAATACATAAAACGATAACATATTTATTTTTGCATTAATTTTATCTTTTTTTAATATTAATTTCATGATACCTTCAGAAAATGAAGATTAGTTCTCTCCTAATTCTCAGTTAATTATTTTATTTATATTACAGACATAAACAACAGTTAAACGACTCTAATCAAAAGTAAAAAGAATCCTATAAAAAATATGCAGTTATTGACTAATCAAAAAGAGTGTTATTGTTAAAAAAAATATTATCAAAAGAATCTACAATTAAAGAAGCAGCAAAAGAATTTGGAGTTAATTTTAGTACAGCCAAAGCTATTTTACAAACTTATAGAAAAGAAGGACGCATTGGTAAAAAGAAAACAAGAGAGAGAAATAAAAAAGAGAAAAGTGAACCAGAATTTAGTGTTTGCAGTTTAAGAAAAGTATAATCCATGTATGATCTTGAAAGAGAAGTCTAAATTCCTTAACGAAGCTTTTCTCCAGATTTAAAAGTATTCAATTTAAATTCATCTAGGCATCTGATAAACATATTACAAAAAGTATCTTATAATAGCAATCCTTATTGTTAAACAGATAAAAAATATAGCCATAACAAATTACTAATAATGAAGATCAAAATGCTTAAAATGCATTAGCAATTTGTCAAAGAGAATTAGAAAAATAAAAATTAGTTAATATGCAATTGGCTTTAATGATATAAGTAATCATTACTATTATTATAATCTATAGAATTATTAATTATGTGGATTTTAGACTAAGATGTAGGAAATAAAGGAAGAAGATGATAAAATTAACTGAGTTTATCATTGAAATTCTGAATTATTGTTATTGCAATTAATAATTTTTATTCATAAATTATAATTATATATAAAAGAAAATGAAAAAATAATAGCTTCTAGTAAATGTTAATGAAATGGATTTAATTTTAGATAAAACTTCAACTTAAGGAGCTCTATGGTTGGGTAATCTAAAAGCAGCTCAAAATATTAAATAATTAAAAGAAAATAATATCCAAACAGTCATAACAGTGGCCAATAATATAATTGTAAATTTCAAAAACTCTCTAAACATCTCTCACAAAGTAAAACTTATTATGAAGTCAGATCTATAGAGTTGAAGATACAGAAAAAGCACAAATAATAGAATATTTTGATGAAATTATCAAAGAAATTTCGACTGGGTTAAATAATGGTTCCGTTTTGGTACATTGTGCTGCAGGTATTTCAAGGTCTAGTGCATGCATAATTGCTTATCTAATGAAAACTAATAAATGGGCATATGAAAAAACCTTTTATTTTGTAAAAGAGAAGAGATTAGCTATAAATCCAAATCCTGGATTTAAGAAATAACTTATATAATATAGCAATAATCTATAAACAAATACTACATAACAATCAAATCTCGATCTTAAGGAAACTAAAGATTCAAAAGTTATCAATCCATATACTTTAGGATATTCAAATTCTTGGGGAAAATTGAAAAAGAAAAATTATTCAAATCCTCATGAATTAGTGAATTAACTTTCTTAAAATTTAGTTAAATCTCCTCTTAAAAAAATTGATTAATTAAATCATGCATCAACTACTGAAGAAAGATAAATCTATAGATAACTATTAGCAAAAAAACTATTCGTAAATACATTTTCAAGTAAAAGCTCTGTTTCAATTACAAATTATCAAAGTGAACAATCCGTTGAATAAAAGAGAACTATTGAGAAATAACCTATAAAAATTAAAGCTCTTTTAAGCATGTACAAAAGGGTTGAAATTAATATCTTGGAATCAGAAAGAACAAAAATTTGAGGAATTACTATAATAACTTAATATCTAATATATCATTAATCAATTTTCTAATTTGAATCCTTAAAATTATTAAAAGTATTGGAATAGTATAAATTTCTAAAAATGAAATCAAAATAAAATAAAAAATAACTAAATTATGAGAACAAATAAAATTAATATTATTGAATTCAATATTATATGCAAATTTAGTTTATTTAAATTAAATAAATAAGAATAATTAACTTAATTGAAAGAATGTGATATATAATTCAAATAAATTATTAATAAAGAAATAAGAAATGATTATATAATATTTTTATTAAATTCAATATTTATGATAGTTAAATTCATTAATAAGATTTTACGAAAATGATTATTAAAACTTAATTTTAAATAGAATATGATTATAGTTTATAAATATAATTTTAAACAATTCATTTTTCCTCTTAAATTTGATTTTATACAAAATTCTACTTTTACTCTAATTATTTATTTAAATCTTCAACTTAGACTACTAACTATTATTTATGATTAATGTATTACATTTTAAATGGTTGTATTTAATTTACTCATCACTTCTAATGAAATTTAAACATTATTTTCTAATTCATTTATTCTTGTCTAATAAGATTAAGAATTTATTACAAAAGTATCTTATTACTTTTAAATTGAATACTACTAAGGAAGATTGTTATTTAATTTATCATTAAAATCTGGAATTGTTGAATTACGACAACATGATTAACCCATATTTATTATTTTTATTAATTTTAGTCAATTATTGATGCATAATGATAAGAAAATAAAAGAAATAAAAGATGGTTTATGCAACTTTTAAATAAAACCAATAACTATAATAAAGGGTACATCTGGAATTGGAAAGTACTTAAGTAGTTTAATGTTTAGATTGTATTTGGCCAAGACAATTTTAGCAGAATTTAAGTACAAAATTTTGGAGGTAGATTCAGCATTTAGAGATATCTGGATGTTAGATGAAGTACATCCGTTAATGTATTCTATGTAAGATTAACTATCGAAAATTGATGATTAACGAGGTATTGATATCTATAATAGTATTAGTTATAATTTTAAAAGAAATTAGTGGGATTAGTAATTTGAATTCATTAAGACAATTGTAATAATAATATACCTATACAAAATGCAATAAGCCATTAGTAATAATTGTAAATACAACAGTATTAAAAGATTATGAACTGACTAAAATATTAAGTTAAGAATTTATTAAAATATATTGCAATGTTGTTTTGCTAAAAAGTCCAACCAACAATAAGATTGAAAAGTATTTGCACAGTTGTTTTCCAAGAGTTAGTTCAAATGTATTACATTAAGTAAATTTAATATATTTACTAAGATAGCAGAACTATCAAATGGTGATATTAGAAATGCATATAATTAAGCATTAATATATTCAATAAATTACAGAGAAGAGAATTAAAGCAAAGATTCTTAATTAACATTTTTTAATACTGTGGGTAGAGTACTATATAACAAAAGATTGGATTATTATAATATTCCAAAACAATTAACATATGAAGAAATGATATCTAAACCTGAACCCAAATATTATTTTGATCCTTTTTAATTAATTGAAACTATTTAAGTGACCTAATAGACTTATAGAGGGTATAAAACCAAATGTTTAAATGTAGGTTTTTGTTTATCAACTCATTGAAATTCTTGCATGATTTAAAAGAAATGAAATAATTTTATGAGATTTAGAGTGAGGCAGATGTAATTGAAAAAGGATTATGCAGATTTGATAGAGTTAATATGCATATTATCTTTAGTATTAAGGAGACATCTAAAATAATCAATATTTAGTTAGTATGTTCGTTACTTTGGGTTATATGTAAACTAATAAACACGTAAAACCAGCAAAATCTATGATGCTTACATTAAATGGTCCATAAGATTATTAATTTAGATAAGAGAGACTACTAAAATAAAATGAGATGAAATAATTAAAACCATTTAAATGTTAATAAAAATAACTTGTATTAAGTATTTTATAGGGCAGAAGAGTTTAATTGCTAAATTCTAAAAATAATTTCATATCATAAATTTCAATTGAGGATGATTAATTTGATTAACATTGGTTTGAAGAGGATTAATAGGATCAATAACAAATCTCAAATAAAAAATAAAATTCCAAGAATATAAAAATTAAAAGGAATTAAGGAGATCTAATTTCTAGAAATAGAAATTAAAGATTGGTTGAATTTTGTAATGATTTATTAAATTGATTATTAAACATAAATTTAGCAATTTCATGTATCATTATCATTAAAGAAGAGCGATTACTTTGTTTTTTTATCCTTAATCTTAAACATTCAAAATAATATTTTCTATAACTGCTTTGTATTATTGATTTTATATCAAACCCTTTACAGTAGATACAATAAAGTTTAATTAATCTTCTTTAAGCTATTAATAATAGAAATATTTCATACTTTATAATGTTCTTTTTAAATGAGTGAATCTAATAATAGTTTTATTACTTATTCCATTCTTGGTGTAATAAGATCAGGAATAGTATTTCCTAAATTTACTAAGAATCTTAATCCAGTGAAATTTTCTTCAACATCTCCTTTGAATGGCAATTATGCTATGATATGATCAAGTGTTGTTTCTAATGGTAAAGCTTATGGGAATCTAATAAGAATTCTGCAAACAGCAGCAGTAGCATTTTCAGCTGCTTCTCTGTAAGTAGTAGCACTTGTAAAGATGTTTGTAAGTGTTTAAATAATTTAAGGTAGAGCTGAAGCAACATCATTTTATTGTCCAAATTCACAATATGTAGCTAAAGCATATGCTGCATTTCTATTCAATTCTTAATCTCCAATAGCAGGAACAGTATTTAACAAGAATGGTATAACAACTTATTGACATTCTACAATAAGACTTGGTTCGTATTCAAAAATTTAAGCAAGACATCCAACTGTACATATGATATCATCAATTTCTTTATCTTTATGGAGATTGGTTGCCAAATGAGGGAAGATCTCTCTGAACATAAGAACAAATCCATTTTTTAGATTTTTAGCTAATGTAGGAATTAAATCAGTGAGATTTTCCAAAACATTAAGATTCATATCAGAGTCATTTTCTTCTTCCCCTTCACCTTCAGAATCAAGGTCAGCTCCTAAACACTTAATTTTTTTATTCAACACTAATGTAATTACTTTAGCTAAATCATCTAAATTCTTGTATACAATTTATGGACCTAATTTTTTAGTAAGATGATCAATGACATCTATTGCAAGTGCAACACATTCATATGATTCATCTTCAGCAATAACTCTAATTAATTTTTATATGACATCTGTTTATAAGAATGTTAAGAATTCAGCATCTAAATTTTCAATTGCAGGTAATCCTAATTATACTTTTGGTAAAACACCATTATGTCTGAATAAAGCATATCCTTCTATTAAATCTCTATAACATTATAGAGTTTACATTCTAATATTATCATAGAAGAAATCTACAGTTTCATCTAAAATATCAAAAGTTGGTTTGAAATATTATCCAAATTATTATGGAACAGAAAGTGCAAATTAACCTAATGCATGTATAGCAGCTGCTTTCTCATCCATTTAAGTAACTTTGACTCTCATAGGTCCTTATTGATTTTCATCTTCAGATTCAGTATCTAAAGAGAACTCTTTCTTTTCTTTATCATAAGAGATTCCTTCTTTGGATTCTGCCAATTTCATAGTGTAACTTATGATTTATGTGAAAATTGGAGCAAACTTTTCACCTTAAGCTGCAGCCATATTATAAAAGAAGGCTAAACAAGCTTCTCTGATTTCAAAATCTTCATGTTTAGTTAATAATTCGAATATTTAAGGAGCTAATGGAGTAATCAATTAATTCTAAACTTCTAAATTAGATTTGAATGATTCAGCTATAGTTCCAAAAACTTAGATTGCTTCTGATTTAATACTCATAATTTCAGGAGTATCCTTTTCTTTTAATACTTATAGTAATAATTCACTAACATCCTTCAAATAGGTTGCAAAAGCATCTTTAGAAGAAACTATAATGCTTCCAATTGAAGATAGACAATGTCTTCTTGCAATAAAGGTTGTGGTTTATTGTAAGAATAATTGAACCAAATTAGGTAAGAGACTTTACATATAAGGAAGTATCTTCTCTGATTCCATATTCTCAGCAAAGATATCAATTGTCAATAAAGCTTTTTCATAAATCTTGTAATCTTAAGATTTAAGACAATTAATCATTTCTGGAATAATAATCTAATCATAACTCAAGATTTCTGGACATAACCATTCACTGAAATAGGATAAGCATTTGATTGTTGCTCCTCTTACAGGTGTTCTTTCATCTTTCAATCCTTTAGGAATAATAACATTCATTATTGGATTTTATAATTATCTTCTTATTTAATCTTATAATCCTTCAGTAATTGCAGCTAATATTAAGAATCCTGCATTCATTTAATTTGTATCTCCTGAATCTACTAATTTTATGATTGTTTCCAAAAACAAACCAAATAAAGTCTTCTTTTTACCTAAACCAATCACTAAGGTTTCTAAGAGCCATAAGGTTACATCTTGAAGTGGTTCTTCATCTTAAGTCAATTCCTCTTCTGTGTATGGTTATGCAATAACTAAAGATAAACATTCAATAAGTTATTTTAATAATGTTGGATTCTTATTTAATACCTTTTTATGGTATTCTACAACATTATCAATCAAATCTAAAACACATTCCTTAAATTTACTACTACATTTTGGATTCAATAAAAGCTAATTTATAAATAATTTATTATTACATTTTAACTAGCAGCATATTCTACAATCATACCCAAATGAGTATCTAATATTGTTAATTTACTTTCAGCTAAATATCCAAAAGCATCAAAGCAATGATAAGCATTATCTTCATCTCCTTCTTTTATACATTAATCTACAAATCTTAAAATTGGTTCAACTAGAGTCTTATATTATTAAGCCTATCATATAAATTATATATTTACTTCTTATTTGTTCATATGTTCAATATTATCGAATAAGGAAATCAAACATTTAACTGTTTATACTCTGATTTATTTATCATTATCTTATAGATTTTCAATGAAAAATGGATAAAATACAGAGTAGAATGGTTTCAAACTATCACCAGAGTAATCAAAAATTAAAGCTAATAACATTAATCCTCTTTATCTAATAACAATATCTTAATTTTTTGCTGTTTAATTTTATAGAACTTAAAATAGTTCTGGCCATTAATTATTTCCTAATGTTTGAATTGCAATAGTTCCTATCAAAGATCCAATACTTGTTCTAATTGGATTTATAGGTTCTGCAAAGAATCTCTCTAATAATAATTGTTTTAATTAAGTTTAAGCTGTAGCATCTAATTTATCATAATTTACAGCCATATTTCTTTTTAATAATACACCAGCTAAATGTCTAAATTATTACTATTATATTTAAATATAATTTATACATTTTCATTTTGAGATATTATTAATGCCAATGGTCCAACACAATTCACTGATTTTGTGTATATTTTTAAAACACGTGTGGCTTCTTTAATCTTTTCGTTATCACCAGAGAGGACGAATGTGAGCATCTAAAACAATTACTCTTGTGTTAAGTTTGAAAATTCAGCCATAAAAAATCACAAATTAAAAATTTTTTACTTTTTATGTAAAATTTATCATAAATTAAATACACCCGCAAAATTATATTCAGATAATTACAAATTATTTCTTTTTTATTTTTATTGTGTTTTTACTAATTTTATTTTCTACTTTCTTGCCGCTTTCTTCTTTTTATTTTGGTTCCTCACTCTCATTTTATTTCTCTTATTTTTTAATAATCTAATCTTTTTTCAATTTCTTAACAAATGGTTATTAAAATTTTGCTCTTCTATCTATGTCATCAAATCCCAATCCTTATCTTCTCTAAGTATATTAAATCATCATTTAAATATCACTCAGATCTGTATATTCTCTTTCATTTGTTTATTACTATTTTTTTGGTTTCTTTTTAAATAATTCATTTAATATTTCCATTTCTTAATAATAATAATAATATTTTATATTAAAAAATATAATTTATTAAGTTAAAAGAAAATTAAAATGCTTGTATTATTTTTATGAAATTAAAGATTAATTAAATTGTTTATTAAATCTATATTAATTTATTAATATTTAATCAATTATGGTTATATACTCATTTTCTAAAATCAATTGTCAATAATAATTTTTATTCAATATATGTCTATTTTACTTATTTATTAACTTTTTTAGTATCAATATTTAAATAATTTAATTTAATAATTAAGTCATTCAGCTTTAGCTCCATCTTCACTATCATTTTTATTATTATTCTATTTGCTTCTTTATGTAATATCTTTCATTAATTTTCATTCTAATGTTTACCATATCTTTAGACATTAATTATAATATATTTATAACTAATTGAAACTTAAGAAATTCAGAAGAGTATCTGGAATTTTATCATAAAAATAATTTTCCCTTAAAATTGAATTCTTATTTTATATTTCATTAATAAAACATGATTATACAACCTGTAAGTTCTGGTTCAATAAATATGTCAGGTGATAGTCATTAAAATGGACTTGATCATTATGTGACAGAGTTGAATAATTAAAATTTGATGTAAGTAAGGCGACCTAATGAAGATTAAATTCTAGCATTTATTGATTTTTAAGGACTTAAAGTTGATAGAGTTAAATAACATAAAACAGTTCCTGATTAACTTAAAGATAATAAAAGTATTGGAAGCAAAGTATCGCATTAGATTCGTAGGAACAGTGCTGATTAATCTGAAGACTCACCTTTAAAGTAATCACTTAGAGATGAATTAATTCCATATGATAGTCCTAACTTTGAACTAAAAAAGTTAGGGGATACTGAAGAACATAGAAAGAGTAAGACTGTTATTAGTCCAGTTGGTTAATCATCTAAATCACCAAAAAGGAAAACTAAACATTTTTCAAAGATTTTTTCAAAAATTACAAATAGAATGCATTTAGCAAAAAAATTTATCTAAAAAATGAAATAATTATCTCCATTTTCAAGAAAGGTTAGTAAATAATAAATGCAAATAATTTAAGATTTAAGTTCTGACATTAGTAATCCAAATGAGAAATATATGAATTAAAGTTATATAAAGATGCATGATTCAGTGAAATACAAAAAGAAACTCAGAAGAATTAATAGTCTTTAAGCATTTATAACATTAAAATCTTACTTTAGTATTTGTAAATAATAAGTAATTTTAAATAAAATAAAAAATGGGACAATAGATCCTTAAGGGAATTTTCTATTCTTTTGGGAATTGTTGAAATTCTTTATTACATTATCATCATTATTCTAATTATCAATACAAATATGTTTTAATTTGAATGTTTTAAATTGGTATTTTGTTGCAGAAAAAGAAAATTCATAAAATATATTAATATTTATGTTTATTTATTACTTAATAGATATATTTTTAGGATTTAGAACAGGATATTATGAAAATGGAGAAGTAGTAATAAAATATTAAAGAGTTGCAAGAAGATATTTTAAGACTTATTTCTTTGTAGATTTAATATCAATATTACCAATTTGCATTAATATTATATTGATTTAATCATTTGAAAATGATAATACTATAATTAAGATAGTGAATTGTTTATCATTTTTAAGATCTAATGCTTTAAGTAGAGTATATCATTCTTTGGAAGGTAGATTATTGAGTAATCCTCGATTTGTAATAGGATATAGATTCTTAAGTGTAATAGGAACAGTATTTTTATATGCTCATGTATTTGGATGTCTTTGGTATTTAGTAGCTTAAAAAAACAATAATAATTGGATAAATAAAGCAGGAATAGTAGAAGATTCTTGGTTTGCTCTTTATAGTTATTCAATTTATTGGTCTGTGATGACTATGACAACAGTAGGATATGGAGATTTAACACCTGCAAATTATGAAGAAGCATTATTTTGTGTTTGTACAATGTTTATAGCAAGTGTAGTTTTTGCTTATTCAATAAATACTATAGGAATGATTATTGCTGAAATGAATAAATTTGATGAAAAGATAAATGAGAATATGGCTATTATTAATAGATATATGTAAAGAAAGAATTTCGAATAATCTTTATAATTTAGAGTGAGATAATATTTATAAAATTTATGGACTTAAGAAGATAAATTTAGAATTGTTGATGAGAATAAGATTATAAATTGTTTAAGTCCAACATTAAAAGAAGAAATTTAAATATGTTTATATGGTTAATTTATAACTAATATTCATATATTTTATAGATATTTTAGTTAAGAATGTTTATTAGAGTTAACTAAGAATGTTTAAGAATATAGAGTTGCACCAAATTCATATGTAATTGAGAATGGTACTCATGAAGGCATTGCTTTATATTAATTAGTAAGTGGGGATGCTCATATGTTTGTTGATCTACAAGATAGAAAGTTTTATATTGGTAAGATGAAATAAGGTGATATATTTGGACATGGACCATTCTTTATGAATAAATTGCATTCATATAGTGTAAAGACTGATAGTGCATGTTCTTTTGCTTATTTATCAAAATAAATGTTTTTAGACATCCTACAATCACATCCAGTTGATTATGTAATAATTGTATATATTTAGCAAACATATAGGATGATAATAGACCAATGGACATTCTAAAATCAAAAATTAGATTTAGGAGTCAAATGTATTGGATGTGGAGAAAGTGAACATGATATAGATTAATGTAGTAAATTACATCTAATGATAAATAAGAAAATGGTATTAGCAAAGCATTTATTTTCTATTCCCAATAAACGATCTTTATTCTAAAGAAATAATAGAAGGACTACTAATGCTAAATTTGGTTAAAGATTATTTGAAGATGCTGTATCCTTATTTTAAGAGAATAACTTTTCATTTTCATCTGATGAAGAAGAACCAGATGCTAGTCAAATTGAGAGGACTTATCAAACTAAAATGACTTAAGAAATGAGATATTAAGAACATACATCAACACATAAATCTTAATAATAATAAACTTAATAATATCATCAACAATCAAAAAATGTAAGATTTAGAAAACGTTCTAGATCATTGAATTCTTTAAGTGTACATTCAGAAGAAGAGTCTAAATTTTAAAAATCTATATCTGGAATTAAATCAAATGATTCTCAAATAGATAAAATGAGTGGCATTCCTGTTAAGGTATAACAAATACCTAGCTCATAATTATCTTAAAGTTCATTTAATGTATTTCTCAAAGAATATCCTAAAAGAAAGATTTCTAAATAATAAGATTCTGATAAATATTCAAATCATTCAATGGGTCAACGTCAATAATAAAATTAACATCTATCTTAACCATTATTACATAAATCTAATAGTTAATCTAGTAGTGGAAATATACCATAAAGTAGTATGGGCATACCACCAGTACCTAATGCTTCACCTCCTTTGTTTTCTTAAGATGAAAAATAGATATTTTAGAGGAATAATGTTGAGGACAGTTTATATATTACTTAAGATAGAAAAAAGAAATCTCAAATTGGAACAAGTTATTCAAACACTAAATCTATCAAGAATCAATTATAGGCAATTCCTTCTGTTGGAGAAATTAATGAAATAGAAAAAATTAATAAAAATCTTTTAAAAGAAGGTTCACATACATCGAAATAATTATCTATGCAAAGTAGATCAAGAAGTTAAAGATATACTATATCATTAAGGACTGATAGTCAAAAAATAAAAGAAGATACTAAACATGATACATAGAAACATGATTTTAAATATAGAACTGATACTTATAGATAATACAATGAAAATAGTAGTCCATTAAATGAAGAATAGTTTCACAATAAATTTGAATAAGCATGCGATCTTAAATCATATTATCCACAATATAATAAAGATTAGATTATTTAGAAATATAAAAGATAACAACTCAAAAAAATAACATATTCATATTAATTAAAGTCATGATTAAATTATATATTATTCTTTGTTTAAGTATTAGAATTGTTTAATTTATTATTCAAAATAAAATTTTAATATATATACAAAACCTAAAGCTAAATAGAAAGAGAGGTCTTAACTTTATCTAAGTATGAATAAAATTCTAGAAAAAAACAGACCAAAATCAAAATTATATAAAATACATAAAATTATAGGATTTTAAACATAAACTATAAAATTTTAAGATAAATAAAATCTTCATTAGTATCCTAAACATAAAATATAAATACATTAAACAAATCTATTGATTATTATTATTATTATTAATATTAAATGCAAAAGCATGTTATTTATACTTTTATAATTATTAAATCTATTATTCTCAATAATTTTGATATTATAATAAGAAAGTCTTTTCTATTCATTATTAAAAATGTGGTTTTTAAATTGTTCTATTTTTCCGTTACTTCGATTGCATATGATTTATAAATTATAAATAACAAATTATTGTAAACCTAGTAAAGTTAATGAATTCTGTATATGTATTAAGAGATTAAGCAAGCATTTAGAATTAAATATGATAAACAAAATTGTTAAATTGATTAATTTAGTAAATGAATTCAAGAGACCCACCCAGTAAAATTTTGTTACTTATCATAACTTATCTACCTCCTTCTTTCCCTCTTACGAATGATTACTTGTTTGAGACTTTCAAATAATACGGAGAGATCAAGAAAATACTCATTTTTGAGAGAGGAAAAACAAATAAAGCATTCATTGAATATTATGACATCAAACATGCAATCTAAGCTAGAAGAGATATGATGGGTAAACCTATCACAACTTAGGGAGGCAGGTATTTATCAGTTTTAGAAGTACTTATAGGCTTCTTATCCACTTTTCTCGTTTAAAGTAGCTCAATCTCGAAGTGGTTGATCATACTCGAGGCACTTAATATTAACCTCATGAAATAGAGACATAAGTTTAACCATAAAAGCAGGTATAAAATATCCAAAAAGCCCCAATGTTTATAGAAGAAGAAAATAAGCCACCCTTAATTGATTTAACTTAAGTGCTGAAATTAGAAGCTGTTGATATATCTCATGCATCAGAAGAATCTCCAACGAAAGCGATGTTTAAAATTATTATAAATTTATAGTATGGAAACATAATTAAAATAATTGGAACGAATTTTAGATGAAGATTATGCAAATGAAGTAGCAAGATCTAATCTTACATAAGTTGATGAATAATAATAAGTAATTAATGAATTACTGGCTTAAAAACCATCAAAATATTTGAAAGTACAAAATATAGATGAGAGAGTGACTGCTAAAATGCTATATAATATGTTCAATAGATTTGGCCATTTAAATGCATTATTATTTTAAAAGAAAGACAATATAGCAATATTACAATTTACAAATATTGATCATGCTACTATTGCTAAGGAACTCCTTAATAATATTATGTTTTTCAACAGAGAAGTAATATTAAACTTATTTAAATATTAGATAAGAATATTGTTTCATTAGATTGATAATCTTGAAGCATCAAATCCTAATGAAGAATATTATGTTGGTAGTTAAACCAAATTCAAAATTGTTCCTCTTAGTAAAGTCCTCGTTTTTTCTGGAATCAGTGATCTACTTGATATTCAAGACATGGTAAAACTTGTTGGCAAAATTTAAGGTATTAATAAATTCTATGATGTAGAAATTAAATTGGAATAATACAGCATTTAGATTACAATGTTGGATATCTATGAAGCATTGAAGGTCATTTCAGTTCTTTCAGAATACGAGTATAAGGGAAATAAAATTAATCTAATTCTTAAATGATATATAACAATGTGTATATAATATGATCTTATAACAGTATTCAAATTAATCCAAAAATCACATAGGACATTAATAATATAACGGCTAACAATAAAACTATTAAGACTATCAATTTTCTAGCTGCATTATTGTTATTAATATTATTGTTATTGGCATTTATATCAGCCTATTCTTCTTGTCTTTATGGAAGTAAGTTTACCTGAAAATCAGGTTACTAAGATTAACTTTCTTAAGTTTCATTTAAACGTATAGATAACTTTTCAAAATGAGGAGAGAATAGTTCAATAAATTATGGGTTAAGTAAATTATGCTTAATTGACTATTTTGCATATATTTATTTCTAATAGTTATTACAATCAACACCACCTACTGTTTTTTCATTAGTATGCATAAATGATATTAAACCAATAAGCATAGATGCAATTGTCCATGAAGAACTCCATGTTTCAGGATGATAATTTGTGAATGATCTAAGAGTCTTATATATGATATTTACAAACATATTTTTTCTCCAACAGCAAATCTGCCATTTGGAGTAACAAATTTAATTGATGGAGGTTTAAGTGGGTAGTCAGATGGGATGTGGATTATTCCGTGAAATTATCCTCCTTTATATGGTGAATCATTAGCAAAATTAAATAAAACAAAGTGCCATTCAAAAATATTCTAACGAGTAGGTAATGCCAAAAAGGTATCACTTGGATTTTACTCCATCTTTTGTTTTTCACGCATTAATCTTTAAGTAGAGATTTAATTATTTGCCATTATATATATTAATATAAATGTCAAATAATAATTTAGAAGATAAACCAAAATCTGAAAAATCTGAAAAATCTAAATCTATTAAATCATAATAACAATCTTAATAAATATCTTAACCATCAATATCTTTAATGGAAAGAAATTTATAAAAAATGAGAACATTAACATAGAAATTGATTGCTCCAAATGTTTTAGAAGGACATTCAGAAAGTGTAATAGAATAATTAAAATAAATGATCCTACCTTAACCATCTGATGATTTGATTCATATTACTGAAACCTTAGAAGAAGCACATAATATGTAATTTCTTTCATAACCAATTCAAATCATTTAAGGATAATTATAAGATAGAGAGTTATTAAATGCTATGGCTCTTATTGTTAGTCATTAATAATTATTTAACACTCTTTATATTATAGATGAAGAATAGGATAGATACATATTCAAATTATACAAAAAAAATTAGAGATATTCTGTAATTATTGATCCATATATTTATTTTTCTGGTCATTTACCAAAATATTCTCGTTCTGGTTATAATTCAATATGGGTAAGTCTATTAGAAAAGGCATTGTCTAATATTTTGGGTGGTTATGATTAATTAGTTGGTATTTCTCTTAGAGATTCAATAAGAAATTTATGTGGTTTAGATCCTGAAATAATAGTTTATGAAAATCCTGATAATGTGAATTAAAAATAATTATAATAAACATTAAGTTTATTATAAAAAAATGGAAGTATTGTTGGATTTATGTAAATAAATAGTATAGGATTTAATAAAAATTAAAAGGTTTAATCTTCATTTCTACCAACACTTAATTAAATATATGTATTTGAATCTATTTAAGAGAATAAAGTTAAAATTATTAATCACTTTTAAGTAAGTTAACATGAAATAACAATTAAAGATATAACTTAAAATTTTAATTGTATTGTAATAATTAAAGATTTTCCTGATGATTATAGAGGATTATTTATTAATATTACTACTACTACTCATGGTGTTCCTGGTAATAATTAATAATGGATTAATAATCCAAGTTATTAGATGGTTATAAATACATAAAATGAAACACAATTTATATTTCGATTATCTGAATTAGAAAATTAAGATGGTATTACTGGTTTATTACTTGTTAATTAAAGAGATGTAAGAACATTTAATTAAAATAATGTTGTTTTTATGACTAAATAAAATATAGTATAAATTGGATAGAGAAAATAGAATTATTCTTGTTTTAGTGTTAAAATAAAAGGATTTCATACTTTATTTGTATTCAGTACAAGCAAAGAACCAAAATTAGTTTTATTAGAAATCTTTTATGCTGGAAGACCATCATAAATTGAATTTAAATTCAAAAGTAAACCTATAATAGAATTTTGTGTTGGAGAACCTTAAGATTCAGAAGGACTAAGAATATTGAGAGATGTATTGAAAGATAAAGATTTAATAATAGGAAATTTTAAGAATTAAATTCTTAATAATCCAAATTAACCTGTCTCTTCTAAAACTTATAATGATGTAATAGAATTAGATTAAGAAATGGCATGTATATAGGAGTATAATTTTATTATTATAAAGAAATTAATTATAAGAGGAATTGTTAGGAATTAATCTTGAAGGAAAGGATCCTTAAGAAACTGAGATCTATGATTTTAATGATTATTAATTAACAGATGAAGGTTTCTAAATTATTCTTCCTGATTTAATAGCTGAACCTGTGATAAAAGAATTACGATTAAGAAATAATTAATTACATGATGAATCTATTCTATAATTATGTTATGAATTAGATAAATCATATCATTTAGAATTAGAATTTTTGGATGTTTCATAAAACTAATTAACAAAAAAATCAAATGAAGTTTTAAATAATCTAAAGAAGAGATTGAAGAATTTATAAAAGATAATTTAATGACTTTATTAATAATAAATTATATTATTTCAAATAGGAAAATAATATATATGAATAAAATTTGTTTGTAAATTGTAAGTTTCTTTGATGATATCTTGTAAAATGGCTCCTTAATTTAAAAAAATTACTTTGATTTCTTGAACACAAGGCATTTTTAAATATAAATCTTCATCTGAGTAATTAGGATCACCTTAATCTTCAGTAGGTTTCATATCAATTTTTTTGGTACTTTATAATTAAATAGAAGTTTCATTTTCAATTATATTATAACCATTATTCTTTAGCCAACGATTTTTAAGTAAAATTTTGTACATAGAATTCAAAAACTTCTAACCTCTATATAATAAAGATAGTTTTCTTTCATGTTGAAAATATATTTTCACATCATCACCTAATGAACTACCACAATGTATTTCCACTTATAATGGGTAAATAATTGAAGGAGTCATTTTAGCTTATTAACATTCTGATTCATGTTTTTATCTACCATTCTTCAAACATGTTTTATCACAATAAAATGCAGAATAACAGATAGTACAATGTTATACAATATAGATAAACATACCACAAGATGCACAAGGTACAACAACATTAGGAAATGTTTCTTTGCTTAAATTCAAATTTGTTATTGATTAAAAGACTTCCACCAATATTTCTGATTTGAAGTTCATTAATCTAATGAATTCATGTAAACAACTTTATAATTCATTATAATATGGATATTCACCTTAATATAAACCTAATTAAAATCTTTTAATGATTCCATTAATAACAGATTCATAGAATTCTTACATAGATGGAGGACTAGTTGCATTTGGTCTGTAAGTGAATTCAGCATATTAATCAGTTTTACTCATGATACCTTGTTTCTTCATCTATAAAGTTGGATTGGTTTATTCATTTTTCTTAAACAATTACCATTCGATCCATAAATTCTTGGCTAGATTAGTATTATTGTTATTCATTAATTTTAAAAATGTATATCCCCATGAATGAGATGCTTAAACATTTTAAGCAAGATGTTCCTACAATGGCTAATATTACTCATAAAAGTGAATAATGGAGTCCATATCATGATAATTCAGGGACTGTATTAGGTAAACACATAAATTAATTTAAAAGCTGTGGGTATTCCTGGAGCAGTCATAGTAGCAGGAGATACAAGATTAAGCAATGGATACAATATAATGTCAAGAGATGCAACAAAATTATCTTAATTGACAGATAAATGTGTATTAGCTACAGCAGGTTAATATGCAGATTTTATTGCATTGAGAAAATTTCTATAACAAAGATTATAATTGTATGAATTTTAGAATGAAGTTCAAGTAAGAATATATTATAATTATTAAAGGCTTCAACTGAGACTGTTGCTCATTTATTATCAAGAGAATTGTACTCTAGAAGATTTTTCCCTTATTATACTTTCAATTTATTAGCTGGATTAGATGAAAATAATCATGGATTTGTTTATGGATATGATGCAATTGGTAGTTATGATAAGATGACTTATGGTGTTTAAGGAAGTGGATAAGAATTAGTAGTAGCTGTATTGGATAATTAATTAAAAGGTTATAATAAAATAAATAAAACTATTCCTTAAACAAGGGAGGAAATATTGGATATCATTTTGGATTGTTTCAGTTGTGCAGCTGAAAGAGATATTCATACTGGAGATAATGTTGAAATCTTGATTATCACATCTGCTGGAACAGAAAGACTTATAAAACCTCTTAGAAAAGATTGATTATTAATAAATAAATTAGTATAAATGTTATTGTTGATATAATATATATAAATCAAGCAAAGAACTTCTTTTTTAAACAGTGTGCCGAAAATTCCTTCATGATTTCTTTCTTATTCGAGAAATTTTAAGCAAAAGTAAAATTTAATCCCTCAATTTAATTCTCTAAAGTTATAGCTCTGATTTGTTTTTGTTATTAAACTTATTATTATGTTCTTGGTTATTGAGATGAATATAATTGTTATTGAGCCTCTTTTACTATCTACAATATCTTTTTACTAGACATTGGATCAGATGTAACAGGTTTCCTAATTATATTATTCTCCTTTTATTTAGGCAGTTGAAATTTTCTCTCCTCAAACTATCTCAAATCTATAAGACTTGATTTCCTAGCTAAATGTGTTTAAGGCTTTGATATTAGATTTGGTTCAGGACTATATCCAAAATGACTACTTTATAAAGGACTTAACAATCGTTTACTAGTCTCCTAGGTATATTACTTAAAAGATCTAATCATACTTATCTTATTCTTAATTATTTTATTTAATAATTTATGGTTTTATTAGAATATTATAAATATTTATTTTTTTTTAATCTTTCATAACTGACTAATTGTTTTCTTTTATGTATTGACAATTTTCTAATTATTAAAATTAAATCTACATTCTTTCTAATCATTTTATTAAATTTCTAATTCCAAAAAAGAAATGTAGATCAATTTAAAAATTTATTTTATTTAAATTTTTGATTATAAAATAGAGATTTTTATTTAATTAAGAAATTAATACAAGTTTATTTGTAATCTAATATCATTATTATGATATTAATAAAACAATATTGTAAATAATCAAAACTTTTTCTTTAAGTTTAATCAATCTAAACTTAAATGCAAATGTGGATCTGAAATTCCATTTTCAATATTATTTTGCATCTGATCTCTAAACTTTCTTAAAGCATCTCTAACATCTTGAATCTTCTTTTGAACTATCTGAATCAATAAAGGAGAAAGTAATAATAAAGCTTAATCATCTTAATCTCCATACCAACTCTATATCTAAATTCCATTATCTGGTTAAAACTTAAAGTTCTCAGCTAGATTATCAATAATTATTGTTCTCTTTACATCTCGTCCAATCTTTTAAATATCTTTTACATATGTATTATTGACTAAAGTAGTGTGTTAACGATATAATCTATATCCAATCACTTTATCTTCATCTATTAGATCCAATATAAAATCAGCATAATCTTACTATGCTGCTGTAAAAATAACTATTTCATAATATTTAGACATATCCTTCAAGAATTATTATGCATATGGTCTAACTAAAAACTATCCATCGTCTAATAACTATATAGAAATATAATGAATTACTTCTTAGTAGTGTACTAATGTTTCATCTAAATCTATAACTAAAGTGTATTTATTTGTTTTAGATAAGTAAGGTATCTGTTAACAATCAATCACTTCTTCATAGTCAAATTAAAAATCCTAAGAATCTCTTGTTAATCTCAACTATTAAATGTGTATTAACTTAAAAATATTGATTTAGATTTAATACAATTTTATCATATTAGTATTTAATAAATTTAGTTCCTTATTATAAATTGATTTTGTCGATAATAGTTAAAATTCTTTCTAATTAATTAAGGTTGTTATCAGTAGCATTTTCAACGCTAAAAATGAATGATAAAATTAATTTACAATAGAATTAGAAGAGAATATACTACATTACTGTTTTTACGTATTAAATTAATATCAATTAATTACTGATTTTTTCTAGCTCTTAGTTTATTTAATCTTGCTTATATTAATGATTTTTAAGATGGAGATAAAGAATTGAATTATTGCATTAATTCTAAATGTAAAACCATACTACTATGAATATAAAATACTAAATTTTTTAAGTTTTATTAATCCTCATCAAATGTATCCGATAAGGCTTTATATAAAACAACTAAAATTCCAATTCTTTCTAAGATCATTGATTTACATAAGATTTAGTAAGATATTTAATCTTTTTCTTCAACTATAAAATTAGAAATTTAATTAAGATAATTTTAACATTATTTAATTACCTTTTGTTTTTTGCTGATAACAGCCAAAATAGTAAATACAATTTCTTCTGAATTAATAAACTATTAAATTTATTCTTCTGAATCATTTATAGTAGAACTTGTTGATTCATTTTTATGAGATTTTGATCCTTCCGTTTTACATTTTAAAGAATCTTATTTCTAATTTTTATTTAGTATTTTATTTTACTCAACTTTACAATTTATTTATTGATATATTTTTTTCAATTATTAAGGCATTTAATACAAAAATTAGGGTGAAATTGATCTTTGTGTTTTATTTATTGATGATTTTTCATGTTATGAATTTGTAGTTGAAGTTCTATTTAATTACTAGTCTTATGAATTAGTTCTCTTTTAAAGTTCTTATAAAAGAGCATTAATTTTAGGAGCTGACTTTTTTTTCTCATTAAATGATACATTTATGGTTTTCTTTTCTGTTGATTAATCTATAACATTTCTGGATGATCGATTATCAATAGGAGGTTTCTTGTTTTTAGTTGTATATGTCTTTTTCAGTTGTTATAGATCGTAATTCATCAATTATTTTTAATATATATTTTATATAAAAATGAAAAAATCTAGATTTAATTAGAATATAAACATCATCAATTATGGCTGAGGTTTTTTTTGATTTTAATTATAGTCATAAATTTTACTTAATCTTCATTATATTTAATCTTTAAATCATATCTAACTCTAATTATATTAATTATTTTAGTGATATTTATTATTAATTAGAAACTTTAATCCAATTATATAATATTTTCAACCGTAATTGATCATAAAACTTTAGATGTGTAAATAAAGATAGAGTTAATATTAAACCTGTCTAATAAATTAGTTTAATTAACTTTAATTGTATATGTACAAAAAATTGAAAACAATTCTAATTTATCCAAATTTATGAGAATATCATACCAGAAAACAATGAAACTTTTAGATTACATTCTAATTATAATAATCTATGAATATGATCTTAAAAATTATACTATACTTCTTACCTATTAAAAACTTTAAATTTTGCATCTTTAAAATCATTTAAATTTATCAATAATCCTAATATACTTATTCATCAAAATGTTTTTGAAATCTTCCTAATCAGATTATAATAGATTTTATAATTGAATCCATAAGATTGAATAGATTATATTAGTTAAAAAAGTAAAGTTATTTTAAAACCAATAATGCTTGGTAAAATCTAGTATTTTATTATTTTTATGCCCTTAATAACTAAATTCACAACATTATACTTCAAGATAGTTGATTTCCTAATGATCAAAAAAATGCATTTATTTTAATAATATAATGAATATCATTCAATTTTCTCATGTCAAAACTGAATCAGAAGACATAACTAAACTTACTCCTTCTTCCACTAAAACAACATAATTACTATATCCAGTTCAAGATGATATCATGACTCCTGTCTAAGGCAAAATAAAATTAAAAGATAGTTTCAATGAATTCTTAGATGGTCGGATCAACACATTTTAACTTCTTTAAGCAAAAAATTGTCCTCGTTTACATTAATAATAATAAATTGAATAACATGAAAAATAATAAAGAGAAAGAGAATCAAAGGGTATGGTAATTTTGGGTCCATTACTTAGATTTAAACATAAATATAAACATGTAAAAACTTAGTCTGAAGAAAGAATCAATTATCTTAAAACTAAGATAGCTGCCCTTAATAATCTAATTAAATCTAAAGTTGTAAATAGAAAGAAGGATAATGATGAAAAACGTAGAAGAAGTTTATAAAATGTTGGACTACTAAAATCAATAGTCGAAGCATCAGAAAATATTAATAAGAAAATTGAATAGGTTGAGACTTATGAAAAAATGGTACCATAAATGAAAGCATTAAAAACTGTTACAATTAGTTATGATGATTAAAAGTTATTTAGAAAATAATAACTTAAGTCAAAATTAAATACATAAACTTTAACTAATCCAAAATTATTTCTCAAAACCTAATTATAAGATTCAAGCAAATAATTTTTAAAAGAATTAGAATAGATGAATGAAAAGAAACAATAAAATTTAGATAAACTTTCTAGAATGAAATTACTGTCTGATAATAAATTATAAAAAACACATAAATATGATCTCTTTGTTAAAGAAGTCTTAACATATAAAGATATTGAATTATATGATTATCTACATTAATAACCACAATAGGTTTCATATAGATGTCATTTTACAAATCAAGGAGAAGAAACTGCAAATATAAATTAGCCCAATTCTTAAAAAAAACCACTTAAAAAAAATCATAAAAAATATAAAACTCTTACTGAAAGTAATTATTAATAAATTCTTGATGTTTCTGATACATCCTCTTTACAATCTGCATATGAAATACATTTAGATAATTTATATACTTAAACAATAGAAGTGAAAAAGTAATTGTTAAAGAAATCTGTATTACCAAAAAGAATCCGATAAATGATAAAACTTGATGAATTGGGTAAATAGACTCTACATACTAGTACTCATAAACTTAAACATTGAATATAATTATTAAAAATTAATCAATTATATTTTAATATGTATATATCTTCTGATTATCATATTCATTATCCATATTTCTCTTCTTCTACTTATTGGGTATGTATAGCAGATTGAATTCTTGAATTTCTATTTTTAATTGAATTGATAAGTGATCCAGGATCTACATTTTATTTTGGAATTTCATCTTCCAATAATTAATTTATACTTTAAATAATAAGATAATATTAATTACTGATTCATTTGAGTTTATCTAAAATGAGACATATCTTATTAAGTGGAAATGAATTCAACACTCCATACTTCAATTCTATCAATATTTAATTTTGTAATGTGAGATGCTAATATATGACCTGTTGCAAATGTCTTATCATCATCTGTAATATAGCTATCTTTCAAATTTGAACCATCAATCCAAATTCTGTGTTGTTCATATCCACTACCTCCAATACCCAATCCGAATTTACTTAATTTCTTTTATAATGATTAAGGCAATGGTCTTCCTTAATCACTATTTAATAAGGCATATTTGCTTTGTCCTTTACCTTTACCAGTTATAAATTATTAATATTTTGGAACTATAGAAAATATTGATGAATTCTTATCTCCTGTAATGTCTGGTGCTAATCTCCACCTTGATGAATTGAAATAACCAAATAAATAATGTTATTCAAATGCATCCAAATTTTCATCAGGTGTATGTTAATAAGGTAATTTTTCATATTTATTTAATCGTTCAACATGTCTAAATAATAATAGAGTTGGAGAATTTTAGGATAATAATTGATTAGATAAAAGGTTTAAATCAAATTAATCCTAACCTTCTTAATAAGAAAATAATAAATTCAATTTTTTGGTTTAGTAGAACCATGGAGTGCTTAAATAAAACAATCCCAATATTTGATAATTAATAATTAGGGAATTATCAGTCAATTCTGGAAGTTAAATCTTGTGAGAGGAATCTGTAAATTTACCTGCAAAATATCTTCTTATAACTGTATTAATTAAAGGAACTTCCATCTTTATTTAATTACAAAACTATTATAAATCCATATTACTAGTTTTATCTATAGAATATTTATTTAAATTACCTCCAAAAATATTATTGATCAATAGTTTAGCTGCTACATCATCATCATCACTTAATCTATTACCTTTTGGACTCAACATATTTATTATCTCTTTAATAAATATCCCTGCCTATAAAAATGTAATTTCAACTTTAGTTAACATTTACAACTTGAATTCTTCTTTCTTGTAAATTTCAGGATGTTAAATAGATATCAATAATAATAATTAATATTGTTCTAAATGCTTGTAGTTATTTGTATAAACATATATTTCTGATTTCTATTTTGTAAATAGTTCCACTAATAATCGTTTTTAACATAATTACTTGATAAAACAAAAGTTTCTCTATTCACTATGTTTGTATCACTCTAACTTTTGATAAATTTATAGATTTTATCAGCTAATTACATATTTTCTGTGAAGGCTGTTCTAAAACCTTCAATGGCAATAAATTATTCTGCTTTTCTAATTTATATGATTTTAAATTACCCTGGTGCTATTGATGACAATTTCTTAAATTTCTCATTACATTTCTCCAGTTCTTTACTATTTAAAGAACTCTTTTCTTAAAGATTTTTTCTTGAACTATTACAGCCCATTATATCTATATCAATATAATTAAATAAATAAAATAAAATTATATAAAAATAAAAAAGAATTTAGAGGATATGATTTATATATATTAAAAATTCTTTATCGTATTTCTTTATCTTTTATACATATATTTCATATATACACTCAGGGAATTTCATTAAGCAATATTTAAGAATTTTGAGTTAGATTTAATAAATTCTAATTAGTTTGTTTCAAGTTATTTAATTAAAGACTTTTAAAAAAAGAATTAAAATCTTATAAACCATTTTAGGTTTCTGTTAAAAGATCATCAAATTTATTTTTATATCTCTTTCTTATCTTCTCTTTTTCAAATACATTATACTATTTAAATTACATAAAATTACAAAATCGTTATCAAAATCATCATAGAATTTAATTTTATACCTCAAACTTTAAAGTTCATCTAATTATTTTTTTTTTTCTTTTAACTCAGCAAGATTTTATTGATTTTATTCTGAATTTTCATTTTCATTTTTTTAGATTTCATTTTTTAAATTTTCAACTTCTTATGATCTTTATATTATGTTGTTTTCAAATTCTTTTTCATAATCTTATATGATTTATATATTAAGTTATTGTTATTGATTTTGGACTTTCAATATATCCTCCTAATATTCCTATTATTATTTTTCTTTACTTTCTGATTAAAGATTAATCCTCTCTAATTATTTTTCTATCTCTTTTTTCTTTTTGATTAATATTTGATATTCAAAAATTTCTAATATATTTTTTAAATCTTAATGTTTTTATTTAGTTTATTAAATATCTTCTAAGCAACAATTTAAAATCTAAATTTTATTTTCCCATTTTTTTAAATGATAATTATTTAATTCTTATGTGTGAGTTAGATTATTTTTTTAAATTGCTTATTGATATCCTAATTCTTCCCATTTCAATCTATCTTATGGATCCCTCCTTACCATTTTTTCAATTAAATCCTTCATCTCATTACTTAAATTTGGATTTAATTTAAAATCAAATCTTGTTTCCTTCTCATCTTTATCATCCTTAGGATTACAAAGAATTTTGTATAAAATTACTCCTAAGGAATACATATCTGATTATTTTGGATCATATATCTACCCCTTTTAAATTTCAGGGGCTATATAACCTTAAGTCCCTAAACTTGTAGTCAGTAAATCCTCTTTAGATAGAATTATTGAAAAACCAAAATCTGTAATTTTAATTTAACAATTCCCATCTTAATCAAAAATGAGAACATTTTCTGGTTTCAAATCTCTATGATAGATAAAATTTTCATGTAATCTAAGCATAGCCTAATTTATTTAAAGTAATATTGTGATAGCGATATCTTCACTTAAAAATTCTGAATTACTCTTTAGTTTATTAACATATTTCAATAAGTTATCTAAAAATTCAATAATATATACATACAGGGGCAATATTCTAAAACTATGTAATGCTAATTAATTGTAACAAAAGAATCAATTATTTAGATGATATTTTAATATCCTTTTTCTTTACAGAAATATAATATCATTTTTTCATTTTCAATATACTTTTTAATATTATTCTTATCTATGTCTGCCTTTTCTTTTGGAATTTTTTTTATTGCAACAATTTTTTTAGTTTCTGTATCCAAAGCTTTATAAACCTAATATTTAATAACATTAATACAATTCCAGTGTTGCCTTTGCCAATTTCTTCAAGCATTAAATATTTACCTAATTTTGTAATTGGATTATTTTTCATAATTTTAATTATATTTTTTTTTATAAAAATTTAGTTTTTAAACTTATATACCTAAATTATTTATGATAATTTAAATTAAAATACTATTATTATTCAGCATTTTATAAAATGAATATAATCTGAATTATTAAATTAAAAAATAGAGGATCAATTTTAAATATTGAGTTTTTAATAGAATGTAATCATTAAAAATCTTTATAAGATTCGAATACATTTAGAATAATGAAAATCAATTTTGATATGATTAACTATGATTTTATTATTGATATTTAATAATTTCATAATAAAATCATGGTTCAAAGTAAATTAATTATTTTGGATATAAAAAAAACTATAAATAATCGAGACATATTAAAAACATTTTGTTTTGAGCTAATGTAACCAAAAGATTTTAAATTTAAAATGTGACATAGGTTATTATTAGTATAAATTTATTGTTTTAAATTGATAATAATATTCTTTAGGGTCTAGTTTGCATGAGATTTATAGAATGATTGAATGATAATATTTTTATTAGATGATAAATAATTGGTATCTGAATAGATTCATGAATAAAATATCAAAAAGCTTGTCTAAATTAAAAGCAGTTTTTCATTCATTTTCTAATTCATGAAAATGATTCAATATATCATCAATGTCATCATCCATAACTTCTTTTACGTTCTCAAGTCTATTAAGAGGTAAAGGTTTAATAGGTTAGATGACAACTTTCCTAAAGACATCGATGTCATTTGTAAATTAACTTTCCTGAGATATTGAATTTGAAATTGAATGAGAGGAATGAGTGATTATTTATGAGCCACAACATTACTATGCTCCCATATTTATTTTAATAATAAATTAAAGTGTATTTACATTGAATATTAATGAAGTAAGTTCATATGTTATAAAATACTATAAATAAAAATAAGTAAACTAATGAAATTGGATGAATTTAGTAACAATAAGTAATGATATTATTTTTAATTTTGTGTATTAATCAAGTTATTAATAAAATTATTATTTATTTTGGATGTGGTACAAAAACTTTTCAAAACAAAGTTGGAATCTTCGTGTTTGGAGGTACTTTAAAGACTATTGTAATATAGAAAGGCTAACATATTATTCAATCAAGATGATATTGGTATGTTCAAGACAAAAGGTGTTTTGAGATGGAAGGATACTGTATTCAGAATGGCTAGAAGTGAAGCATGTGTAAAATTTTATTTATATAAGTGATAGTTAAGAGGATTCAACTTCTTCTTCTTTGCTGGAATGATTGGATCATTTATTTGGGTTAAATCAAACTATTATGATCCAAAATATGTAGCACCTAAAAAAGTAGAAAGTGAGAAGGAATTAGAGAGATTAGATGCAGAAGCTGATAAAATATTATTTAAGAATAGATTAGAGGCATATTCAAGACCCCATAGAAGTTTGGAAGACTTGATTGCCTTCTTATCTGGGTATTGATAAATAGATAAATTTTCATAGTTCAAAGACCTTTGATTAATTTGCTGATTTTATCAGTTATGAAGAAGCAATGAATAATAGTATGGATTAATAAAATGGTTTGGATTCATGGATGGATGATTAAGATTAAAGAATGCTTAAATATTATTAAAGAAGTATTGGACGCACTCCAAAATTTGATTGATTTAGTCAAATACATATAAAAATAAATAAAATATATATTGATATTTTAATTCTGTTATTAAATGAATAAAAAATATAATAAAATCACATGCCAGAACTAAATATAATATTGATATGATTACTAATTAGGTCCTCCTCCAGCTTCTGGAACAGTCCATCTAATATAATCTTTGGGCATCTTGATGTCACAAGTCTTACAATGTAGACAATTTTAAGCATTGATTTATAATTTTTTCCCTTCTTTAGTATCAATAAATTCATAAACTTTAGCAGGACAAAATCTTTATTCAGGGCCATCATACAAATTTAAACTTTCTTTAGGTCCAGATTCTTTAATTACTTTAAGATGTGCTGGTTAATCATGTTCATGATTGGTCCCACTTTACTTATAATCATATTTACCTTCTTGTTAAATTATCTAATAAATCAAAAGTTAATTTTCCATCTGGTTTTTCATATTTAATTTAAGGTGCTTTGTCTTTAGTCAAATATGATTCACTTTCTTTGACATGTGATTTGATATTCCAAGGTTCTCTTCCTTTTGATATGAAACCATCAAATGCACCATAAAATAAACCAGAATAAATATTGTATTTAAATGAACCTTTAAAATTTCTTGATCTATACAATTCATCATAGATCCATGATGATTTAATAGCATTTTCATATTCAATTAATTCTTATCCTGGTTCTACATTTTATTTAGCACATATAGTTTCTGCTGCTAACATTCCTGATTTCATAGCATTATGAGATCCTTTAATTTTCATAACATTTAAAAATCCAGCTGAACAACCAGCTAACATTCCTCCTGGAAATGTTAATTTAGGAATTGAAAAATATCCTCCTTCATTTAATACTCTTGCACCATAACTAATACAAGTTCCATTCTTAAGATATCTAGAGATTTTTGGATGTCTCTTTAGATTTTAAAACTCTTAATATGGATTTAAATTTGGATTCTCATAATCCAATCCCACAACCAATCCTAAATGTATTTAATTAGTATTCTTATGATATAAAAATGATCCTCCATAAGTATTCCTACATAAAGGCCATCCAACTGTATGTTAAACTAATCCTGATTTAAAATCTTCTGCAGGAACTTCCCAAACTTCTTTCAATCCTATTCCATAAGATTAAGGTTCACAATCTGATTATATATTTATAATATTTACTTTATCTTAAATTATATTTTTCAATAACTCTCTCAGTTATTGAACCTCTTGCTCCTTCACATAATATTGTTTAATTTGCTATTATATCTATTCCCTCTTAATAATTAGATTTCTTTTCTCCTTTCTTTCCAATTCCCATATCTCCTGTTGCTACTCCTATCACTCTATCTTTTTCATCAAATATTACTCTTGCTCCAGAAGTACTTGTAAAAATATCTACTCCTAAAGCTTAGGCTTATTCCCCCATCCATACACATAAATCACCTAAACTTATGACATAATTTCCATGATTTCTAATTGTCGATGGATAAAACATATGTGGAATCTGAAAACTCAATTTTTCATTCCAAAGTATATGAAAGTGATCTTCTGTTACTGGAGTATCTAAAGGAGGTTTCTAAATTGTAATTTAAAGACAATTATACATTTTCCATTTTCTCCCAATTAGGAAATAGTTCATTCATTGCAGTNGCTTTGTCTTTAGTCAAATATGATTCACTTTCTTTGACATGTGATTTGATATTCCAAGGTTCTCTTCCTTTTGATATGAAACCATCAAATGCACCATAAAATAAACCAGAATAAATATTGTATTTAAATGAACCTTTAAAATTTCTTGATCTATACAATTCATCATAGATCCATGATGATTTAATAGCATTTTCATATTCAATTAATTCTTATCCTGGTTCTACATTTTATTTAGCACATATAGTTTCTGCTGCTAACATTCCTGATTTCATAGCATTATGAGATCCTTTAATTTTCATAACATTTAAAAATCCAGCTGAACAACCAGCTAACATTCCTCCTGGAAATGTTAATTTAGGAATTGAAAAATATCCTCCTTCATTTAATACTCTTGCACCATAACTAATACAAGTTCCATTCTTAAGATATCTAGAGATTTTTGGATGTCTCTTTAGATTTTAAAACTCTTAATATGGATTTAAATTTGGATTCTCATAATCCAATCCCACAACCAATCCTAAATGTATTTAATTAGTATTCTTATGATATAAAAATGATCCTCCATAAGTATTCCTACATAAAGGCCATCCAACTGTATGTTAAACTAATCCTGATTTAAAATCTTCTGCAGGAACTTCCCAAACTTCTTTCAATCCTATTCCATAAGATTAAGGTTCACAATCTGATTATATATTTATAATATTTACTTTATCTTAAATTATATTTTTCAATAACTCTCTCAGTTATTGAACCTCTTGCTCCTTCACATAATATTGTTTAATTTGCTATTATATCTATTCCCTCTTAATAATTAGATTTCTTTTCTCCTTTCTTTCCAATTCCCATATCTCCTGTTGCTACTCCTATCACTCTATCTTTTTCATCAAATATTACTCTTGCTCCAGAAGTACTTGTAAAAATATCTACTCCTAAAGCTTAGGCTTATTCCCCCATCCATACACATAAATCACCTAAACTTATGACATAATTTCCATGATTTCTAATTGTCGATGGATAAAACATATGTGGAATCTGAAAACTCAATTTTTCATTCCAAAGTATATGAAAGTGATCTTCTGTTACTGGAGTATCTAAAGGAGGTTTCTAAATTGTAATTTAAAGACAATTATACATTTTCCATTTTCTCCCAATTAGGAAATAGTTCATTCATTGCAGTAGGTTGAAAGCAATTTCCGCTTAGAATATGTCCACCTAAAGTTCCTGATTTCTCTATGACCACAACTGATTTGTTTGGGTCTATTTCTTTAATTCTTATAGCTGCTGACAGACCTGCAGGGCCTGCTCCAACAATAAGTACGTCATATTGAATCTTTTCACGTGAGAAAAGAAATCTCGTAATTTTTTTTAACATTAATATTATTTACAAATCCAAAAATTGTAATTATGAAAATTCATTCTTAATTAGAATGCCTTTTCATTTCTATTCATAAGAATTATTATTTTTAAATTGCCAATTTTAATTAAAAGAATTGTAAATTGATTTTTTCATATATATATACACATAATTTATTATAATTTTACTTAAGTACATTTAACTTATAATCATAGTATTAAACCAAAGAAATATTTATATATATCTATTCTTTATCACATAAATTTATTCTATCTTTAAAAATCTAGAGTTGTAAAATATTTATTTTTAAAGATCATGTTTATATTTTGAAGTATAATTATTTAAATTTCTCAATAGAGTGGAGTAGGGTATTTATAGAAATAGTCATTTAAAGTAAAATAATTATATAAATATTTTAATGAAGACTCGAGGTTCAAAGAAGCATATTTTAACTCCTAAAATTTCAATAGGTATTTAAATAAGATAGCTAAACAAATTTGCTTATGCTATTTTATATAGAAATTTTTAATTTATTTTTAGAAACTTAACAAAAGTAAGAAGAAAAAATAGGTGATCCAATTATAACAAAAGTTGATATGGATAATGAAGACTAGATTAAATAAACAAGTGTCATTAATTTTCACTATAATTAAGGTATTAAAAAACTATAAATTACAAAATCATATCCAATTGAAAAAAGCGGTAATATATTCTAAATTTTAAGTAGGTTTTAAAGCAAACAAAACAAGAAGCAAACCTATTATATTGGATTTATTTAATAGCATAAAATAAGGTTAGGATAATAAACTATATGATGTTATGGATGTCAATCAATATATGTTATTGAAAGATTAATAATAGTCTTAAAATATTCCAAAATCATTAAGATGTAAATGCAATAAATCAATGTGTTTAAAATAATATTGTGATTGTTTTGCCAATGGAAATATGTGCACTAATTAATGTTAATGTTAAGGTTGTCACAATAGTGAGGAATATATGGAAGAAAGAGAAGAAGCCATTAATAAGTTAAAAATTTAAAATTCATCCTTTGAAGTACAAATAATGATATTATAAAACTAGAAAGAAGCTCCAGTTGGAATCAGTTGTAAATGTAAAAAGTCTAAATGCACAAAGAAATATTGTGATTGTTACTAAAATAAACAAAAATGCAATGATAATTGTTAATGCAATAATTGTGAGAACTAATTAGAAAAGGTTGAATATATAGAATAAAGATTAAATCAACATTCATTATCATAATTTGATGAGAATAGCCGATATCCAAAGTCTCCAATTATCTGCAGAGGATAATATTTATTTAGAAGGAATGACAGTATGAATTATTCTAATTCTTTTGGTTATTCTAGAAGTATTTTATATTAAATATGATAGAAATTCTAATTTAATAAGAAGGCCCATATTATTTAAAGCAAGACTCTTAAGGATTTAATTGAAAAATGATATTAACTGTAATTATATAAAAAAATCATGGGAGACTCTTTTTTATATTTTCTATGGTGTGCATTATGCTATTAACTGAATTAGTGAGCTAGGTAGATAAGAGGAATATTTTACTTGTTCGGCTGTGCTTTTAATACCATTAATTTATGCCTCTAATTGATTTAATTTTTCAGGCACTGCTTTTAGTGTTTATGCATTTCTTTAGATAGCAGCAAAATCATCTTCAATTTATTGCATTTGTGGTACTTAACACTATCCCATTATATATAAATAAAAATTAATTATTAATAAATAAATTAATTAATTTAAGTATGTCAATGAGTGAATAGAGTAAAACAGAAAATAGGATATTTGTGACTGGATATTCAACTAAAGATAAAAATGAAGAAGATATCAAAAGTCTTTTTTCTAAGTATGGGGATATCATTGAATTCTCTTGGAAGGGTCGTTTTTGTTTCATAGTAAAATTAGCGTCTATTTTATTAGGCTTATTCAAAAGCAGAAGAAGCTACAGAAGCTGTGAATCAAATGAATCAAAAAGATTAAGATGGAAATACTTTCGTTGTTGAGATAGCCAGAGCCAAGAAAAAAGATGGGGAATGCTATAAATGTGGAAGAATAGGCCATTTGTAAATATTTAGATGAAAATTAATTAGTGCTCGAAATTGTAGATAAAAAGGAAGATCATCAAGTTCAAGTTCAAGGTATAATTAGTTATATCTAGACGTCATAAAAGAAAGGTTAAGAGACACAGAAAAAGAAGTCCATCCAGTTCCTCCAGTTCTTCTTCATCTTCATCATCAAGAGATAGAAAGAAGAGATAAAAAAAACCAAAAAAAGGAAAAGAATCTTCATCATCAAGTGATTGATTTAAAAAGAATTTGGATATATATCGATGATAAAAAATTATCGTGTTTTTTTGTTGTGAATAAATCAAATCATTTTTTCAATGCTTATTCGTTGTCCCTCAAAATTTATAAAGCAGTCTTTAACGAATTCAATTAGCCTTCTTTCTTGCTTGCATTGGATCTGAAATTTGAATCATATAAATCTTTTTAGACTCTTGTAGTTTCTAATAATTATTAAGTATTTATTAAGTTTTATGATAATTATTTATTTCTTCTTTATGTAATTTTCTATAAAAATATATTATATATAAATTACCAAATCATTTTATCTATTTTTTAAAGCACTAGTAGTTTTTTGATTATCTTATTCTAATTTTTCTCTTACAACAGTAACCTCATTCACTAAAGAATTAAAGTTTTATTCAACTGCTGTTTGATTTGCTTCTCTATTTTATTATCCTTCCTTTATAGATGCTATAATTTATTCAATCAATTCAATTGCTCTTTTAGCAGTAGCTTCATCAAATCTATAAATACTATAAATCTATTTTTTTACTTAGATGAGAATTCTAATAATAATGCTAATGGATGTTTACGACCTAATTCATTTTTTACTTATTTAATCATTTCTTTTTTTTCATTTTCCTCAAGAAATGATCCTGTATTTGAAAGAACTGCTTTTACTAATCTATCATGTATATCTTCTAAAGCTGCTAAAATCTTTGAACTAGCAGATTACTTTGTTTCCAATGCTTCAATTTCTTTTTATCTATTATCTCTTATTTATTCTTCTCTTTAATTAACTGTTTATAATTATTTCTTAACAGCTACACTAGTTGAAGTAAGAGTAGAGATTTCTTAAGTGATTTCACCAATTTTTCTGTTATTAATTTATACATCACTTGATAATGATGCCAAATTTGCTTCTAATTATTCAATACTTGATTCAAATGCAGCCATTCTTGAAGCATGATCTAAATTTGCTGTATTGATTTATCCTATTAAATCATCAACCATTTTTTATAATAATTCAAACACTCTATCCAACTATCCACCTGCCAAGCTTAATTCTAATAATTCAACTAATTAAGAATTATATTCATTATTGTCTAATTTATTTCTTAATTTTTCAAGTGCAGGACTCTCTGTTGCAACTGCCATTGTTACTAATAGCAATACTATTAGGGTTTTAAATGTCATTTAATCCGTTTTTATATTAATTATTAATAATCATTATTATGATCACCTTTATGCAAACAATGTCTAATATTATTTTCTAGTTTAGACCAAAAATAATTTATATATATAAATAATATATTTATACTATAGAATTTAGCATACCATTAATTTCTCTATTATCACTTATCTATTTTTTATAAAAAATCAATTATTTTATAAAGAAATTTTAGATTTAAATTTCTATTTCTATTTAAGCTATATGTAAATTTATTAAGAATGAATCTAATCGTATAAGGGAAAATTATATTATTTAATTGTGATCTTCATAAAATATTCATATATTAATTAAGTAGTACTTACAATTCATTGTTTAAATTTTGATCCCCATGTAAATAAGCATTAATGCAAATTTGTTCTATTTTTTCACCAACATGTATTAGGATTTTTTCTATTGTTTATAAAAGCTCTTATTATAATTTCTAATCAAATTCAATTATTATTGAGTGTTTAAGCGTATAATTTTGTAATCTATTTTAACTCTGATGATCAATACTAGATAAGCTTAACACTAAATTCATGTCTTATTGGTTTACAAAATTTGCTATGTAACTCATTAAATCTTCATACACTGCAGCATTCATTATTTAAATTTTCGATGGATTTATGTTTATACTTGATGAGATATATGTTTAATCACAAAAATGCTAAATAGTTTGCTTAATTTTATTGTGTTATATTATTAATTAATCCTTCCTCTCATTTAAATTAGTTTATTCATCAGCAATTTATTCATCCAAATCACATTCAACAATCGATTTTTTCATTTAATTAATATTTAATATTAAAAGAAATTATTTACTAAAATTAAATATTAATAAAAAAAAAACATTATTAATAAAAGATGTTCAAGTCATAAAATAATAATTCTTAATAGTTATTAAATAAAAGAACTATTTTAAATCGTATTATCATTTGTTATTCAATTTAACTAATTTGAAGAAGGATTAAATTCAAATTTGAAACTTAAGAATATTCCTTATCTAAAGTTCATTTAATGTAATAAATCATTTGATTTAATAATTTAATCTAAATTTTGAGGACATCATTTGAATTGAAATTTTTATTAAAAATTCTTATTTTAATACTAAATAAAAATAATTTACTTTATAATAACACAAAAATTGATTTATATTATATATACTCTTAACTACAGTTTTAGAATTATACAATTCTTTTAATTTAATTGATTAATATTTTTAGTAATGATAAAAATAAAATAAAATTGAATAATAGAATTTAAACAAAAATACATTATATAGAGTAATATTATTGATTGATTTTGGATGATTATTTAAAATAAGATAATAATTTAAGAATTTATAATGGCATCAAATTTAAATCATCTGATTCATTTCAATGTTGAGAATGATTAATTTTTAGATTCAATAATTTGACTAGATTATTACCTATTTAATCTAATTCAAGTGTTTCAAAAATGAATAAACAGATATCTAAACATGATGAATCGTTTTTTGAATAATTTAATTTTTTAAAGTAAATAATCAATTTAACTTAAGTTATTAACATATAAATTAATCTACAAATGATCAGTTTTATAAAATTCCTGCATGAATTTACAAACAAAATGTTATATTATATATTTTAGAATCATTCTTTGAAATTCTAGATATTTTTATAATGTATTTCATGAATTTTCTAAAGAATTTAATAAATAATACTAAAGATTTTGCATTTTATGGGTTCAAAACCATGTTGCTGTGAATCACCTAACAACTCAATTAAAGAAATCAAAATTATAATTCATTAGCTTAGCTAAGAATTTCAGATACCTGCCAATATTCCATAAAAACCTGTACCATTGTAAATGATGTAATCTCTAAAAGAAGAGGATGATTTTGGATTATTTTTGGTAATGGAATAATATGAACGATTACTACATAAACAAAATTATAGAATTAAGTCATTTTCACCTTCATATTAAATTTAGACTGAAACAAAAGACTTCACTACAACATACAATTTAAAAAAACATGTATAAAAGATTAATCTCAAAAAATCAAGATCATTAACTAATTCAAAAATATCAACATCAAGTTAAAAATCTGCTATTAAAAGTATACTCAAATAGAAACCAACATAAAATTAAATATCATATAAATAATAAATTTCAGCTCCATAGAGATCAATTAAAAGTGTACATTTTAACCCAGTTCTAAGTCCTAAAAATAGGATTTCAAGGTAATCATAATTAGCAAAAAAGAGAATTTTCTTAAGGTCCTACTTATGAAATCTTTAATGAATTTATTCTGCCCCTAATTAAAATATGATAAGTTAATAAATTTTATATTTATTTTTCTTAATAAAGTAATTTTCTCAAAATGAGAAACCAATATAATAAAATATTAATATTTACTATAAATTCACTCTTTAAAGATTAGATTTGATTAAATTATTTATATATTCAAATAAATCTTTAATCAAATATTACTTAATAAAATATCATTAAAACAATTTGTTAAATAATATATATATTAAATATTTTTAAATGATAATGATGAATAATCAAAAATAGGAGTATCAATGATAAAAAAATTACAAATTTAATATTATTTTAATAAATTGAAAATTATGATAGAAAATAAGGTGCAATTTTAATTATTTATTAATCAATTGAGTTACAGAATATAGGATAATATATTTAAGTATTATGGTAAAGAATCTCTTTAGGAAATATCTAAATTAATATAATCATGATGATATTGCCTATTTTAATTAATTAATAGGTTTTATGATTCTATAAAATATGCTTTAAGTTTTCATCAAAAAGATTAAGTAAATTAAATAGAAGATATTTACCTAGTAATGAAAGGAGCTCATTTACTTTTATTAGTATATTTAATTTTTATTTAATCAATACAAATAGTTTTTGATTTATTAGAATTATACTAATAATATAGATTAGTATATTTAAAATAATCAAAAATTTGATTGATAGTTTCAAATATTGACATTAAAAATATAATAAACTTTTTTTAATAATGGATTCGATAAGTAATGCTAATTATCAAGTTACAATCAAATTTTAAGTCGATATTTAATAAAAAGAGTAAAAAATGATTTGATTGTTTTGACTTTATAATGACAATTTGAATTTCTTAATAGATTGCTTTTTTATTTGACAATAGTAGTATTGATTATTTAATGAATAAGAAATTTATACTTTATGGTTTATAAAGTGTATGATAAAATTAATTAATAAATATATCAATGTATAGGTTTAGATAGCTTTGGAAATTTAGCACACTCTAATTTCACAAAGGAGCTAGTGAATATTAGAATGTCTCTGAAAATGTTGTTTTGAGAGGAGTAACAATTAAAGGTAGATATAATGATTTACCTAATTTGCTGTTCTTTACCGAAGCATGTGATCCAGTTGAAAATTGGATACCATTCTTTAGTGATCCAAACAACAAAGTAGAATTGTAAATAAAATACTTAGATATTGGATTATCGAAATGTGCATATTTTGAGTCCTAGAAATTTTGGTACATCAGATAAACATTATTCATTTGATGTTCAAGATTTAGCAAATGATGTTGTCAGATATATGTACTATAACAAAATTACAATGGCTACATTAAGTGGACATGGATTTGGAGCTAAAGTAGCTTTGGCAGCAGGATGTTATCATCCAGAGAGAACAACCGGTGTATTTTGCATAGATTATTCTCCTATGGATTAAAGATATCATGAAGCATTTACAGAATTCAGAGGCTATATTGCAAAATTATCATAAATAAATACAAAAGAATTAACTAAATCATAAATTGAATCTTATTTAAAAGAGAATATTGATGTATTCAAATTGAATTACTTAGTGTCCAAAATGGAGATTAATTTTTAGTGATAATCTTATTAAATTGTCATCTGGTTAATGGGATTGGAAGTTTGCACTCAAATTTTTACATAATAATGTTTCATTTAATAAAGCTGATTCTATAGCTTTCTGGCCAGTTAAAGCAGGTCTCTATACAGGAAGAGCTCATTTTGCATTTCCTGAATTCTCAAGATGGGTTCATCTTGGAACCAATACTTTACCTATGTTGAAAGTCTGTCCATAAGTTAGAGGATTTGGTCATGATGTTCATTCTGTTTAAGGTGATAATAATACATTAAATCATTGGATCTATGAATTTAATAATCAATCTTTTGTATTTGCAAGTAGATTTACAAAGTAATTCAAAATTCTTAATTAGATTTTTGTCTATGTATGATGGAGTTCATTTATTATTAAAAGATAGAACTGAAGTAGGTAAAGAATTTGTTCCCTCTATTATTTATTCAAAAAAAGATCCAAATCATATCTATTCTGATTATTCTCCTGCTCATTATTATCATAATTGGAGATTCAATAATGTCTATAAAAACTTAGACACACAAAATAAATGAAAATATAAAATCAAAAATATTGCATAATATTTATACCAATCATTAAATCTACAAATCTATTCTTGCCAATATTGTATCATCTTATTTTAATATTCCATTTAATTAATCATTTTGCTTTAAAGGCCCAACACCATGAGGAGTTCCTGTTAATACTAAATCACCTGGATTTAGTGTCATGAATTTAGAAATATAACAAATCAAATCTGCAATCTTGTAATACATTGAACTTGTTTTATCTTATTGTACAATTTTATCATTTATTCTTAATTCTAAAGTTAAATTATAAGGATCTTGAATCTTTTCTTTTCCAATCAAATTACTTATTGGAAAGAATAGGTCTTGCCCTTTTGATAAATCCCAAGGAAATCCTTACTTTTTAAAATGGGCTTATAATTCTCTATCTGTTAAATCTAAAGCCAGAAAATATCCACCTACGTAATCATACCAATCCTCTTTTTTTATGTTCTTGCCTTATTTACTTATCATGAAACCAAGCTTATATATTAATATAAATTTTTACTTCTATTTCATGATGTATTTCATGGCCAAGTTCAGGTAACTTTAATACTTATGGTTTATCAACCAAAAATATAGAAGTAAAAGGTTTTTGAAATATGACAGGTTCTTTTGGTGGTTCCTCTCCTCCCATTTCTTAAACATGTTTTACATAATTCTTTCCTACTGCCAAAATTTTTGGATTATTTGGATTTACTATTTTCTTAAATAATTCTTCCATTATAATTTTTATTAAAATTGATTAATGAAAATAATTTATATGAAATTTATCTACTTTTTAAACCTTCTAATATAGTATTACTTTTGTTTAATCACTTATTAAATCTATTACATAATATGTTTCTATTGCAGTTTTTATGTTTTACACAAAATAATAAAACTAATTCCTTTTGAAATCTTGTATAAAAATATATTAATTAATGGATTCAAGCGATTCTTAAGAAGATTCATATTAGAAAGTATAAAAAATTATGAAATAAGGATTCATTACTAGAAATACTCTAATTTGGATAATTCAAGAAGTAAAATGAAAGTGAAAAATTATCAATCGATATTTCTAATCATGTGTTAAACTTAGGAATGTTCACAAAACCAAAATAAAATTACATTTAAAATACAAATCATACTAAAGAATTATATATTTCTATCATTAAAAGTATCACAATATATAAATTTAAGAGATCACAGATCAATTAGTTTATTAAGTAATATCAATATATTGAGTCAGGATCAAAGAAATTTATTCAGTCCAAAAAAAATAATACTTGGACTATAAGATTATTTATTAGAAAAACAGGTTGAAAGAATATATAATACAGTAAGAAGAAAAAGTTGTATATGTACTAAATGTGGTCATTAAAGTGATTTTGAAAAACGAACTAACTCTTTTTCAGTGAGAACCTAGCAATAAATAAATACATAAATACGTTTATTAAATTACAACACAAGAAATCAATTTAAACAATAATCTTTAATAAGACTACACAAAATAAAACAATTATAAAACTAATGTCATTATTCAAGTCTTTCAGCTCAAATAGATAATTAATTATAATTTAATTAAACACCATTAGTAGAACCAACCATAGTTAATATTAAATGGAAATTCAAAAAGAAAACAATAATTTAACCTGTTGTATTAAAGCAATACTTACCAACAACAAAAAATTACTTTGTAAAATAATATCATCTTACTTCAAGAACAGGAACCAATAATACTCCTACATAAAAAACCTTACCTTCACTTAAGACTTTAACTTAGAGTAGAAGAAATCTATTTGATAATAAATATTATTGATTTAAAAATATTTATTATATTATTACAATCTAAATATAAGAAAAATTAGAATTAAATTGCAAAATATGAGATTTTAATAGAATTTAAACATAGAATTTTTAGTATATTTATATAAACAATCTAATTAATTTAAAAAAACATAAACTGTTTTATTAAATACATTTTTTTATAATTCTATATTTTTTAATATTAAATTATTATAATTTTAATTAAATTTTGAGTTAATGTAGATATGAAGAGTATTGATATAATCAAACTCCTTTTTTTTACAAAAATTCCTCTGCCTAAGCTATCTTTTAATGATAAAGCATTGTAATTTCAATGATAATCTGGTTTTCTTCATGTCTTTTTTATTTCTCCATCACATATTTAGCCTTTTATTAGTTATAAGCATCTAATAATTATAGAAAATCAAAAGATTACTTTAAGTCTATTATAAAATTCTTTATGTATTTCCTAATATCTTCTCACATTAACTAACAACATCTTATGCTAATTCTTTATCATCTTCTAAACTATTTAAAAATTTTAATCTGCTATCATATTCTTATTTTAATAACACTTATTCATTTAATAAATTTCTTCTATAATCCACAAAATCATTAGCAGATGTAATTTCTTATTCTTCTAATGTTTAAATATGTTCTTATATTTTAGAAATTAATCCTTGAACTTTTCCAACAATTTCAGAAACCACTTAATTTGCTTAATCTTCTTATGAAACCTCTAAAATCATATAGAAAATTTACCCACTTAAGAGAAAACTTCTTTATGGTCTATCATATTAGTATAGAGTGATAATTTAGAAGTATATTCTTAAGCCTCCTCTTTTTATAAGAATGCATTTTATTCTTTGAGTTGTAAATCACCATTAACCCATTCTAATACATTTAATGCTTCCCTATAATCTCTTAATGCATCAATAAATAAAGAATTTGCTTCACATCTTTATTCAGCTAGATCTTCTAATTTCATATCATTTGACTTTCTTCTCTTTTCATTCCAATTCAAATAATCAGTAGTTTAAGCAATTTTATCATCTACTGCTTCTAAATCTTCTGAATTCTTTTGCAATGATTCATTATTCTCTTTCATAATTCCAGTAAATGCTGCACAATCATTCAATACACCTCCTTCATATTCTTAAAATGCTTTGTCTGCCTATTCTTTAGTTGTAAAGATCTCATACTTTTCTATCTAATTCTACATTAGCATTTTTCAAGTCTTCTAATAATTGTAATACTGCTTAAATAGCATCTCTAGCAGTTCCTAATCCAGTTCCTGTGCTTATCAAATTTAAAAATTCAGGATTGAATTTATGTTATTGTTAACATAGAATAATTGTTATCAAAGTTAATCCTATCAGAAGTCTCATTTCCGTTTTTATTTCCAATATAATATTATAAATTATATTTAAAACAATACAAAAAATAATATTATTCATAACGTTGAAAGTAGAATGATCAAATTTTAACTTAAACTTCACATACTTTATCAATTTAATTGAAAGAATAATTTCATTTCAAAATATATAAATAATATTTTCAATTTTTCAAAATTTATCTAGAATAATATTTTCTATAAGAATGAGTTATGTGTTTCTATATAGTAATCCCTCTATGAATTATACAAATATTATTGTAATAATTTTTTAATTTACTCATTTTTTAGATTGTAAAACAAAATTTATAATTATAAATAAATTTTTTAGAATGGAGACACAATAAGGGTTACGGAATAATTATGACAATTCAAGTTTTTGGGAGCCCAAATATTTCCTAATGGCTATGATCTTTTGCTTTTTAATCTATTTTTTTTTGAAGAATAATAACAAAAGAGAACCTATTAAGGTATTTTGTTTTTGAATTTAAATAAGGATAGAGTATGGAGGAAATTTGCTTTTTCATATTAAGAGATGATGAATTAATTTGATAATTCTGAGAAGGAACTTCTTAAGCATACTTTTCATAATACTATTTTTAATACAAAACCTTCTCTAGTAACTAATGATACAAGAAAACCAAGCAAAAAGACATGCAATGTATCTTTTGATTTAGATAAAAATGTTACTCATATGTTTTAATAAAATGGATATTGAATGTAATTATTTTCTTGAGAATTCATTAATTAAATATGTTAAATATATTCATAAGTTATTTTTCTTGATTTAGTCAGATAATTTCCTCTAATAAATATAAATTTATTAAACAAATTAAGGATAATTCACTATGAATGATAAAAATAATAAATGAATATATGATAATTTATATAAAAGAAGCTACAAATATTCATAATTTATTTTTAATATATTATATAAATTGAATTAATTTGAAATGTTTATAAACATTAACTTAAACTATAAATACTAATTATAATTACATATAATAATAAAAAATAAGATATTAATAATGATATAATAAAATTGAAATTTTAAAATATATGATAGTAATAACAAATCAAACTAAAAATCGAATAATAAATGTTTAATAATAGAAATAATAATTAAAAAAAATGATAAATTAATAATAAAGAAATTAAATATTATGTTTGAATAGTAATTTAAAACAAGAGAATATTTACATTTGATTTTAAATATTGCTATTTCATCACTCTTTGCAGTATTGGAGCAACTATTATGTAATATTTAAGGGACTTTAATATGGGATCTTGTATTTATTCCTTGTGGCATAATATTCTCATTAATACACATAACTTCATATTTTCATTGGAATAAAGGTATGAAAACTTAATTAAAAATAGGTGATTTGTCTTCTTTTTTTTTTTGGGCCTTATTAATGAAGAGAATATTTCTTTTAGGAATTAATTAAGGAGAATTTGTATTCTTTTTATTTGGATTATTAAATGGAATATATACAAACAAATTAAATATTAATGATTCAAAAAAGTACTATTTGAAATCTAAGACCATTATATAGGTTTTAGTAATATTTGTGTTGACAATCATAAATTTGATTAAAGAGTTTAGTGAATATACTAATACTTTTATAGCAATATTTATAATTCTTACAATAATAATAGGTATAAATGATAATATTGATTTATAAAATAAAACTATTACTAAGTAAGAAGAATTTTAAACAGATTTGAAACATAATTAATTTGAAATAAAGAAATGTTAAACAACAATATTTTAAATGTAATAATAACAATAATAATAAAAATCAAATTGGGAATAATATTAATAACAAACAGATGAATGGATTTGTAAGATAGATTTGAATAGATATTCTTTAACAGAAAGTTTAAATTCTTGTGAATAAAATTATGCATTAAGAAAATCTTTATGTGATTATAAACTTTCTATTTAACAATTATTTTAAAATTTGTTGATTACAAGTTAATAGACTAATTTATAATAATCAATTAATTTATGGTCAGAAATTGTGGAGACAAATTCATTATAGAATTGGTTGGAAAAAAACTATTTTTCAGAGAGTTCAGCTTCTAAATTGGAATAAGCCAGATAAAAATAATATAGATATGGTATTGATGGGATTTAAGGTATGCAAGAGGATTAAATATCAATAATTTCACCATAGAATGAAGGCAAAGGCACATTTAATAATAAAGATTAAATTCATGAATTTTCTGGATTGTCTGCTCTTTAATAGCATGGTGATATGCAAGGATCTAATTCTATTTTATCTAATAAAACAACATTAGGTTGTTATTTTTAGACAAATTAAATAAGGATTGAGATGAGGGCTTCTATATTTTTAATGGAAGATGAATTTGATAGTAAAAAATAAATTTTAATTTTGATTCTGAGAAATATTGATAAAGAAATAACAAAAATAAAAACTAGTTTAGAAAGAACTGAATAATAGAGGATTGTATTTTATAAATATATAAAAAGAGTAGCTGATGATGTTTGTCAGATATTATAATAAATAGTGTAAATAAAAAAGATATTAGATTAGCGATAAAAGTAATATATTATTATAAACTAAAAGAGAATTTGATAAGATAAAGTAAAATAACTTCATTACTTTATCATTCTGTGACGGTGATGCATTTATTAAGTCTGAAAAATAGATAGGTGAAATGAAACTATCATAAAAATTAAGTATACCTATTTAATCACCTGTTTAATCTGCATTTCAAAGAGTTACTTCATCTTTAAGTTAATAACATGATATTTAAGAAGAATAAATATAAAAATTACATACTATTTCATAACCTACTGAATTAACTAAATAAATAGATAAATGGTAATTGAATGTAATTTAAATGGAATAAAATAATTTTAATTTTTTTGAATTATTTTCTATAAGTGAATATAAATCAGATAGATTTAATTTTATTACAAGTTTAAATATAGTGAAGGAGTTATTTAAGAATGATAGTATTGTTATTAAATACAATATCATAATATCTTAAATATTAATAAATGAAAATGAAATGGAATTGACTTCAGATAAAAGAAGAGTTAAACAATTGCTAATCAATATAATAAAAAATTCTATTTAATGTTTTGATTATAACATTTCTAAAGTAAAATCTGAAAATTTATAATCAATATTAACTGACTAAAAATAAGAGATTAATTAATAAGAATTAAAAGTTTAAAATACAATAATAATCAAATCTTGGGCAGATGTTGAAAAAATAACAGTAGAAATTACTGATAATGGTGGAGGAATTTCATAAGAAATGATCAAAAATAGAATTTAAGATTGTAAATTAGGATTATAAGCATGTCAAAAGATTCTAAAAAATTTATCTCATGATCCAAAAAAACCTTTAGAGATTATCAATTATATGAAAACTAAAAATGGAATAAAGGGTACTGTTGTCTAATTTACTTTATCTAAATAATTTGTGCCTACATAATCAAATGAAGAAAATATATTCTCTGATTCATTGACTATTAATAATAAAGTTGAATTGAATTGATAATATATTTAAATTAAATGTAATCTCCTAATAAAAGTGCTTTGTCTCATAGAGATTAATCAGATGATATTCGACCATTGACAGTTTAAGAACATCCAGATTTGGGACCATTTAAAATAACTCCTCAATAATTATAATAAATATTTCATCTAAACACAAGAAGAAGTACATGTGAGGAATTAGATTATTTAATATAACAAGGTGGTATTGGTAATTTAATATCATTATTTATTAATTTAAGATTGGTTAATTGATGGTTTACATACATCTATAAAAGATGGAATTAATGATGACCATAATTAAAGAATATAAGTTTATGGTCATAATAAAAGAATAGTAAGACCTCCATAAACATATTGTGAATTGTTATGGAATGCATTAGAAGATTTTACAATGCGAGTTTTATTAATAGCATCAATAGCCAGTATTGTAATAGAAGTGGCTACTGCAGATAATGAGCATCGTCATTTAGCTTGGATTGAAGGATTTGCTATATTTATTGCAGTTTTGGTCTGTACTAATGTTGCAGCAATGAATGATTATTCAAAAGAGAAATAATTTAGAAAGCTAAATGCTGCTAGTGAAAAATCAAAAATAGTAACAGTAATAAGAAATAAATAATTGATATAAATTCATGAAGAGTAAGTATTGGTAGGAGATATTTGTAAATTAATAGAGGGAATGGAAATTCCTGCTGATGGAATATTACTTGAAGCTTCTGATGTAAAAATTGATGAATCTTCAATGACTGGAGAAACACATTCAATTACAAAAGGAACAATTAATTAATGTTAAAAATAGAAATAGGAATTAAATGATGAAGGAGTATAATTAGGTGAATAAGATAGATTTAAGATACCATCTCCTGCATTATTATCTGGTACAAGAGTATTAGAAGGAGAAGGATTATTTTTAATTTGTGTAGTAGGTGATCTTTCATGTTTAGGTTAAATTAAAGCATCATTAGAATAAGAAGAAGAAGAAGGTATTATAATTTAATTATAAAAAATAGAGACACCTTTATAAGTTAAATTGACTATGATAGCAGAAGATATTGGTAAATTTGGATTGATATCAGCAGTATTGATATTCTTTGTATTAATGATTCGTTTTGCAATAGAGAGAGGGATAGCAAATGAATGGGATCATAGTAAACATTGGATGGAAATATTAAATTTTATAATTCTTTCAATAGTAGTTCTTACAGTAGCTATTCCAGAAGGATTACCTTTGTCAGTTACAATATCTTTGGCTTATTCTGTTCAAAAGATGATGGATGATAAGAATTTAGTTAGAAAAATGTATGCTTGTGAAACTATGGGAGGAGCAGATTCTATATGTTCTGATAAAACTGGAACATTAACTATGAATAAGATGGTGTTAACAAAAATTTGGAATAAATAATTTTATGAAATTGATTATTTGGCTAAAGAATAAAATTTGAATTAGTTGATATAAAAATCAATGGAAAATCTATTTTTAGAAGCATTGTGTTGTAATTCATCAGCTGAATTGACACCTGAATCAGGATCAAAGACTGAGATAGCTATACTAGAATATTTATAGAAAGCAAGAGTAGAATATAGAAAGATGAGAGAATCAGTGAATTATATAAAAAAAAATCCATTTAATTCAGCTAGAAAAAGAATGAGTGTCATTGTTGAAACTAAACATAATGGATTACCAGTTAAAAGATTATATATTAAGGGTGCATCTGAAATAATAGTACAAAGTTTAACTCATATGCATACTTATGATGATTAGAAAATTAAATTAGGAGTTAAAGATATATAAGAGATTGAAAGAATAATAATTTAGATGGCTAAATAATCATTAAGAATAATATGTGTTGCTTATTTAGATTTAGTAGGAGATGAAGACTTATAGAAAATAAATGGTAAAGTCTATGATATCGAGACTCATGATCTTACATTTCTAGGATTATTTGGAATTATGGATAATTTGAGAGAAGGAGTTAAAGATGCAGTTACTAAATGTAAAGAAGCAGGAATAAAAGTAAGAATGGTTACAGGAGACAATTCAGAAACTGCAAGAGCTATTGCTATGAGTTGTGGAATTATTGAATAAGGAGATAGTCAAGCTATTGTAATAGAGGGAGCTGAATTTATGAAATAAGTTGGAGGTGTTGTTTGTAAAAATTGTACAACTGAATAATGTAAATGTGCAAGATCATCTAATGAAGCTGAAAAGAATGGCACTTCTTTAAGAGTAGATACTTTGGGCAATATGTCTAGATTTAGATAAATATATCCTTAAATTGCTGTTATGGCAAGATCAAGGCCTACTGATAAATATGCTATGATTATTGGATTAAAAGAATGTGAACATATTGTGGCTGTTACAGGAGATGGTACTAATGATGCACCAGCCTTAAAAAAAGCAGATGTTGGTTTTGCTATGGGTAAAGCTGGAACTTAAGTTGCTAAAGATGCATCTGCAATTATTTTAATGGAAGATAATTTTAGTGATATTGTAAAAGCTGTTATGTGGGGTAGAAATATATTTTAATCCATAAGAAAATTCTTATAATTTTAATTAACTGTTAATGTTGTTGCAGTGGGATTCACTTTAATCTCCTCTGCTCTATTAAAACAAGATGTACTTAAACCTATATAAATGTTATGGGTCAATCTAATTATGGATTCTTTTGCTTCTCTTGCTTTAGCTACTGAACCACCTTCAGAAATACTCTTGAAGGATCGTCCTTATTCAAGATCTGAATCTATTGTTACTCATAAAATGATTAAACATATAATTGGATAGGCCATTTATCAATTAACTGTCATACTTATTCTTGTTTTTCTAGCTTAAGAATTCATACCTGAATATGTTGATGATTATGATGATGTTATTAAAGAAAGAATATAAGAAAAAATTGAAGAAGATTCTTAATTTGTTTTTGAACAATCTTCTTTATATCATCCTAAATATAATACAGATTATTATCCTGAATCTTTGAGATTAAGAAGTGGAAGATTCTTAACTGTTACTAGTCATAATGATTTTGAAGATATTTTTAATGAATTTAGAATACCATCTCGTCATTATACCTTTATTTTTAATGTTTTTGTTTTCATGCAAGTTTTTAATTTTATTAATAGCAGAAAATTAAATGATGAATTTAATGTTTTCGCCAATATATGCAATAAGTAATTTATTATTATATTAAGTCCCTTGTTCATTCTAATTGTATTCTTTATAATCATTTTACAAATTATTTTAGTGACATTTGGTAGTCTTGCTTTTTCTTGCTATAGTTATTATGGACTAACAATACAATAATGGGTAATCTCTCTCATTATTGGTTTAATTGGATTAATTATAAGTTTCATATTAAAACTCATACCTGAATAACATGTATATTATTAATTATATTTTCTTAGATATGTCCAAATAAATAAATTATGGTTTAAAGGACTCTTGATAAAAAACCATCAGGAATTCTAGAATTAAGAAGAGGATCATCTTTAAGGAAAAAATAATCTATGCATGAATAACCACCAATTTAAGATAATCATATATAATTAATTGAAAAATGATTTTAAAGTTTTCATTTAATGGATTTTAATGATGAATTAGTTTTTGATGCATTTGATTATTTCATCTATTTGATTGGTGTTATGTTTGACTTAAGTTTAGTCAATTAATTAAGTGACTTTGATATCGATAATATACTTTTTCCATTTGGACTTTTGTTTAAACTATTGAAGTTTAGATTATATGTAAACTATTCTAAATTGTATTTCTACTCTTACAATTAAGATAGTTAATTATTCATTTACAATATTTCCTATTCTAATTGTGCTTTATTTGGTTTTGTTTTATTAATCATCTAATCTTGTACCAATTATATAGATTATTTTATTTCATATATCTTATTATTTAAATCATTTTCTTATCTTTAAAATTAATCCATTTTCTTTTTAAATTCTTATTCCATATATTAAATTTCTTATTCTATCTTATTTGTTCTTTCTAAATAATTTTTATCATTTTTATTCAAATGTTCAATCTCTCTTTTTAATTTACTTAATTATTAAACAACTTATTTCATTTAAGGTAATATCTATTGATCAACCATAAAAATATTAGTATTTATTGCCTATTCAGAAGTTTCAAATTTTTCAATCAATTTCATAACATGAATAAATTATTACTAAAATTAAAAATATATAATTACATTCTCTTACTCTTATATTAGCTAAATTATTTCTTCCTAAATGCTCTACATCATCTTATCATAACCCTAATGCTCTTTCATCTATTATAACTGTTCTTTATTCTAAGTTTTGTACATATCATAAGCTTCTAAGGCAGACTATTCAATCATACTCTAGAATTAATCTTAAGCACTTTCTTAGTTTTGAAAAAATACATTTACTCATTTATTTTAAATTATTCCTATTATTCTTCCAATTATTTGATCATCAATCTTTTCATTTCAATTTAATTGTCAATTTCTGATATCTTATTCTATATTTATAGATCCTCCCCATATTGCCTTAGTGTTAATTTCATTTCCTATAATTATGTTTATACTAATTTTTATTGCATTGAAACTATAATAAACTATTCTAATTATGTAATAAATTCTTTCATACTAACCCAATTAGTTCCTTAATTTGAATTCTTAAATAAATTATTTCTTAATGTTTATAGATAATGTGTTAATTTAGAATAAAAATCACTTTAATCAATTGATTATACATCATTCTGTAATTAAAATTCTTAAACTAAGTTATCTGGATGAGATAAATTTAAACTTTTATGTAATGGAATAATTTTATTTCTTTAAATCTTAATTTTTTAATTAGCTTAATGTAATTAAACTTCAAGTAATGTAGCTTAATGTTATAATCCTAATTGTTTTTACTTTTCTTCTCTTTATTATTATAATACTTTAATCTCTTTGTCCTATATTACTATTTGATTTTGATTATCTTAATATTTTTTACCATTTGTAAAGTATAATTAAGAAATAGTAAATAATTATTCATTCTAATTTTTAATTTATTCAACAAATTCTTCCAATTCTTCCTTTTATCCTACTAACTCAGCTCTTTATAATAAGTGAGTATTTAAGTCTTCCTACAAAATTTATTTAGTTTCTATCATTTAACAATATAATTCATTAGCATTTTATTTCTATTTTATAAATCCTTAATGTTCTTTATTAATTGTTTCATATAAACTCTTAAGTTTATTAAATTCAGATTCATAAAAATCAAAAACTGAACTTTATTATCTATCAATATCTAATTACATTTAAGAATAGCTATATTATCATAATAATTATTACTTTTGCTCTTCTAATCTAAGATCTGATAATTATTTTTAGAGACTATCATAATCAATTGATTTCATTGTATTATTACCAAGTAAAACATTAATCTTTTATTTGATCAATTGTTAGTAATTATATATACGTTTGTTGATTTAATCTAACTATTCAAATATGTAATCCTATTCATCGTTCTCATCTCTTTTTTTTGCTGGACTATCTGAAATGAATTTCTATGATAACATAGTTTAACGATAATATTATTTAAAATTAAATTTGTAAGTTTTTTTCATTTGCCACATTTAATAAAGAGAAACTAGAAATAGACAAATATTAATATTTTAAATATTCAATGGCTTCTCATTATAATACAACTCCTTAGAAAATCCTCTAAAATTATAGCACTGATCATTCTTAAAGATATGTCTCTACTTGCAGTGATGGTTCTGACTAAGACTCTGAGAATCTAATTAAATAACCTACAATGAGAAAGAAGAGTTTTGCAACTCCAGGTGATAAAAATGATTAATCAGATGGCAAAAGACAATAATTAAGAACTAAAATCTGTAGAAACTTCCAAGAAAAAGGTTATTGCCATTACAAAGACAAGGTACATTTAAATGAAATGAAAGTGTTCTTTTATACATGAACCACATAGAATAGAGAACTTTGCCAATAGACGAATTAAACCTTGTCGATCTTTCTTTTCTATTGGTGTCTGTCCATTAGGTCTAAATTGTCAGTATGCTCACTATGAAGTAATTGATAAAGAAGAACTACGAGATTTTGTTGAAAAGACATTTAAGGAACAAAAGCTTATGGTCCCATTACATCCAAGTATTAATTTAATCATCATAATTAGACAAATTACAACTTGATATGAGAAATGACTTACAAAGATTTTAACATTTGTATAAAATCTTTGGAAGAAAGTTAAGCTTCAAAAGAGATGATTTACTTATCAATATTTGCAGAGAGTAAGATAATATTTTATATAAACAGAAGAAATTCCATTTTCCTTAGACTTTGCTAAAGTGAGGTACAGGAATTCGACAACTTTCTATCATGATTCACCTAATATATATATATATATAGTTATTCTATAATACTGAATAATTCCTTAAAAATAATGTAATATATAAAACCATGCAGTTTAGGCATGAGATTTATATTTAAAAAAATTAAACTTTTTCTATTATTAGAAACTTGAAAAATAATTAAAATTTTCATACTAAAACTCAATCACTTTACATTTTGAAACAAAGAACTTAATACAAAAGAATTTGAAAAACAATAAATATAATAAAATTTACTATAATTTTATTAATAAAATAAAATCGAAATTTTGATTCATTCAGTTTAATAGAGTGCTTTCACCATAGGTAATATATTTTTGCCATTGTCTTTCCATTCTTCTATACATTGTTAAGCCCAAGAATTGTAGACTTGTTTTTCAGATTGATTTCTTTATTGCATTTATAAGGATTCTTTCAACTCTTACATATATTAATTTCTACGTTGCTACTTTTTAGCTTCCTTGTATAAATATAAATATTACTATCTATATTTTCTAATATTCTTATAAATCTTTATTCCTCTTTTTCAATACATCATTTTATAGCTATTCAACTTATTCTAATTATTCCAATGCTTTTAATTTTTATTTAAAATCTACTTCCTATTCGGCTTATTAATTAGTCTTCTTTTATTATTAAATTTATAGCTATTTCAATCTCATAGTTTCTGCATCTTAAACCATTTAAGCTTTTTCTAATTCTTTCTATTTAAGTTCTTCCTCTTATTTTTATTTTAGTTCTTCAGCATGTTTTTGAATGGTTTACATATAATTATCTTCTTATTATTTTTATTGTTCCACTCTCAAATCATAAATTTACTTTCTAAGTTATTCTTTTTTCTATTATTTCTAGTTTTCCTAAATACTATAAAATTGATTTTATACTCTATCTTTTCTCATCTATAATACTTTTTCTTTATGATATTCATGCTCAATTATTTTCTTATCCTCTTCCTCCAATATACTTTTCTCATGTTCTTATAATTCTCTTCTCTTATCCATAAATTCTTCATGTTCTTTGAGTAATTTCTATTACTTATTTTTGATCTCTTATTTTTATTATCTAAATTATTATAATTGATTACTCTCTAAGTATTTCATCTTCCTCTGCTTTTTTCTTAATTAATTAACCTTCTTATTTATCTAACATCATTTCCTTCAAATATCTCTCCTTGACTTATTTATGTTAATCAGCTAAAATTTCATTGCATTCTTTCTTCTTCTTTAATTATTTCTCTTTTCTAATCATTAATTCTTATTCTTTATAATATTCCTGCATTTCATATTCTTTTTCTTTTTCCTCTTCATGTATTTTTTTAAGTTCTTTTTATTCTTTATTAATTGCATTTAATTATTCATTGATCCTCTCAACTTCACTTAACATCATTTAAGCTTTCAAATTACGAACACTATAATTTTATAAATTTTATTATACTCTCCTCTTTGATCAAATATTTTTTAATTTGATTCCTTTACAAGCTCATTTTTAAGTCTCTCTTAATATTCTTCCTCTTCTTTATCAACCTTTCTTCTTTCTTCCTCCTCTTTTGTAAATCTCTCTAATTTTTCAGCCTCTTTTTATTATCTTTACTTAGTTATTCGTTACGCCCAAAGTCTTTGATTATCAAGTGTCTATTAATATATTTTATATTACTTTTTTGGTTTGTTTCTCACCCTATATATGACTTTTAATCTAATATAATTCACTTAAAGCAATAACTGATACAGAATTAACTTATTCTTATTTAATACTTGGCAATTAAATGGATTGCTAATGTACTTAAATTCTTAAATTACAACTTTGGATTAAACAGCGGCTTGCTCTTCTGTTGAATATCTTGATTTTGCCTTACTCATAATTTTATATAATTAAATAATTATATTAAAGGATAAAATGAATAATATAATCCATCTAATTTTGTTATTGATAAAGGAATATCATTAATAAATTAATAGTTAATGATTATATACATTAATTAAATGGGATGAGAATAAAACAAAATCACTATGGAAGGGTTTATAGATTTTATGAAGGTTTCTTTTCTATTCTTATTTTTGAAACCTCGCAATATTTTGGCAGTGAAAATTTTTTCTTTATTGATGCAAATTATTTTTTATCTTGATTTTACAATAGACTGCACATTTCTTTTGCACAAATTCTAATGTCCTATTCATTTAATCCAGTAAGGGGAACCATCTAATCTTAATTCCATGAGGGATGGATTCTTCTAATTTTATGGACCAAATAAATAGAAGCACTAGCCAATACATTATTAGAAAATTAAATCGTTGAATATTCTAAAATTGAGAGTTCTATTAAATATCTATAAATAATTTAAATATTTAGATTACCTTGCTAACATGTAATTTTTTTGATCCAATTTTGCTGTTTCTTAATAAACATTTAACATTCTTAAAGGACTTGTTGTAAGTAAGTCAAATCCCAACAATTAAATTATTTTCCCCTCTGTTGCTAATATCTCTTCTTTTGTATATGCATTATCGCAAACATAAACTAAATCTCTTACATGAGGGACAGAATAAACTTCTTCATATTTGGATGCTATAAACAAGGCAGTCACTCCATACAGTTAAAATTTGGATTTTGTAATCTATTGAATTTCAAGTACTCTCAAATTTATGATAAAATTTACCTATCAATTATTGAAATGGTTAAGAATAATGTTTCTGTATCTAATTTGAATTTAAAATGAACATCAACTATCCAATCAAGTAAGATACTTCGCATTTTTTCTGTAATCTCAGTTTGAAATTAAAAAGCATTCAGTTTATAATTTGATCGACACTACATTAAAATTAGATTAATTACACTTTTTTCTTTCATATATGTCACGATTTCTTTTTTATATGCATTGACAGATTATGGATTATCAATTTTTTTGGGCAATTAAAAACTTTTATTTGTTAATAATGTAGCAACTCCACTAGTAATACTGAGGTTTCTTCCATTTCTTAAAGGCATTGACATATTTGAATCTGTTTTGACTCTATGAAATCCTTCTTTTGTACGATTACTAGATTCATCATTCAATTTTAATTATGGTTTTTAAGGTGGGATCATTGTATGAAATGAGTTTGATGACTTCTCTCTGATTGCCAATGATGATTATACTCTTTGATGTTTAGTGCCATTGTTAAAATTTTCTTTATTATAATCAGCAACACAAAAAAAGCGTGGGATTTGATTTGTTTTCATTTTGAATATAAATTATTTAACGGAAAAATACTATTTTAATTAAATTAATTATTCATTTACGAGTACCTTTAGATCTCCACTCTATAGATTTCTTTTCTAAATTTTTGTCTATGTCTTTTTATGTGTCCTTTTCTGGCCCTAAACCCCACTTTCAAATTAATAGAAATTATGTTACATCTTGTTATATTCTAGTAATAGAAGTTTATTGATTATTATTTTTTTAATTATCATCTGAAGGCCGTGACCGTTTATAGATTGAAGTTGATTTATTGTTTTATTCTCTAATAATTTAACAAGATGGAAGTTTTTTTTTTCCATTTTAATATTGAATTTTAAATGAATTATTTGAGAGATTATGAGGACTAGTTTCATCTAATTAACCTTGTTATTCAGTTTCCTCATAATCCATCAATTTTAATGTTTCTTATTAACATAAATCTTTTGATGAATCATCAGTTGTTTATTTTTTAGCACTTTAGTTGTGAGGCCAACAACTAGGATCTGTAAGAGTTTATCTAAATATAGTTTCTGTTTATTTCTAATAAAATAGAACATAAGCTTATGAATCAACTATTACCTTTTCAGGATCTTATATCTAAAGTTAAAATACTTTTACCTAATGAACTGCATCATCATTATACATATACCATTAATTATCAATTCTATGTTTACAAATAGAAACATAATGGCCATATTATAATGAACCATGATGCTATGCCACTGCATACAAATTATAAATAGTATCATTCTATTCAAAACAATAAGGAGACATATTTAATTAATTAATAGGGAAATTAACTTTCTAAGTAATCTTACCTGTCTATTTAGATCCATATTCAAATCTCTTAAGATGAACAATTAAAATATTAGGTAATTTCCATATTCTAATTCCTTTTTTACAATCTCTAGTTTCTTTACATTTTGGACATTTCCATTATATAGTTTCTTCCTATTAAAATTGATCCAAACACTCTGTTAATTCACAAACTGTGTCTTATTTTAATTAGGAACTTCCAAGTGTTTTAGATTAAAATGATTGTTGTTTTTATTATTATTATTATTATTATTATTATTATTATTATTATTATTATTATTATTTGATAGGTAAATTTAGAAATAAAAATGGTTCCCATTTATGACTTTGATATTTACATATTTTGCATTCAACTTTAGATTTTAATTATCCCTAAAACAAATCAACCACAATACTCTTATTGATTTTAAGATGTTCACCCCATGATTCTGCTGCCCATTCTTCTTTTGGTTCACCTATATAATCTTTTTCTTTAATTATCTCCTTCTTCTTACATCTATTCAAATCTTCATGAATTATATCTAATAAATAACTCAATAACTCTTGACAATCCTCCTGCTCTAATTAAATATGCTAATGATTTACATCCTATTTCAAATCTCTTTGAATATTTCTGTATCAACATCAATAAACGTAAGGGATCTACCCAATTTTCATATAATTTTTATTTCTTTTGCATTTCCATACTCAAATTACTTATACTACTCATTCCAATACTTCTTTCATCCTTCCAAATATCACTAAGTAATTAAGCAAAGCATTCAGTCACCTAACCTCTTGATCCTAATTTGCTATTCCTATTAATTTCCTTTTCAAAAACTTTCGATAACATATAATCAAGTAAAGGCTATGTATGGCTTAAACAATGAATAGCACTGTTGAAATAACATGTGTTTCCCAAATTTTTTAAACCTACTACACCATGAACAACCTTTATTTCCTATTTAGTGTCTACTTTTCGGACAATTAATGGAATAGTATGATAACCTAATTGAAGTTTCATATAAGGATCTGTTATTGTTAATTTCTATTTATTAGTCGTTTTAAAATTAGCAAGATGATTAGTCTACGATTCTGTATAAACAACTGGAATTGTAAGAGATTTACCTGCTCCACTTCCCATATTAAATATATAAATATATATATAATTAAAGTATAAATTCAGACCTCATTTTATTAAGAAATATCTGTGATTCTTAAAAAATATGAAATCTTTTGATCATTAAAAAATGTTTTTCTTCTTATTTTTCTCTTTATTTATTTATTAAAAATGCTAAAATTAATGTAATTAAATATATCTAATATATTGGTTTTTTCAACTTGATAAACACATAAAATTAATTCATTAATTCACTTAATGAATGTTATTTTCAACAAAAATCTAAATTAAATCTAATGTCATTTCTTCGAAATTCCAAAATATTGCTTATCTTTTACCGTTTTTTTGGAGAAATAAAATGATATCTGGTGTTTATCTTGGATAATAAGCATCAGTAAAATCATTCAATCTTATATCAATCTCTGCTATTACTAAACTCTTATCCTCTCTATAATTATATGCTAATTGTTCATATATTGATTCCAATTCTACACAAAGTTCGCAGTTTTTTACATGATATTTCAATAATATATTTTTGTTACTCTTCTTTATTTCATCATCATAATTTAAACCGACAATTTTCTAATTTATTAAATAAGTGTTACTTTAACATATGAATTTTTGTGAGTATAATCAGGTATTGGTTCTGATAATATATATGAATCTATTTATCCTTATTTTAATTTAAAAATTAAGGATTTAATTCCAGTTACTGAAAAATCTGGACCATCATATTTATATTTGAATTATCCATTTATTGTTACAATCTTAGGGATTATACCATCATTAACTCCTAAATCAATGATGTATTCCAAGTAATTTTCATCCTAAATGTTTAATTTTGAAAATTAGTAAGAATTATTGAAAGTTTTTGCGACCTCTTAAAAAGCTAATTCAGCTTATTTTGATATTTCATCTAGACCATAAAATAAAATAAAGGAAAAGCTGTTTGATTGAAATACTAATTCTTCTGTTTTTGAATTTAATTAAGGAATTAAAGGAAGTGAATATTTTAAAACGAATTTCTTTATATATTCAAGATTAAATTAATAATTAAAAGTAAATTCTTCTTTTGTCTCTTGCTTATAGTATTTTAAACTAAATAGATTATTTTTTTAATATTGTGATGAGAAAGCAAATACTATTTCTGGGATAGTATTTTATATAGCAAATTAATAGAATTTATCAAAATTAATATCAAAGGTTGAAGTAGAATTTTTTTAATAAAAAAGAACATTTTTGTTATCCTCTAGTAATTAGTTAAATTCTGATTCTGTAAAAATTTCCTTTGGAGGAGGATTACCATTAAAAAACTAAATAGAATATTATTAAAAATACTTCTTAAATCCATTTCGAAACAATATGAGATTTTTTTTTACCAGAGAATACATGCGGTACTTCATTTTAAAAGAAGATAATAGTTGGTGTTTCGACAATTCCAAACTTATTCATTGATTGATGTGTATGAAATTCAGTTTTTGCAACATCATATAAACCAAATGTGACATTGAATTTATTACCGTCTTCTTAAAGTTTATTTAATTCATATTCAATGAATTGTGCACTATAAGGACATTCTTTTTAGTAAAATGTTATAAGAATATGAGGATTTTCTACAATTATTAAGCTATTATTATTAGGAGCAACGATAAGTATTTCAAAGATTTATAAATCAGTATTGTTATTGTGAATTTAGTTTAAGTGTTATTAAGAATTAGTTGTCTAAGAATAGGCTAGGACAACACAAATAATGATATTTAACATATATATATATTATTATTATTATTATTATTAAATAAATCTACATAATCCTTTATTTATATAGCTATAAATAAAGATATAGTTTTGTAGCTAAAGCACTGATAAAATATAATACTACCAATTTATTGGTATATATTTTGTTATATTATTATTTAAATTACCTAATTTAATTGAATAATGGTATCAAATTTATTGTTATATAATTATAGAATAGCAAACTTAGTAAAAGGTCTAAAAAGAGTCTCTTGATAGAAGAAACTTAAAGTATTTTTAATAGAAATTATGTAGATAAATAAAGAAGTGAAGAATAGACAGAATCAATAGTAAAGAATGTTAGAAATGGTGATGCTTCAAATCCAGAAGTGGTTATAATAGGAGAAGGCGAATTATAAAGGATGAAAGTAAGAAGATTTATATTATATATTTTCAGAATAATGCAATAATTACAACAAAAGAAGAACAATTATACTAAAAGAAATTGCTTGAGGAATAGAAGGAGAAGTAGATGGCTGCTGCCAAAGCCAAAAAATAAAGAATGTTGCAAATGGAAGATGAGAAAAAAAAATAAGTTCCTTTGACATCATAATAGGAGGAGGATAAAGTTGTAAAAGATTCACTACTTGGAAGAGTATTTGTTGATTCTAATTATATTTTAGGCAGCAGAAATAATGAATGAATAGATGAATGATGTTAAGGAAATGAATAAGATGGTTATGTATGCTAAATGTGTAACTGTTCGAGATAAGCAATTACAAGAGAAAAAAGAATTGATTAATCAATATAAGGTTTAGGAAAAGAGAAAAGATTTAATGATGGAAATAGAAAGATTGAAATCAATTAAATATCATGAAGAAAAAGATAAATAAAGAAAAGTTGAATAAAAATAAGGTCATGATATTATAATTGAATAAATTAAAGAGAGAGAATTAATTAGATTAAAAGATAAAGAAGAATAAGAAAGAGAGGGATAAGTTATGTTAAAAAAGATAAAGTAATTATAATAAGAGGAGTCTTAAAAAGCTATGCAAAAGAAAGTATCATAATAAAAGGTTCAAGAAGAAATTTTAGAAGCTAATGAAAGAGCTATTTTTAGTAAAAGAAAAAAGAAAGTTAGAGGAAAGGGAAGAAGAAGAAATGATAGTCAAATATAATTTACAAAAAGCATAGAAAGAAGCTGAACTTTTAGAAGAGTAAAGAAGGATTAAGGAAGAGAAAGAACGTGATGTATAAAGATTGAGAGAAATGCAAGAAAAAGCATCAGATAGATAAGCTGAATTAGATGCATTAAGAGCAAAAAGAGCTATGGAATAAAATGAAAGATAAGCAAGAGAAAAAGAAAGGAGAGAAGCAGAATTTAAAATGAAATTAAATCACGATGTTCATGAAGCAAGAAAATTATAATAGTATGAAAAATAAGAAAGATTAGAAGAATAAGTATAATTTAATAATTACTAATATAGGCCAGATTGGAAAGAGATGAATTTTAAAGAGTTATTTAAAAATAAAAATAAGAAAGAGAAAATGAACTTAAGTTGTTACATGATAAAGAAGCTCTTGTTAAAAAGCATGCAGATGAATTAAGAAAGTAAATTTCTTTGAATGAAGAGAAAAAGAAATAAGAGGAAAGAGATAAGTAATTCCCTCTTAATAAGTTAGATTAGAAGAAGGCAAAAAGATTAGAGATAAAATGTTAAATGAAAAAAAACTATTAGAAAATATCAAAGATACAAAATTAAGAACCTTAAATGAAAATGGAATTGCTGATAAATACAAAGCCGAATTAGCTAGAAAAAAAATCAATATATTAATTTGATCATTTGAAAAATGATTTTATTTAAATAGAGTTATTTTTGATTATTTAAGTAGAGTTATTTTTTTGAATAATATTCAAATAGATCAAAATCTAAAAATTAATGTTTATAAAAGCCATTAAAAATATTCTAATTTTTCAATAATTAGTTGAAAATATTCTATTAATCTAATTGGATGTATATCTAGGAAAAAGAGAAAATATAATCTAATAAATATACAAAAATTGAAGATATCTAAAAATTTTGGGTTTATAGAAATCAAAAAATAATTTACTTTTCTAAAAATGATGTACATTTTATTGAATAAGACTATGGTGCCTACAAATTAATAAGTGTTGTTAAAATATTAACATAAGTTGTAATCGATGATCTTATTTATTATTTTTGCAACAGTATAACAACTTAAGTAGACTTTTTAAGTTTACAAATTTATTTTCTTGATTGTGACTTATATAATGAAATACTTTATGATATTAATGGAGATAAACATGTTTTAAAGGATTTAATGAATTTAAGTAGGAATTGCATTTACATAAGATTCTAGAGCACTATCATGAATTTTTAAGAATATAATTTGCTTTTTGGATTAGTTTTAAATGCATCAAATCTTATAGTAGATTGTCTAAATAAAATAAATAAAATTAATTAATTGCAAGACCCTTTTAAATTAGATAAAGAAATTAATGATCTATGTTAATCATTATAATATTTAGAATGAAATATTATAATAAATAACATTTTACTTCAAAATATTTATATAATTAATGAAAATCTCAAATGTAAATTAATCATTCTTGATTTATTTATGAGTAAATAAACATCTTATGTATTTTGAAGGATTAAAAAATAATAATAATATTTTTAGATTGTTTTTTATGTTATATATAAATAATATAAAAGAAGAAATAAGAATTAAATAATAATTCAATTAAATCAAACTATAATCATTAATTTATATTTTAATGTATACCAGATTATCTATATATTTGAATTAGAGTTTCTCTTTTATTTTTATTAAAATAGGTAATCTAAAATTAAATATAAGAAATAACTTTTAAAGTTTTGTCTTTACTAGAGGTGTATAACACTTCTTCTTCATCATTCCATACTATTTTAGTAATAGGACCATTATGAAGTTTAATTTCATAAATGGGAATTTTCTTTTAAACATCCCAAACTGTAACAAATCCTTCTTAATTTCCTATGTAAACTTCATCTCTTAAATGAGATTATGCAATACATCGACTTTTAATTTTGTTTTTGAATTAAGTAGCTTCCTGTTTCTAAATTTCCTTTTAAATTAAATATTATTTAAATACTTTATCTAAAATATTAAGTACAATAGCTTGGCCTGTTTAAAATCCAATAGCTATTATATTATTTTTAGATTTTTGAATTATAAGATCCCTAATAAATTATAACTTAGTATCTAAACTAAATATTAAACTAGCCTAATTATAAGCATAAATGATTCCTCCTCTATCTCCAATTATTGAATAATCATTAGCTTCATTATATTTCAAACAAGTTAATTCATTTTTATGATGAATATCTAAAATATAGTTTATCAAATATTACCTATAAAAATGTCTTTTTTTTTTATATTCATTACTTTATATCTCTAATCTTTACTTACAGAATAGATATTATCTCCATAAATTTGTAAACCCATAATTCTAGCATTATGTTATTAATACTCATTGGATTCTAGTAAATGTTTCTTTGATTTAAATTAAAGATGATTTATTATTCCATTATCCAAACTCAAAGTTAAATATTAAATTTTACCCTACTAAAATATTATTATTTATAACACTCATACAAATTGGTTATGAGTTATATTTCTTTCTCCAAATCATTTATGGTCCAATAAAACAATCCAAATATCCTAAAGGTTTTAAATTAGTAGTAGTAATATCTTCTTACCAAGGGAATTTCAAATTATGAAAATTTCTAGATGCTCTACTTAATGGATTCATCTCTGCTAATAGTAAGAATATTGCATCTTCATAAAAATTGAAATCTCTTAGACCTAATTCAAACGTTTTTACACTATCTAATTATAATTTAGAAATAGTAGATGAGGGAGATTAAATGAATTCTTTAAAAATTATTGAGTTTACAATTTGCTCATTTTTTAATATCTATTTAAAATAATCTTCTAATCCTTTTCTTCTTTCAATAATTTACTATTCAGTTTTTTTTACAATAAAGGTTGTAAAGGTCTATTTTGGCAATTAAGGAATATTGTTCCCAAAATATTCTCTTAATCTTAAATTTAATTGTTTAAACTACTTAAATCTAATACTCAATTACATAATGATACCTTTTCTCAATTCTCCATAATTTATCTTCATTATAAATTTCTATTTCATATAGGATTACCTTTTCATTATCTAGACTAGGATAGTGGTTTTTAATGAGAATCTTTTTTCATTAATTTTATATAATACTTCCATAAAATCTATAAATTAGTTAATAAAATAATAATTATATTGTATTTATACAATTTCATTAAATTTATTTGATTCTCCAATTCTATATTATAGAAAAAATTTTGTTTTTTTCTAAATAATGATTACATCATCCTATCTTTTAGAAAATAACTTACTTTTTATTGTTAAATCCTTATTTTCCTCTATGTGATTGAGCCTTTTTTATAGTCAATCATATTTTTTATATATCATCTAGATTGAGCTTATTATTCCTTAAGTAATTAAGAATATTTTACACTCCATATATAATTATTGTATTGCCAATAAATATTACTAATCTGTTACTTAACTTCTATTTTTATCTTTATCTTAATCTTTGACTTTTGAGTTTAATTTTTTTTGTTTTTTTACCCAATTTAGTTTTTACTATGTCTAAGTAATTCTTTTATTATTTAATCCAACATATAATCTATTAATATTGGATATATAACTAAATCACTTAGAAATTTATAGAAAAATTATTAAATACCATAGTTTATTCATTTCTATGAATTATAATTGTTCAATTTATGATATCATTAAAATATAAGATATGTAAATACATAATTTCAATGAAAATTAGTTCACAATTATAATATTTACTAATTAGATGCTTAATAGTATTCATCTTATTGATATATTTAGATTTTTATAATTAATATAGATTTACCAACTAAAAATGCTATTATGTATATTTCTAACAATTTATCATTAAAGTCCATTTGTTTTGTTTTTTCTTCCATAATAAATCGCTTTATTTTACATCTACAATAAAATATTTTCAAAATATTATGTTAAACTATCTTTTAATTTTGAAAATTAAAATGTCTATATCAAAATAATAAATTAAATTACTCTTTTAAACTATCCTACTATTTATTCTAAAATTTAATATTTAATATTGAGTTTTTATTTCATCTTCATCACTTTTATAAATAATGATTATTTATATCCTTTATTTATTATATGATAATGGTTGAATAGATAGAATATGAAAAATTAAGCCATTTTATGATAAATTAAAAGAAATGAAAAAAAAATAAAATGATAATTCTTAATTTAAAAGTTTAAATTATTATTTTTATTTTTAAATCAAGTAAGATGATTTATAAATTCTTTTGAAATCAATGACTAGACATACGTCAAATAAATTAATAGTTTTTTTTGATATAACTTTATATTTTAAAATTTCTACTATATCTATACATTATCCTTTATAAATCATTTAAAATTAAAGACATTTCATTTAAATACTATATTGTGTTATAATTAAATATACATTTAACTATTTTAGAAAGTAGAATAAATTATTCTAATTAAATTTTATGTTTACTTTAATAAAAAAGCAATACAATTTACAATCTTAATATATAACATTATAAATTAAAAAATACTTATCAAATCAATAATATTCTGAGAAGTAATGAATATAATTTTGTATTTTCCAAATAGAATTTTTAAATTATGAGAAGGTATTATAATGATTAAAAATTGAATATCAAAATCAATAAGTAAAATATCCTTAGAGATTTTTTTAATTTTAATTATTAAATGATAAAAAGATATAAAGACATATTTCTATTGGAAAATGATATAAGAATATTATATGTATATGACAGTAAAACTTATATTAAGGTAACTTTTAAACTAAAAAGAGTTTAAATTGTTTTGTTGATGATAAATTAAACTTTAAACAAAAATTTTTATATTGGGACTAAAATTATGATGATTTCTATAATTAAATTTCATCCATCTTTACCTTTAATTGGTTCTTATTAACATTTTCATGTATGATGTTAGATAATTGAATCAACCATCTTACTTTTCTTTAATAAAATACATCTTAAATCAAAGCATCAAATAAATAGCATGAATACTGAATTAGACTCTTAATATCTATTAATATTCATGAAGATGAATTGTTAAAATGAATCTAGAAATAAAGATTTAATTTGATTCCTTCATTAGGCTCAGATGTTATACTAAAAATAGTAAACTTAAATTAAATCCAAATAATAAGTTCCAATTATTCTTAGTACTAATCTGATGAGGTTAAATTTTTTATTAATCAACTTAGTTTATTGAAAAAAGATATTGAATTGTTTATTTAGAGATTGAATCATTTATGGTAATCATAAAATTGAATTACTTTTTTTTGTTATATAAAATTGAAAGTATTAATTAATAAAATTAATAAATTTAGTTGAACTCATACTTACTCACAATCTTAATAATCAATATACTTTTAGTATTTAGAATAAATAAATAATTGTAATTAGGTTAAATGTATTTAATTTTAATCATATAATAGATAGGAATAGCTAAAAATGTATGCAAAATATTATCAATATAAATATAAATTATTTGATTAATAAAATGGCTTAATAAACTCCAAAATAATGCAAAGCTTATTAAGATTAATAATCTACACCTAATTAAAATAATAAAGCATGTTCTATTAATTAATCTTAGGTTGTATAGAATGAATAATTATCTTCAAAAAAAAAAGTATAATCTATTATGATTTTATTAAGGAAGTCTACGATAGAATTATGAGTTCCTAAACAAATCGAGATAACTAAACAGATGTCTCATAATATTTCGATCATTTAGGAGGTGAGAAATAAAAAATTTATCAATTTTAGGAAAGTGTCTATGTTCATTATGTAACTGTGGAAAACATAAATGTAATAGTAAGAATTGTGTCAACAAACCTTAATTACATGGAAATTATACCATATATTAAAAGGAGTTTGTAAAAAAGACCCCAGAGAATGGATCAAGATGCAACTAAAACATTTTTTAATAACCAAAACCTGAGGGTGATTTAGGAAATGTCACTACTTATAAAGTAATTACTTATAAACTATTATTTTAGCATGATTTTCCAGGATATAATAGCAAAGTAGAATTACAGAAGAATACATCTAAACCTACTGTTAGTGGTGTTCCATTTTCTGGAATTTCAACTTATAATAATATGTATTTAAATTGGGGAATGGGTGATACACCTTAATTATTACCATAAAACAATCCTACTGTTATCAAAGAAATGCCATTTATGGGAAAAAGCATTTATAAGGATAGTTATTAAGGAGCACAAACAGTCCCAGTATAAAGTTGTAAGAATATGAACAAAGCTTTAAAGTAATTAAACTATTAGAATTATATATAGATCACCTTTATCACCCCCAGATTTGAAATTTTATGCAGAATCAATATCAAAATCATCATATAAACCTTACAAACCTGAAACAACTTAAAGTGCTAAAGATAAATAAAATGTAAATTAAAATATATATAATATAGTCAACTTTGAATCCATCATATAATGGCTAANCTTACTCACAATCTTAATAATCAATATACTTTTAGTATTTAGAATAAATAAATAATTGTAATTAGGTTAAATGTATTTAATTTTAATCATATAATAGATAGGAATAGCTAAAAATGTATGCAAAATATTATCAATATAAATATAAATTATTTGATTAATAAAATGGCTTAATAAACTCCAAAATAATGCAAAGCTTATTAAGATTAATAATCTACACCTAATTAAAATAATAAAGCATGTTCTATTAATTAATCTTAGGTTGTATAGAATGAATAATTATCTTCAAAAAAAAAAGTATAATCTATTATGATTTTATTAAGGAAGTCTACGATAGAATTATGAGTTCCTAAACAAATCGAGATAACTAAACAGATGTCTCATAATATTTCGATCATTTAGGAGGTGAGAAATAAAAAATTTATCAATTTTAGGAAAGTGTCTATGTTCATTATGTAACTGTGGAAAACATAAATGTAATAGTAAGAATTGTGTCAACAAACCTTAATTACATGGAAATTATACCATATATTAAAAGGAGTTTGTAAAAAAGACCCCAGAGAATGGATCAAGATGCAACTAAAACATTTTTTAATAACCAAAACCTGAGGGTGATTTAGGAAATGTCACTACTTATAAAGTAATTACTTATAAACTATTATTTTAGCATGATTTTCCAGGATATAATAGCAAAGTAGAATTACAGAAGAATACATCTAAACCTACTGTTAGTGGTGTTCCATTTTCTGGAATTTCAACTTATAATAATATGTATTTAAATTGGGGAATGGGTGATACACCTTAATTATTACCATAAAACAATCCTACTGTTATCAAAGAAATGCCATTTATGGGAAAAAGCATTTATAAGGATAGTTATTAAGGAGCACAAACAGTCCCAGTATAAAGTTGTAAGAATATGAACAAAGCTTTAAAGTAATTAAACTATTAGAATTATATATAGATCACCTTTATCACCCCCAGATTTGAAATTTTATGCAGAATCAATATCAAAATCATCATATAAACCTTACAAACCTGAAACAACTTAAAGTGCTAAAGATAAATAAAATGTAAATTAAAATATATATAATATAGTCAACTTTGAATCCATCATATAATGGCTAATATAATAGTGAATACCGTAAAGAATTTGATCCAAAACATTAGAGTCAATGCCCTGCCAAAGAAGTGTTAGAGGAAGTTGCTCGTAGCACTTAATTTTGAACTCAATTCTATGGGTTTGATTATAGATAAACATAATATCAATTTATATTTATTTTATTAAACATCCACTAAATTGTGATTTTTTAATAAAGAATCCCTAACAAATTTGTATTATTAATAATTTAATTGTATTTTATTAATTTCTTTGAAATCTTAGATATAATTCTATTCAATTTAATCTTAAAAGGAATAAATTATAGTTTTTTGGAATATTAATTATATTTATTTCATCTTTAAATTTTATTAATGAATATTTCTTTAATATAATAATATTTCAATAAGTAAGGTTGTATTAAGTTATATATTATTATTAATTCATAACTCACTTATAATTTATGGGAATATAGTTAATTTAAAGATCCAAATGAGAATATATATATAGTAATGGAGTCCTTTTTGTTAGAGAAAAATTACATATAAATATATATTCATATATTTTTTAATTAGAATTATGATACCTCATAATATTATTAGATATATGTTAAAATTAATAAAAGTTGTTCATTCATATTGATAAATATTTTAAGTCAATGAAATTAGAATGATTATATCATTGAATACTTAAATAGAATCTGATTATAAAGTCTTGATAAATTAAAAATTCTATTTTTGTTAATATAAATCCGATTTCTTCTGTAATGAGACCTTAATTTAATGTAAACATCTTTAATATATTTATGATGATTATCAGAGTAATAAGTAATTGAAACCTTAAGTAAAATTTGTATTGTATTTACGATGATGTAGAAATTATAAAAATAAATAAAAATTTAATATGATTAAATTCATTCTATATGGAATAATAATTAAAATAAAATAATTAATAAAAACTGTGACGTAAAAGCTAAATTATTAATGACATCAAAGAAATTGAATTCTTAAGTAATGATTATGTTTTTTTTAATGAATAAAATTAAAAAATGTCCAAAACATTATTAGCTTTAGGTACAATTGCACTCCTTGGAACACTTATGATGGTCAATCAACCAGAATAACTTGATTTTGCCTCAAAATATCAAACATTCAAATAAAAATATGGAAAGAGATATTCATAAACTGAAGATGCTTATAGAATGGCAATCTATACATAAAATGTCTTATATGCTGAATCAGTAAACTTGTAAGAAGGAAAAAGAGTTTTTGGTGAAACTATCTTCTTCGATTTAACAAAAGAAGAATTTGCTGAAACATACTTAACACTTAAAATCACAGAAGAAGATTTGAATCTTGAAAGAGTACCTGCCAAGAATATTCAAGCTGCTGATAAAATTGATTGGACTAAACAAGGAGCAGTTACTGATGTTAAAGACTAAGGATAATGTGGTTCATGCTGGACATTTGGTACAACAGGAGTTTTGGAAGGTTTCTTTTTCAAAACTACTGGTGAATTACCAAATTTATCTGAATAATAATTGTTGGATTGCTCAACTTTCTAAGATTTCAATCTTGGTTGCAATGGTGGTCTCCCATACAGAGCATTACAATATGTTAAGAGAAGTGGTATCACTACTTAAGCTGCTTATCCATATGTATTATTTTAATATTAATATTTAGACTGCTGTTTAAGGATCATGCAGAATTAAGGGAGGTGCTTATCATATTAAAGGAGCTGTCTAATTAGAAGCCACAGAAGAAGCTTTGATTTCATATCTTAATGAAGGACCAGTTTCAGTTGGAGTCGATGCTAGCAACTGGTAATACTATAACCCAGATACCGAAAAGATTTTCAGTAATTGTTAAGAAAGCTTAAATCATGCAGTCTTAGCTGTTGGTTATGACAAAGATTCAATTAAAATCAAGAACTCTTGGAGTACTGCATGGGGAGATAAGGGATATATTCATTTAGCTAGAGGAAAAAACACATGTGGTGTTTATAATACTAATGTTGTTGTTGTTTGAATAAATTAATAATTTATATTTCACAAAGTAATAAAAATTACATTTTCAATTTATTTTTGCATGTTATTTTTATAAAAACATAGGATTTCTATGAACAATTAAAGAATTAATATATTCATTAGGAGAGTATTCATAATTTTATTATTAATTTGTTTCACTTAATTCTTTCAAAAATATGTCAGTTAAACAATCACGAGTCTTAATATTTTCAATTTTTTAAGTAAATTTTTTATTTACATTTACAAATTCTATCAAATTGCTAGGATTTTTACTCACTTAAACTCTTCTATGATATTTTAATGTTTCAAAATCTGGAAGTTGATTTGACTTTTTATATTGTTTCAAATTCATTTTTTTATTTTTAATATTATAGTTTATTATAATTTATATTAATGTTTTACATTTAATTTTTTCCTGGTGATATTTTACATATTTAATACTTTGATCAATTATTTGTCGACCTTAATAATTAAAATGATGAAAGAGCCTGAGAAAATCATGAAAAAGAATATCTTAAATGGACAAATTAAATACTAAGTTAAATGGAAAGGTTTTGAAGAAACTACATGGGAATCTGATGAAACTATGAAGAAATATAAAGAACTTATTGAAGATTATAATTATTATTCATTGACTGGTGAAAGATATGATGAAAAAAAAATAGAAGAAATTAGATAATTAACTGTTTAATCATAACCTAGAACTGCTATCAAAAGAGTAGCTATACCAAAATTAATGCCTCCAAATGAATTAAATAAAAAAGAAAAAAAAATTGATAAAATTGATAACAAACATATTGAAATTATAGATAATCCTAAAAATGATTAATTACAAGATAAATTAAATATCATTTAGCCATCCCATACTACAATCAATCTCACTGAAATATCTATGTAAATTTTAATATTTAAATTTAAGGAAAGTTCCAGAAAAATTAGTAAATTCTAATGACAAATTAGAAATTGTTAAATTGTAATCTAATTAAAATAAAGGACTATTTTCTCTTATTTGGAAACAGAGATCAGATGGTATTAAACCTTATTGTGATGAATATACCTATGAAGATTTTAAGACTTAAGCTCCCTTATTTTTTATACAATTTTTTGAAACCTGTATCTTTGAATGTCAAAGTTAAAATGATATTAAGTAATTATTCAAATTAATTTAGATTTGAAATACAAGGTTAAGATATTGCTGAAAGAATTAAAGTCATTAAAGAAATCTTGGAAAAAAATGATTAGGATAAAAACATTTGTCAAATCTAAAAATGAGTAAATGATTCTTTTTCATATTTGAACTAATTTTATTTAAATAATAATTTTTATATTTTTATCCTTATAAAATATAATAAATTAATCAATCCATTTATATTTAAATCAATAATATAAGACATATTTTTAATTAACTATTGTAACCCTTTATTTTATTATTCATTATCCCATTTATCTAAATGAATTAAATCAAATAATCTAATTAACTTTGATAAAAGCTTATCTATATTTATAAATTGAATCAATAGGAAGGAAAGGAAAAATTTAATATCAAAACCCATTATGTTTATAATTATAAAATTTATTGTAATAAGATTAATATAGGTTAGTCTTCATATTTTTGAATTTGAATAATTGTACTCTCTCTCATTCAATTTTTTGATTGTTATTAAAATTCTATGTAAAAACTTTTATNGATTATAATTATTATTCATTGACTGGTGAAAGATATGATGAAAAAAAAATAGAAGAAATTAGATAATTAACTGTTTAATCATAACCTAGAACTGCTATCAAAAGAGTAGCTATACCAAAATTAATGCCTCCAAATGAATTAAATAAAAAAGAAAAAAAAATTGATAAAATTGATAACAAACATATTGAAATTATAGATAATCCTAAAAATGATTAATTACAAGATAAATTAAATATCATTTAGCCATCCCATACTACAATCAATCTCACTGAAATATCTATGTAAATTTTAATATTTAAATTTAAGGAAAGTTCCAGAAAAATTAGTAAATTCTAATGACAAATTAGAAATTGTTAAATTGTAATCTAATTAAAATAAAGGACTATTTTCTCTTATTTGGAAACAGAGATCAGATGGTATTAAACCTTATTGTGATGAATATACCTATGAAGATTTTAAGACTTAAGCTCCCTTATTTTTTATACAATTTTTTGAAACCTGTATCTTTGAATGTCAAAGTTAAAATGATATTAAGTAATTATTCAAATTAATTTAGATTTGAAATACAAGGTTAAGATATTGCTGAAAGAATTAAAGTCATTAAAGAAATCTTGGAAAAAAATGATTAGGATAAAAACATTTGTCAAATCTAAAAATGAGTAAATGATTCTTTTTCATATTTGAACTAATTTTATTTAAATAATAATTTTTATATTTTTATCCTTATAAAATATAATAAATTAATCAATCCATTTATATTTAAATCAATAATATAAGACATATTTTTAATTAACTATTGTAACCCTTTATTTTATTATTCATTATCCCATTTATCTAAATGAATTAAATCAAATAATCTAATTAACTTTGATAAAAGCTTATCTATATTTATAAATTGAATCAATAGGAAGGAAAGGAAAAATTTAATATCAAAACCCATTATGTTTATAATTATAAAATTTATTGTAATAAGATTAATATAGGTTAGTCTTCATATTTTTGAATTTGAATAATTGTACTCTCTCTCATTCAATTTTTTGATTGTTATTAAAATTCTATGTAAAAACTTTTATTATAATGTTAATTATATTGAAAATTGCTGGATAATTTATTTATAGCAATTATTAGAAATATAAAATAGGATGAAATTAATGTGTCATTCATAAATGAAAAGATTTGATCAATTATTTTTATTTAATATATTTGAATATTTTAAAAGAATTAATTTGTCTATTATAAAATTAATAATTTGGAAAAGAATAATTTGATTTAACCTTTTAATGAGTAATTTATGAATGTTAAAAAGAATGATTGAGTTTTTAAATTAAATGTTAGAGATTCAAAATTAAATTTAAATTAGATGAAAGTATTGAATGATTAATTATTTTATATTTAATGTTAATTCTTGTTGGAAAAAAATTAAAGGATTTAAGTGAATTTACTCAAGCATAGAATAATGAAATCAAGCATTTAGATGTTTCTGTATTAATTCAATATTAATTTAATAGAACAATTTGCTTAAATCTGGAAAAGAATTTGCATATTTTCAAAATTTAGAGACTTTGATAATTGATAATAATTATTATTTTAATCTATATGATTTTCCTTAACTTCCATAATTAGTAACTCTTAGTGCAAATAAGAATAATTTTAATAATTTAGAAATGTAATTTTGATTTATTGATATATATAGTTTTATTGAAGACTGTAAATCAAAGTTTCCAAAATTAACACATCTGAGTTTAATAAAAAATCCCATTTGTCCTATGTTCATAGGTGAAGAGGAATATTAAACATATAGATCTACTCTTATCAAATAATTGAGAAATTTAAAAAATATAGATGGAACTCCAGTTAATCCAAAAGAAGTTGATCCAAATTATTTTAAATAATAATAAATTTAGGAATACTAATAGCAATAATTAAATGTAATTTAATCATACAATTAGAAGAATCATAATGAAGTTAAAGGAACAATAGAATTCAACTAAAAATATTAAAAACCTAACCCTTAAACTATTAAAAAAAGAAGTGAAGGCAATAGATTTGTTAAGAACAACCAATTATGATTAATTATAAGATTTTGTGTTATAAGAATTGAGATAGCATTTACCTCTTAAATTTTTTGATAGAAAGTTATTTCCATATTAATTACATAATATAAATTAAATAATAATATTGATGAGTGATTAAAATAAACTTAAATAGTACAAATTAACTAAACCAGAAACATTCTCATTATCCTTTTATGATGCATTTAAAGAATATTAAGAATGGCTTATTAATGCTAATAATCCATAAAGATAACCAAGAAAATCTCATAAATGGCATTCCAATATTACAGACTATTTTAATTATGGTTTTAATGAACATACTATGCAAATCTATGTACATAAAATTACATAATTGACAGAAACCTATAGAAAATATAGATTATTATATGCTGAAAAATGTGATAATTCTAAAGAAACTATATTTAATTCAGCATAGGAAATTAAACGACAAACCAAAGATGTTTATCCAATTGATTTAGGTGGAATATTTATACCTGTTGATGATAAAGTTCTTGATTTTAGTTTTAAATTTTAAGTTGAAAATTTATATGAATAATATAATTTTTCAACTTAAAATTTAAAACCAAAATCATTAAACAATCAATATCATTGTTCTGGTGAAGCCCTATTATTTAAATCTAAATTTATTTCTGATATTTTTAGAAAATAGGTAAAGGATATTTAAGATCTCTATAAATAATATAAAAAAGAACATTAAAGAGATTTATATCTTTTTAATACAGCAGTAAAAGTGTTTCCTATTTAAAAAGAGGATGAATTTTCAATTTAGTTTGCATAACTTGTCAAAAATATTGCTATAAAATATGAAAAATCAGAAAAATCTGATAAAATAGATAAACATGATAGAAATGAGAGATCAAGAACACCTAAAAAAAGTAGATCTAAGAAATATTGATTTATAATTATCATTATTAATAATATATTTATATTTGAAATTCAAAAATGCGTCGAAATAGAATAGGGACTAAAGCAGAATTTCTATGGGCATGTATCATATTCCAAAATAACCTTAGGGGATGTTGAAGATATCTCTCAAATGAATGGACCTTTAGCAGTCTAAGAATACATTTAAGAATTAATAAGTAATCTAACATTTTTATTAATTAGGAGCTGATTCATCTAACATAAAATAAATTATTACTCCTCCTCCTGAAGTTGACATTAATGTTTGGCAATATGAACATTTAAGACAATTTATTTTAGAATTAAATCTTTTAGTTACATAATTGAAAGGACTATGCACAGCTTAAACATGTCCAAAAATGAAAGCTACAGAAGATTGGCTTTACTTGTGTGCTGCACATAAAAAAGCATAAGAATGTTCAGCTATTGATTATATGATACATAATTTAGATTAGAGTACATCTATTTTAACGAACATAAAAACATACCCATCAAGGTTATTATTAATTATGATATTATTAGAGTTTCAATCAATCCTCAAAATGCAACCAATAATTTTGCCTTTATAGTTAGAAGACTCTATAGATTATTCTCTCATACTTATTTTAATCATAAGGAAATTTTTGAAGATTTTGAAGTATATTACTCATTTACAATACTAGAATGAAATGTTTTTATGCACAAGGTTTACTGAATTTGCCTTAAAATTTGATCTAATGAGTCCAAAACTAATAACAATTCCAAAAGAAGCTTTAAAATTATGATAATTTATTTTTTCAATATTAATATTTTATTATATTTTTTATCATTTTTACAATTATCTAATCATATATACATTTAGTTTATAATAATCAGATCTTAAAAGCAATCCTTTTTCAATTTGAATAATTTTGAAAAATCATCAAAATTATCAAATCGAATCCATTTTCTCTATTGGTATATATCCCTTTCTAATTTTGGTAATAATCAATTATATAATTGTTTTAAGAATACATTTATCATTTTACCAATACCAATGATTTTAATTGATTACTTAAATAACAATAATTTTACTAAAATAAACTAAATTATAAAATGATATATTTAATAGATAAAGCTATTAAGTTAATAAAAAAGTTGCAAATAATTCTAAAGGGAAAATTACAATATAAATTTCAACTGTTTTTTTATATAGTTATTAGGTATTTTTTGAAATTAAATGAACCTATGTTTCTTTTTAATTATTTTTTTTTCAAAATTAATTTTTGGAATTATATTAATTAACATATCATTTTTTGCCAGTGTTATGTAAAATAAAATTTATTTAATTTTAAAAGTAATTAGATATAAAATTATTGAATAAATCTAAAATCTAATATTAAAATGATATAAATTATAATTCATTTTAAATCAATTATATTAATTTTTTTAATTATTATAATTGTTTCTTCATTTTTTGAATGATTTTATTATGTAAATAAAGAAAAAAATATTTTTTTTAATTTATTTTATCTTAATATAATCTATTAAGTCTTAGATTTTATAATAATAATTGTTTTTAATAAGGTTGCATTAAAATTGTTGTATCTAGAGAAATATTGATAAATTCTTTTATTAAATGTAGAATATTTCAAAAGTATTACTACATTAAAAAAATACTGGATAAAGTTCAATAGACAAAAATGGTGTTTATTGTGTGTGTCTTTTAAATTAGTAATTTAGTGATAAATAATAGAGGATTATAGATAGTTAATATTTTGAATGTCAATGAAGATTTTTGAATATTAATTTAGAGTTAGTTAGAATTCTAATTTATTGATTAACAAATTCAAAAATATGGAATTATAAGAATATGGAAATGTCATATAAATGGATTTTATAAATACTTAACTTATAGATATAAAGAAATAAGTTTGGTGCTTATAGTAGCTGAAGATTCATAATAGATAAAAGTTCTTATAATTTTAGATTTAGATTTAAAAGGATATTTAATTGAGTCAGATTAAAATAATCACTTAATATTAAAAATGGGAAACCAATGTACAGGGATTGATGATTTTTAAGGACAATAATTTGCCCCAAATATATCAGCTTAAGATGAAGTGTTTGTTGAAGGAAGAGTTCCAATAGTTGGTTAGAATCCTAGCCGATTTAATGACGATGATATGATAGTAAGCATCATTCTATAAGTTGTAGACAGTGTATTAATCAAACAATAATAGATTAAATTATGGGAGAAATTCTCTAGGCTAAGGGTATATGACAGCCTAGAAATATAATCTAAGGGATAACATCTCTATTTAAGCATCTTCACAAGTATAAGTGATTCTATAATAAATTAGGGATTGAGAAATTAAGGAAATGCTGCTCTAATGATAACAATTAAAAGTAATGATATATTATTGATCAATTAAAGAGGTCAAGAGTGTTTAAGATAAGGAATTGACTTGGTATTTGAAAATTTATAATTTAGGTTTGTTTAATCGATCATAGTGGTAGTATGCAAGGAGAAAAAATAAAGCTGGTTAGAAAAACTTTAAAATAAATGTTAACATTTTTATAGCCAGTTGATAGATTATGTTTGATAATGTTTGATTGCAGATGTTACAGATTAACAAGATTAATGAAAGTGACTTAAGAAAATGTTTAAAAATTTAGAATAGCAATATCATCACTTTAAGCAAGAGGTGGAACTGATATTGGGAATGGTATGAAGATGGCCTTATCAATATTAAAACATAGAAAATATAAGAATCCTGTATCAGCAATATTTTTGTTATCAGATGGAGTAGATGAAGGAGCTGAAGAGAGAGTAAGAGATGATTTAATCTAATATAATATTCGTGATTCTTTTACAATAAAAACATTTGGTTTTGGAAGAGATTGTTGTCCAAAAATAATGTCAGAAATAGCTCATTATAAAGAAGGATAATTTTATTTTGTACCAAATCTTACAAATATTGATGAATGTTTTGCTGAAGCATTAGGTGGTCTAGTGTCAGTTGTTGCAAATCATGTTCAATTATCTGTATAACCTATGAATTCAAATAAAATATAAATTAAGAAAGCATATGGAGATAAATGGACATATGATTCTTGGAAAGGTGCATTTACACTTTACTAACCACATCTACTATCTGGTGTTAGAAAAGATTATATTTTTGAAGTAGCAGATTAGAAAACTTCTGGTAAATAAGAAATTAGAGTTCTTTTATAAGCTGATCCAGTTGAGGGTGGGGATAAAGTTACTATTGAATAAATTATTGAACTGAAAAATTCAGATTTATCAAATGAAGTTCTTCCTAATTATTATAGAGTAAAAGGTGCAGAATGTTTTGAATAAGCAAGATTATATGCAGAATAAGGTTAATATTAAGCAAGTTAATAAATTCTTAAAAATATTAATTCAGAAATTAAATTGTAAAACTTTAGTGATCCAAATTTATAAGTTGTTTAAACTGATATTGAAATGGCTAGCAATTTTTGTTATCCTGGGTACTTTTAATAATTATTTTAGTCAATTTGAAAATGAGGGTAGACATCATATGCATTAATTACATATTGTTCATATGTATCAAAAATCTAGAGGTGTTCAAATTAATTAAAATTAAGATGGTCAAATTATTAGTCTAGATTGTTAATATTAAAATAATTTACAAAAATAATTTAAGGATTAAACTAGATAAATAAAGTAAAATGATCCTAACTATTGGAAAGATTGTTGATTAATTTTAATTTAAATTTATCTAAAATAAACAAAATAAATTGTATAATTCTCTTTTTTTTACTTTATTAGCCATTCATAAAAACTTATTCAAAATTTTTATATGTTATATTTTTTATAGTAAAAATTACTTCTTTCTTTATGATATTTAAATTTATATTAAATATCCATATTAAAAATAATAATATTATTTTTTCTAAATTTTCTTAATTAAATCTATTCAAATATAAAATATTATCATAATTTTTTTATTTGACATTATTTATTTGTTTATTCTATAAATTTCTCCATTAACTCTTATGTAAGATCTTTTAATTGAAAATACATTTGGAAATTTTATTCAACTTGCGATAAACTCAAATTCTCTCTATTAATAAAGTATTAAATTAAATATCTTTAAATAAATTAATTTTTTGAATTTGTTTCAATCTCTGATCTTACTTAAATCTCTGCATTGAATTTTGAACCATTATAACAAACTAACTAAACTCTCAACTTTTTATTAGAAAATGTATTAGAAATCTAATTTTATATAAATTAATTTTCCAAGCCCCATCCAAATGGAAATGACTAATTTCTTAGTAAGTTATGAATCATCATGTCTTAATTTATACCAAACATTTTCAACCAGGAATCATTTACTATTCGAAGACAACCAATAATATTTTGATTAGGATTTATGATGAATTCAAATTTTTCTAAAGGAACTTCTTTTTATTATACACATTCTAATGTTCTTTGTGTATCATAACTATATATATTTGTAGAAACCTAATCTAAATTTATATAAAATGGAAAGTCTTTCTTGATATCAAGTAAATTAGCTTCCTTAAAAGGTATACATTTTACTATTATTTCATGTTTTTATTGCTATATTGAAACAATTTTGAAAGAATTGTTAAATACATCACTTTCCAAATAGCCCATTAAACAAGAACTTCTTTTGGATGGTCTAGAATGTTCATTTTATTATTTTTTCTCTACATCCTTAGAGCAAGTCAACTCCAATAGATATTTAACTTCATCATTTTATGAAGGAGACACATTCTAATGATTGGATGTATTCTAATTTATTGCTTTTGACTTCATTTTCTTTATTTTTTTGTTTGTACCAACTTATTTGTGAGACAAATCATAGTGCTAACTGAATACATGATTCATTTTTAGAAATTGTGTTCAAAATATTAAATATAAATCATTTTCTAAAATATCTTGTTATTTAGCTTTATGATATAGCTTAATAAATGATTTTGAATTACAGAGTTAAAAAAGATTAAAAAAAAATTCACATTCTAATTAAAGTTTATAAATGCTTAATTATTAAATTTAGATATTATTATGTTATTATAATTAATAGCAATATAACATGATAAATGTATTTAGGATTTTAGTTGAAAGTGGAAATCCTTTTTGAATTACATAAATATTAAATTAACGAAATTACAATCAACTTTCCTTTTTAGAATAAGGAATATAAAGATAATATTAAATATAATATATCAAGATTCTGAAAATTAAGATAAATTTGCAGAATCATTTTACATATCAAAAATTTAATTACTTGAATCTGCAGTTTCTATTGCACAAAATTTATTAAGAATCTTCCGATATTAATCTTGTTCTTAACTTATCTTAATTAAACCATTTTTCATTGAAATATTCTTCTTAATTTCTCATTACTCTCTATTTTGTTAACCATCTTGGATCACAATCATATATATAATAAGCATATTCATAATAAGCATTCTGTTCTTCATTATAAGTAAAAAAGCTTTTATTCTAAACTCGAGAATGAAATATCTAACCATTATAATTCATGACTTCCCTTGTTCTTATATCTTATTTCAAATTCCCTTCAAATAATCCAGAAAGAATCTCTGAAACATCATCATAAGGATCTATATAAGTTGAAAAGGGTAATATGCTTGTTGATAGTACATGATCCTCTAACATTAAATAACTTATTCCTAATAAATCCATAAATTTGTCATTGATAACTCTTTAAATTGTAGTGCATACACCGTTTTTTAATTTATACAAATAACAAGTGAATGGCTAATCCAACTATAATTCGAAATCTTCTATTATTTTTTCTTTCGTTTACTTATAAGTATTTATATCTAAATTCCTTGTATTAAAAGCAGAAAAGCTTTATGCTAGTCTAGGATTACATGATTAAATTTTTTAAAAGAATTATTCAAAAGGTGTAAATGGATTATCAATTGTTTCTAGAGTGAATATAGTCAAATTATTTTTCTTATCAATTCTAATTACCTTATAGTTATATGAATGAGGATCAACTGACAAACTACCTAATTTAGCTTGATATTTGAAATCATTTGGAAACTAAATATTTGAGTAGAGTCTTATAACTTATTTTTCTGCTATTTAGGGAGGAATATTGAAATATACTTCCAAATAGTCTCTCAGTTTTTCTGTATTAATATTTGATCCAAATTTAAATTCCACTGTATATTAATTTCTTCTTTTTGGCTTTCGAATAGTTTTCTTCTGTAAACAGCTACTTTCTTCCACAATTTCCTAATAATTTTTAGCTATAATAGACATTATAATAAATAATTTGTAATTAAATACATGATAACACTTAAGATCTTACAGATTATTAATAAATTAAGAGAACCATTATAATCACAATTTAACAAAATATATTATAATCAATAATATATAAAATTATAAATGACCATTTCAATATCTGTTTATTAAATTCTTATTCAATTACAAAACATCATTTTTAGTAACAATATTATACTATACTATTTTAAATCAACATTCTTAAATTAAGGTTAATAAAAATAAATGTATGCATTTTTTCCTAAATGGGATAATAATTTAATTAATTTAGTTAATTGAATTTTAATAAAAAATGGAATTTCTAGAATAAATTATATTCATATCAAACTAAAATTCATTTGAGCCTTATCAATACTAATTTTTCAAACATAATTATTTAATTGCAAAGTATTTATCACACTTTTATTAGAAATAAAATCAAATAAGAATTAAACTATTAAATTCATCCGTCTTTTTCTGTAAAATCTTATTTTATTATAATTTATATGTATTTTTTTTAAAGAATTCAATATTTGATCAAGATCGAAAATAGTAATGTGATGTATTTTTCATATTTAAAATTAATAATAAAATTATTGTATAAAGTTCAAGAAGTTTATAAGTAGATCTACAATAAAAATAATAAATTAATAAAATTTAAATCTCTTTGAAAATATTCAATATAAATTACTAACTACCTTAAACTAAATGTAAGATAGATTAAATTAATTAAACTAAAAAAAATGGATTAAGACTTAATTCATAAATTAGTAAAATCAATCCTTAATATCTAATAAACTAAATATTCTTAAAATTCAATTTAAACTATGTTAGAATCAATTCTTATATGTATTATTCTAATATTACATTTTAAATTAATAAAAATTCTTTTAAAGATGATTAATTTATAATTCAATTTTAACTCAAGAATGGATAAATAAATTCAAAGCAAGATAAGGTAATTAAATAACAATATTATTTAAATTTCAACCATAATGTAGTGTTATATGTTTATATAATAATAAAATATATCATTTATGAAATTTATCAAATTGTGTTAATGAAGTTTCTAATTAGTCTTTTTATTTTTCAAAATGATATTTTGGTATTAAACCAATTGTTGTTCCAATTTTATAAGAGCCAGGGCCCACATCTTCTGGTTCTCTAACTGGAAATCTTGCAGCTTTAGGCATACTAAAAATTTATTAAAAGAATACCTTATTCTTGGACCCGATTATGATGGTAGAGCAATATAACTTCCAGGTCCAATTTCTTTAAATTTAGAAATTGTTGGATCACTTCTATTACTTAAACCCATAAAAGGAGTAGCAGTTTTTGGAACAGTATAATGATAAGGTGGTTTATAATTAGATTATGAGCCATATTTATAATCGTAATCAGGTTCATAATTGCCAGGAGAAGGATTTTAATTGATATTTTATTTTTCGTTTTTTTATCTCATAGAATATTTAGGACCTCCTAAAGTTGAAAATCCAATTTTTTCAATTTCTTCTTGTTTTTATTATTCAGTTTTTTCAGGAAGTTCAATGTTTTCCTCTTATGCTAATTCATATCTCTTTGCAACACCAAAACCATGTTAATTTTCAATAGGAATCTCTTTAGGTTTGATAGTGTCTGTATTTTATATATATTAACCAGGACCTGGTTTGAGTGTTGATTCTCTAGTGACCAAATCTTATCTTTTATCTTTAGGCATTGAGATGTATTTACTATTAGATGGCAATTTTTGATTATAAGCTAAGTATTAATAAATAGGTACTTCCAGGGCCAGGAACATAGAAATCTGATGTTTTAAAAGGAATGTATTTATGTCCAATACTAAACGCTTTTTTAACATTAACATTCTTAGGAGCATAGGCCCCAGGACCAGGAATTTCCGAAGATCTATAATATTACCTTTCACTTTTTGGGAATGATATAGTTAAGCCTTTGGGAAGTTCATTTGGTTGATATTATCCAGGACCAAGATCAATTGATTTAGGCAATACATTTTTAGGTGCTGAACCAAATCCAGTTTTTCTATGTTTAGTATCTTACCAACTTGTTGCAGTTCTAAATTAGCTGAAAGTTTCAGAATTGTAATATTTATCAGGTGAAGGTCCATCTTTTGTCCAATTAAAAGTTTCCTTATATCCAAATGATATGGGAGCTTAAGATTTCCCAGGTATATTTGGATTATAAGAACCAGGACTTTAATATATATCTATGCATATACCCTATAGGATCTTCTCTAAATTGTTGTTCTTTACCATTCACCCATGTAGGATGAGTGTCAATTTCCCCATTAGGTTTTATTTTGCCTAAAGAGGTTTGAATAGTAAATTAAGCCTTTTTTTTTTCTTATTATGTTTTGTCTGAAATATTTTTGATATTTTCTTCATCTAAAATAAGTTATTTATGAAGATTATATTATCCAACAGGAGGATTTGTTGACTTTATTGGTTTAATTCTGTCATCTCTAGGAAAATTAGATCTTGTAGATTTTTATTAACTTTGTCGTAATTTTTCAGTTATCCTAAGTGTCTCTTCAAATCTCTCACACATTGTAGCTTATTCTGTTTTTGATTAAACTTTATCATCTCTTTTCACCCAATCTGTTCGTTCAGATGAACCAAATGTATAAGCTCCTCCAAATTGATATCCTAAAGGTGTGTTCCCTTAAAAGTTCTAATCACTATTATTAAAAAACATAAAAATTATTCAAAATAAATAAATTATAAAAGAATTTATTTCATAAGTCTTCATCACTACTTTCTTCTTAAAGCTCTCTAGTATTTGTTGTATCCTATCGAGCAATTCCTTGTAAAAAATAAAAAATTTATGAAACTCTCGAAAACTATGTTCTATTTCTTGATAATGAGATTAAATCAATTAAATTTTCTTTTAATTATTATCTTTCCCTTAAAACATCATTATTTTTAGACTATTACTGAACATAAATCAATAATTCATGTGATATAGGATGAAACCTTAAACAGGTTATTTCTTTATTTTATTCTGAAACCTCAATTCAATATAATAATATACTTAGAGTATTTCAATAGGTTATTCTGATTTTTGTATATGCCATATAAACAATTTGCCAGAGTCTGTTCCTGCAGCAACCAAATAATTATTATACCCTCCATAATGATATTTAATTGACCTAATAAAACTATCTGAATTTGCATTTAATATTTTTATTATTTGTAGGGTCTAAATACTATATAAGTATAATTATGGTAAATAATCATTAACATATACAATTAATTATTCAAACGATTTATTCACCTAAGAATTAATATTAATTTAATTTTTTGTACTTGTTTAGATTATTAAATTCTTAGAATATAATTAATATAAGGTAATCTTATTTTAACTAACAATAAGCATCTGCTCTTTTTATTGATTACTATGTATATCAATAAGATTTTCTTCAATTTTTAAACCGCTTTTCCTTTCATTTTCATTCCATTCATATAACCATCCATCTGTTGAAATTGAATAAATATCATATTCATTATTTTGCTTCTTTCTTTATGGATCACATAAAACAAAATTAAAAGATTTCACTATAGCATTGTGGCCTTGAAGTCTATACTTCCTTTTGTTAATCAATTGATAAATAAATAAAGTATAATCCTCTGATGAACTGCCTATGTATTTATTACAAGGTGAGAATAATAAATTAGTAATTACTTTTGAGTGTACCTCTTATAATTTATCTATTTCTTTTATTGAATCATTATTATTGATTTCGTAAATTAAAATTGTTTGTCCAATAACCTAAGCCAAATATCCTCCATTGTCTGAAAAAGTACATATAGAAACATTTTTGTTTCTAATCTTGTGTTTAAATTACTAGTCGCAGATATGTTTTTATAAGATAGGATAATCCTATTATAGATGATTATGCCATTTGCATTCCAAAATCTCATTCGATTTTGCTTATTGGATTAAGGTTATTAATCTATTGGGTTCAAATAAACCTAATTCTTGGAAACAATGAGATATAATTTCATCAATAAGTTATTATTCTCCTTTTAATTTAAGATCCTATTGAAAAATCATTGAGCCATATAAGTATTTTTAATTTTCATCTAAGTATAATTCTTATATCCCATACCTTAACAAAATCTGGATATCTAATTCCTCAATATTTATACAGCTTCCTAATAATTTTGACTTAGGATAAGCTGAATATAGTGTTGTTCCAGGAGTAGAAGCATGCATTAATTTTTGGTCTAAGTGCCAACATATATGTCCAAAATTGACTCTAAGTCTTTAAAATTATATGATTTGATGGATTGGGTAATTCTAGACAAATTTGGTGGATCTAATTAAATTTGTGATTATTTTTGTAAGTTTTCAAATGTTTTATTGTAATTTGAGTATTTTAAGAATTAGAGAAAGAGTTTAATTTTATCTTCTCTGCTGCTCATTTTATATTTGATTAAAATTTTCTTTTTTTAATTGACATTAATAATGGATATCGTAGGAGTAAACTATAGTTTAATCATTAGAACGTGTTACCATAGGTTTTGAAGGATGAAGCTACAGAAGACAAAGGCGAGATGGCCAGATTGGTATTATTTGAGTTTAAAAATGTAAGTAAAGTTTTGTAGGCGCAATAGCAGTGGCTGATTTAGTAAAGACAACTTTAGGTCCAAAAGGAATGGTATGATATTTTTATTAAGAGATAGGATAAAATATTGAAACCTACAGGACCTGGTTAAGAGATGACTCATATCACTGTTACTAATGATGGTGCTACAATTTTAAAATCTATGTATGTTGAGAACCCAGCTGCTAAGATTCTAATTGAGATTAGCAAGACTCAAGATGAAGAAGTAGGAGATGGGACAACTACTGTAGCAGTATTGGCTGGTGAATTGTTAAGAGAAGGAGAGAAATTAATTTAAAAAAGAATTCATCCACAACATGTTATAGCAGGATGGAGAATAGCAAGAGATGTGGCATTAAAGAGATTAAGAGACATTTGTAATTATTTTAACAATCAAATATAGCAAGTGAAAATGATATTAAATCTTAAGAATTCCATAATGATTTAGTAAAGATTGCAAGAACAACTTTGAGTTCAAAATTAATCACATAAGACAGAGATTATTTTGCTGATTTGTGTGTCAAAGCAGTTTTGAGATTGAAGGGATCTTCTAATTTGGATTACATCTAAATTATTAAACTTCCAGGAGGAACTATTAGAGATTCATATTTAGATGATGGATTTATTCTTAAGAAATAAATAACTATAGGTTGTAAAAGAAGAATTGAAAATGCTAAAATCTTGGTTGCTAATACAGCCATGGATTATGATAAAATTAAGATTTATGGTACTAAAGTCAAAGTGAACTCTATGGACAAAGTAGCTGAAATTGAAGCAGCAGAAAAAGAAAAGATGAAAAATAAAGTTGATAAGATTCTTAAATATCAACCAACAGTCTTCGTAAATAGACAACTTATTTATAATTATCCTGAATAATTATTAGCTGATTCTAACATTACTGTTATTGAACATGCTGATTTTGAAGGTATGGAAAGAGTGGCTGCTGCTACAGGAGCAGAAATATTGTCAACATTCGATGCTCCTGAAAGAAGAGATTAAGTATTAGGACATTGTGATTTAATTGAAGAAATTATGATTGGAGAAGAAAAGGTATAATTATTATTATATATTTATAGATGATCAAATTCACAGGTTGCAAAAAGAATGAAGCTTGCACAATAGTATTAAGAGGTTCTTCCATTCATATTTTGGATGAAGTAGATAGATCAATTCATGATGTTTTATGTGTTTTAACTACAACAGTCAAAAATAGAAGAGTTGTTTGGGGAGGTGGTAATTCAGAAATGCAAATGGCAGCTGCATGTGAAGAAGAAGCCAAGAAAGTTTAAGGAAAATAAGCTTTAGCTATAGAGGCATATGCTAGAGCCTTGAGATAGATTCCTACAATCATCTGTGATAATGGAGGTATTAATATAGATTCATTAAAAATTAGGATATGATTCAGCTGAATTAATTTAAAATTTCAATGTGGAATTATAAAAAGGTAATTTAACATCTGGATTAAATATGAATGATGGAACCATTGGAGACATGTAAGAATTAGGAGTTAAAGAGTGTATGAGAGTTAAAGAATAAGCAGTAATGGCAGCTAGTGAAGCAGCTGAATTAATTATGAGAGTGGATGATATTGTAAAATGTGCACCAAGAAAAAGAGATAGAGCATGATATTTATTTATTAAGTATTTAATAAGATTAAATTATACAGCTAAATATAATGTAAGGATCTAAAATCAATACTCAATTTCATAATTTAGAAGACTTTGGAGTGCTTGAAGAAGTAGGTGGTTTACTCAATCTAGCTGATGATTAGTTAGAAACAATCATAAGATTGTTAATTGAAGGTTGTTATTGACTACTATCATAATCATAAACTTTAAATAAATCTTAAAAAAGATTAATTAAAATATACCTTATATTGAATTACGTCTTAACAATATTTATTATTCTTAATTAAGTGAATCCTCTGAATCCTTCCTACCATCTGAGGGTAAATAATTATCTTCATTGCACTAGCTCAAATTTATTAATATTGTACATTTGGAATAAATGGAGCAATCATAATTTTGTTCTCCAATTTTTACCAATTAAAATCTTTGAACCAAGGGTGTTCTTTAACTTCATCAGGACCATTTGAACCTAAACGATTTTAGGGTTTTCTTTAAAGTAACTAATTTTTAAATATAATAACATTTACTTAATTAGCAAAATCTCCTGCTTATATATTCCATCCTGGAGGAATTTCTTGTCTCTTTATAGCTGCCTATTTGGATAACATTTATTCTCTTATTTCTTATCTACTCCTTCCTAAATATGGTCTTCTTCCCAACATACACTCAAAAACTATAACACCCAAAGCAAAATAATCCACTGCTATTCCATGATTATGACGACACATAACTTCAGGAGCCATATAACCTGGTGTTCCACTAGTATCTGATGAATTCTCTGGTTTCCATATTCTTGCTATACCCAAATCTGTTAATCTTAAATAACCTCACTATAATATTTAAAACAATTACCACTACTATCAAAAACCAAATTCTCTGGCTTTAAATCTCTATGTAGTATCCCATTCTAATGTAAATATTCAAGTGCTATTATGATGCAAGCAGCAAAAAATTCTAATTCAAATTTTCAAACTGTACTTGTTTATTCTTCATTAAATCTTCTTAACCTTCCTATATGAAATCTCAAATCTCCTCCTGTTAACAAATCCATTACTAAATATAAATACTCTTTATCTTAAAAAGCACTTTGCATATTAATCAAAAATCTTAAAATCACAATATAACATTATATGTACCCATGTCTTAAATTACTAAGCAATTATCTCTCATTTATAACAGACTAAACTGACTTCTTTTGTATGATTCTCAAAATATAAACTATTTTTAAATACTTTGCTTTCGACATTACTTTCAATGCATAAAACAATTTGTTTTTCTTTTTTTTCACCTTCCACACTTTACCAAATCCACCTCTACCTATTGCATCAATAAATTAAAAGTTTGATATAGAGGTAACTTAGAATATTAAGAATAAGTACTATTGCTTTCAAGCTAATCCTCTTGTTTCTCATTAATATTACAATTTCCCATAAAATTATTATAAATTAATTAGAAGCTCTATTCATCTACTACTTCTTTATTAAAAACGAATTAAATTAATATTTTATGATTCTATTTTCAGCTATTTCAAAAGGATCTCTTATTTTATGTGAATATACTGAATCAAATGAAGATTTCTAGTCTTTAATTTAGAAATAGCTCAAATTCATTAAAAATAAAGAAGAGAAACAATAATTTCAAATTGTATTTCAATTCTTTATTTTAAACCTAGAATGACTACACGTTATACCATTTACAAAAAAACCAATATAATTTTATGTGTATATTGCAACAACCCTAAAATAATAATGTTGAAGATTAATAAAAATTTGCCTACCGATTCCTTTAAGACATTTCAGACAAATTTTTATTAATGACTTAGTGTAAATTTAATAATTTAACATAAGCTTAAGGAATAGACAAGGGGCAATTCACAAAGGTTATAGCAGAAATTATGGATTAATACAATTCAAAAACTGAAAACCACGTTGGCCAATTAAAACAAGAAATTTAAGAGTAAATAAAAATATATTTATAGAATAAAAATGCAATAAGAAATTAATACACAAAATGTCTATTAGAAAGATTAAGACAATGTTAAAAAAGAACAATTTGGTTACAGTGTTTATACCTGTAAATCTATCTTCTTTGTTATTAATCTAATTCTAGCTGGAATACTTGTTGAATTATTTTCTAAATTTGATAAATATTTATGAGTTTGTGTCTAAAGTGCTCTATACCAATTAAAAATTTTTATTCTAAATTATGATGGTCAAACTTAAATACATACTGAATTTAATGATTGCCATTATCTTTAAATCAAAATTCAATACTAAAACAAAAAATCTAAAATTAATACTATTTCGCTTTATCAAAAATTTGAAAAAAATGAAAATAAAATATATATTAATATAAATGACACTACATAAAAATAGATATATGTATTATGATAGGGATTGTATATGAAAAGGCTCCAATGATAAGCTAAATAAAATAACAGACATTAACAACTTAGTTGAAATAGTGGTAAAAAGTATCTATTTATAGTTATAGAAAATTATTTGATATTTAAAAATAGAAGGAGTTGAATTAGGATTATTTGAAATCGAAATAACCACAATGAAAGATTTTTAGCATTCATATATTTAGAAAAATTATCTATAACCTTAAATTACCTCCTATAATATCATAATAAGATAAAATTAAGAAATAGGTTATTATTTTAGAATTGTTCAATCATGTTATATATAAATTGATTATATATAAATATGGACCTGAATCTCTTGATGTTTGAAAAAATGAATTATTTATTTGATTACATTGTTTTAATATTGCTGGAAAAGTCAATATTAAGGACAAATAATATTTGTTTTATAATTTAGAACTCAAATTAATGAAGCACTTGAAATTACCATTGTAATCTCTTATACTGCCAAATGTTACTTATATTGAATTGAAGTTATGGGTTGTGATTTAGTTTATGAATAATAACCCTGTTTCAATAGAGTAGTTAATGAAAAATACTTAATAGCAGCACATCCAGATAAAAATTATAATAGATAAATTTGTTTCAGGTTCATAATCTAATTCATAATCTGACAAAAAAACAAGAAAGAGCTATTGTATTATAATAATTAAAAAGTATTAAATAATTACACATAATTAAATAGAACTAGTGGAATCAATAAATTTATTAAAATAATAGTAGTAAATTAGAATTCAATAAATTCTAAAATATTAATAAAATAATTGATAGAAATAGATTTAGTAAACAAATCAATTAGTTATGGAATTTCATTTTAATATTTTCAGTAAATATTTTAGTGATATATAAGTATTTGCAATTATACAAAAATTATCAAACAATAGTCTTATTGTAGGACGATCTCAAACGATAGTTTTTTAATAAAGATTCTTTATCAACTTTTTGTTATAGAGACTTATTTATCTAGATAGTATAGCCATTAATTAATGGACTGAACATTTTATTAGGTTTAATTTGATTATGATTTTTTTATATGAATTTATAGTAATCTGACCATGAAAATGGTTCTTTTTACTTTACTTAAACAATTTATTTGATTTTCTTTTAGTTTGCTGATACTTTTAAACTAATTTGCTTAAAATTATTATTATATTAAATTGGAGGATTTTTATTTATTTATAAGCTCTTCATTTTATCAACTATTCTTTTATATGTGGTTGTTTAATTTGAAAATCCTAAGTCTTAAAATTATGTATGACAACTTCCAGCTCTATCATGTAATGGAAGAGTAACTTGAACTATTTATTAAGTTTCATTTGAACGTTGTCTACTTTAAGTTCGAGATTAAGGAAGCTTAATTTTTATTAATCTAGTTTTTCTTTCTTATTATTGTTCTTCTTTCATTTTTGGAGATAATTAGAGAAAATTATCTTGATTTTCATCCCAAGGTTCTACAAAAAAATCTTTTTCATAATAAGAAGATTTATGTCTTATGGGTTTTATAAATTCAATTCCTGAATCGAGATTAAGAAGATTAGTTTTAGGGTCTTCTTAATTTTATTATTCATTTTCTAACATTTAATTATTAATTGATTGAGAAATAAGAGTAACATATTGTTTATTCTTATTTAGTAATATTCAAAAGAAAAAAGAAATGGATTACATATAAATATTGAAATTGAGTGTTAGAATATTTTTATAATTATTTATTATGTTTTTATGGAGATAAAATTAATGATAGCAATGTAAGTTAAAGACTATCAAATAAGAAACTATTATATGTGATTCAATCTTTTTCATTATTGGATTATTAGTAATTCAATGATTTATTGCACTAAACCATTTTTACTAAGAAACAAAATATTAAAATACATTAATAATACTGTAATAACTATATCTATTGGATTATAGGATATATTTTATCTTTTTTCAATAATATTAAGGGAAATAATGATGACTATGAGAATTAGATTTAGTTAATTAACATTAATATTATTGCCATCACCTATCTTATTTTAAATGTATCACAAATTCTAAAATATATGTACTATTCTCAAGGATTTTTTTAAGTGTTTTTGAATACTTTGGTATTATCAATATCTATTCAATTTAAGGCACTATGATATCTATTATATTGTCTAATTATTATTATTTTAATTCTTTAATGAAATATTATCAAGATAATAAATTTGATATAATTAATGATTGAAAATAATAAATTATTATTTTATCATAAAATTTCTAGATATTACTAAATTTGTAGATGAATTTCTAAGCATTCATATGCTATGGTTTTGTGAATTAAGATAAGCTATTGTACATGCACTCTCAATATAAATCATCTTAATATATGGTTCAGTACTCTTAACTATTTCTATTGTGATTATCTTGATTAATGTATTGTTTAAATAATATTTATATCTATCTTTAAGAAGTGATGCTATATTAGATAGAAAATAAACATAACTACAATTTTATAGAGAATTAAGAAGTTGATGATCAACAAAATTAAAAGTATCTTCATATTTATTAATGAAGGAATCATTTAAATTGATTATCTATTTATCTAACTATGTCTTTTGGAAAATAAGGATTAAGAAGTATCTTTATGTATAAATATAGTTAAATTAGAAAATTGGGTATAGGAAGTTGAATTTAACAATTTAAGATAAGGATGTTAATCTTTTTTGTATTTATTTTATTATTTATTCATTTACATTATTGTAATTATGTTTCAGACTTTATTTTTTATAAATAATGATTCATGGTCCTAATTCTTAATTTTCTGGTGCTTTCACTATAGGCAAAAGATATGAATGTAATTTATAATTTAATCTTAGGTGCCATATACTAAACCAATCCAAATCCTGGGTATCATATTTATTCACATTAGACCAAATCATTATTCAGTCAATCCTATAGATAAACCTACAGGATATAAATTTTCTAAATCTAGCAGAAAACCACTTTATTAATCTACAATAGCTCCTGATCCTGGAACATATGAGAATAAAATATAAGTAATTATTAGTATAACTTATTTAGGCTATCTTACCTCATACATCTTCAGTTAGATTTACTAAAGCAAAGGAGACTTCTCCTAAAGAAACTGAGATAGGCCCAGGATCATATAATTTATCTGATTAAAAAAAAGCACCAGCATTTACTTTTTAAAGTAGATTTGATTCAATTGGAAGTGAAATCATGAAAACTCCTGGTCCTGGAAATTATGAATTAGAGCATATTCATACTTAAAAGCCTTAAAATAAAGGATTTTCTACTAGTTAAAGAACAAATATACTTTTATCAAATCATCCTGGACCTGGTTCTTATGAAATAGAAATACCAAAGTTTTCAACTAAAATTAAGTAATCTTTAGCGATGTATCAAAAAGATTTCCAAAATCATAACGTAGTATGGATTGGAGTCATGTTGGACCAGGTCCAGGAGCATTTGATCTTAATTTACCAAAATAATAAGGCATTACATTTGGAAGCAAAAGGAATTAATAAATTGATAGAGCAAATGTACCAGGACCAGGTAGTTATGATCCAGATGTATTAGATGGAAAATTTAAAAGTATTAAAGGAGCTAAGTATATATTTTATTATTATTTGAAGAATAGGAAAATCTGAGAGAAGTAGTTAAAATTTCTCAAAAATTGGTCCATCTCCACTTGATTATGATGTTTCTAATTATAAATATCCTACCAGACATGCAAGGTTTTGACTTGGATCTATAAATAATTGTAGTTTTAATAAAGCAATGAGACCATCGATGATATCTACAGAAAGAACACCAGGACCAGGATCATATATTATAGATTCAAAATTAAAAAAGAATGGGGCTATAATTCCAAAAGCCTCTAAAGATTAAATTAATTTGGAACATTTACCAGTTATGATATATATTTATATTAGGGACCTGGAAGATATAATCCTAATGATTCAATGACTTCTAATAAAGGACCTAGTTATCATATTGCTAAAAAATATGATAAACCTTAAGAATCAAGTTTACTTGGGCCTGGCAGATATAATATTATAAGAGATGTTAATGATGGGCCAAAATATACTTTCCCTACTCTTGAAAAGAGCATGGAGAAAAAGTCAATAGATTTAAATCAGTAAGATTCAAAAAATAAAATAGATCACATTGTTATGAAATTTAGTAAACCATTGGATATATTCCTTAGTATGCTCTTCATAATTGATTTATATTATATTCAATTAAAATTAATTTATTTTTAAATGAAAAAATAGCAAAATTATTTAAGTTTTCCAAAATTTTATAACAAAATTTAAATATAATTTTGTAAAAAGCAAAACCTTAACATTTTTATAATTTGTACTTTAGATCAAATGAGAAATGATTAAATGTGGAAATATGTTAAGAGAAATGTTAAAGTTATGATACATTAGTTTATTGATAAATATAATAAATATATATATTAATTTAATGATTACTAATACTAATGGGATTGCAGAATCAATATATCACTATATTTGGTTAAAAGATGATTCTTTAATTAAAGAGTCATTTCAATTGAGATTGCCAGATACAATATTATTTAAGAATGGAATGCCATAAGTTTGGTATTTTACAAATTAATAAGGTGAAATCCTTATGAAGAAGAATGATTGTCGTAAACCTGAAAATATCATTAATCATTTTTGCAATAATAGCAAATAAAATGGATAAGTTATTGCATATTATATTTACAATAGCAAATATAATGTAAAAGATCCAATCAATGATCCTCATGAGATTTAAAAATCTAAACAATTTGATTTAAATGAGAAAATCTGCATCTATTATTTGACCAAAGAAACATTTCCATAATTTATTAAAAATAATAATAAGGCTCCTGAAGGAATACTTTAAAAATTTATTGATCCTATTGCTAATCATGAACAATTAATATAGGCTATTTGGAGTCCTTCTGTTTGCATTCTTTCAAAAAAGTAAAATAATAGAGATCTTTATGATATGCAATTTGATCCTTATGGTAAATAGTAATAATATTAAAATTATAGAGAGATGTGCAACATTTGATGGTTGTGAAGCATATTCAAAGGTGATTCCTTTGAGAGGCAAACAAATTTCACAAGAGATAAGAAAGTAATGTTAGATGATAATTTAAAAATTGACTAATTTAAGTTATGGTTAAACAAACATTTCTAGAGTTGTAATGTACTTTAAACCAGATAAGTAGAATCATGTTTGGTTTTTATATTGTACATCTATTCGATTGTAAGGAGAATCTGATGAATAAATTTAGTAATATAAATCAATATGGGGTAACTCAAATATTAAAAAGAATAATACACCAATATCTTTTAATACTAATTTTAAAAGACCACATTAAATTAAAAATGTATTAACTGTAAATACTATGCATCCAGTCACTTTAATTAAAAATATAGAGTGTGTTGAATGTGGATCATTTTGTTAAAAGGATGATTTATATAATTTGGCTTATGAATTCATCATTAAACATTTTGAATTAAATCCAAATTCTAATCCAATAATTAATGAAAATATCTTAATTCTTAAACCAAAATCCTTTTTTGTAAGTTAAGATCATATTAGAGATATACATTCTCATATACCTCCACTTATTATTAAACTTTATCCATAAATTACTGTAGCTCTATATGAATAAATGAAAGTTAATGATGCTTTCTTAATAAAAAATATATTAGTTTGTGAATCTTGTTTTCTTAAATATAGTTGTTCTAATTCAACATTATCAGGTGCAAATTAGAGAGTGGTTAAATAAAAGAATATGGCAGTTAGATTGAAGAGTGCCAGTATATTATAAAGGAAACCAGAAATCAAGGAATATTTGTTTTAATAAAATTTAGATCTTATTTAATAAAGAAAAGAAACATTTTTAAAATCTAATAGTAACAAACAATTATTTAATAGTAATTCTTAATTCTCAACTGTATTAAATACTAATTCAGCCTCTCATAAATATAAATTGTCACTTGAAAGTAATTTTGATCAAATAAGTTTTTAATTAAATACTGCTAGATGATATTATAATAATTAAATCATTAATAATATCATTCATAAATTCTCATTTACTTTTATAATTTCTTATTTTTGTTAATATGAATTCTATTTTAAATGATTCCTTTAGAATTAGAAATTTCTAAAAATTTTTAATTATTCTATATACATTATAATTATAATTAACAACAAAATTGTATATTGATATTAAATTGTTTCAAAAAAATAAAGAAAGAAATTTAGTTATAATGATAATTATATATACACAAATTTGTAAATTTGGTTCTTTAATTATCAGAGTACTCAAGTGTTTTATTAATATATATTAAATATTACGTGATCAAATATTAGCTTTTAATTAATTAATTGGTCATATATACATATTAAATAGAGAAAGATAGCTTTGAATAAATAAATATAATTATAATATAGCTAAGATGTCAGCAGAGAGCATTGAAAGATAGAAATTTGCTAAATTTAATGAAGAATAAGTTCTTGATAATTAAGATTAGTCAACAACAACTTAGTTTAAATAAAGTAGTAATGCTCTTTCTACAACTTCTGCTTTTACTGAAAACAATTGTAAGATCAAACCAATTAAAACTTAAAGTATTTTTAAAATATATCAAAAATAGGAAGTCTCTTGACTCTCACTCCATAAATCAGTTAAAGAAGAGGTTCTCAATCATTAGCAGATTAGACTATTAGAAATGAAGATAGTGTACATATAATTTTCAAATATTAGCATTTTGTTTAAAATCATTATGAAAAATAATGTCGCTATATGATTTATTGGTATGACTCAAATATTGATCATAAATATGAGATTCCAATCAAAACTAATTGTATTTAAATAACAATTGGAGATCTAATTTAGCTTGCAATAGCTTAATTTAATGAATAAAATGAATATTTACAAACTCCATTTTCATCAGATGTAAATAATTAATATTTATATGAATTGTATATTCCAAAAAAGAAAAAAGGAACTCCTAATGAAGATTTTCCATGTAATTATTTATATAAATTTTTAGCCTTTGCCAATTCAACTATGCTATCTTAAACAAATCAAACAGAGTTTTCACTTAAAGTTACTTTAAAATAATCAAAATATTCAACAAGTCTTTCCAATTCCAAACACTCTTCAGCAATTAAGCAAAATGAAAAATAAGGAGTAGGTTCTAAAAATTCTAGTTCAAAGAAGAAAAACCTATTTCAGAAACTATTTTTTTGTTGTAATTAGACAGAAGAGTATTGAAATGGTTCGAAGGTTAAACTGTTTAATGCTTATAATATTTAACAAATTAATAAGAATTCATTAATTTGATTTTTTAAATCTCAATGTATAATAGTTTTCTATTGATTTAATTGATTCCTTCTAGTTTTTGGAACTTAATCTCTTTATTAGTTCTATACTCATTTAAATAAAATTGTTAAAAAATACTTTAATTAAAATTTAAATAGATAAAAGCAATTTGAGAAATGTAAAAATATTAATTACTTATAATTCTTAAAATGGAATAATAGATATGCCAATATAGAAAAAAGATATTTATATTAGAATTATTTTTTATAATGAATTTAATAATAAACTAAGATTTTAAGTAAAATTTTCATATTAAGGTACAAAAAATACAATTTTATCCATTTATTAAATCTCCATAATATTGAATCATCTCAAATTAAACATATATTTATGAATTTTTGTATAAAATATTATATAATTCATTATATGTTATATTTTATTAGTTTAAGCTTTTCATTTTATCCTTCTTTAATTTGATACATTATTCAATATAAAAATAATTTTAATTAATTATATCAATTGTATTTCTTTATTAATTGAATTGTACAATAGATAAATTAAATTCCAAATCCTTTCAATTATTGTTGAATAGTTATATTATTTATTTAATTTTTATATAATCATTTCTATTTATTTATTAAAAAACTGAATTATTATAATGAGGGCGAGTGACTCACTTTATTTATAATCTCAGTAATTGAAAATAATATTTAAATATTTTATTAAAATAATATATGAATCAGACTTTAAGATCACCTTAAAGAAAGTTAGATGGTATTTACTATTAATAATTAAAGGGCCAATAGTTAAATTACGAATGAGAAAAATACTTGATATTAGTAAAATACGAAAAGAGGAAGAATAATTTTAATGCATGTTAGATTCATATGAAATAGATTAAAGGTATCATGAAAGCTATTTAAAGTGTTTCTTTTTAGGACAGAACCTTTTATAACAGAACTTTCAGATCTACTTCAAGAAGCATTAAAAAAATGGAGGATAAAAAAATATCTGAAGAATATACTTTATATGGCTTCTCTCGAATTAAAACTGATAGGACTCCTTTATTATTAATTAGTAGGAAATAAAAAAGAATTCAACCTACAATTGATGAAGATAAGGATGTTAGTAATTAAGAATGGTTTGAAAAATGTAAATAAATGGACCCACCTTAAGCCAAAGCTTAATTTTATGATAAGGTTACTAAGTAAATTATATATTAAAATAAGTTCATACATATGGTATGATGTTATAGTATTGGACTATGTGTAAGAGACAAAAAAATTCTCAGTTTAAAAATACCCAGAAGGATAAACAAAAAATGTTACTAGATTGTCTATTAAGTTTTATAATTAAAATTAAGATCTTTTTTAATAAGCTCAAAAAGAAAAGTATTAAAACAAAATATCAATTTAGAATCTAATTTCGATCTTAAAGAAAAATTGAGTTAAAAAAAATTTAAGATATAATAAATGTTAATGATGTAGAAGTTAATAAGCTCCCAGAAACTTTAAGATTTAGATTCATAAGAAAATTTTATTAAAAAGATCGTTATGGTTTATTATCTAAACTTTTAGAGGAAGTGAATTAAATTTATACTTTTGATATGAAAAAATGTGTATTTTATAAGGATTTGCAGAAATATAAATAAGTATATTGTCCTTTGCCAAAGTTTTAATTTTACCAAAAGTTTTAGTAATAAATTGAAAATAACTAATCATTTATGCAATAAATAACAATTTAAGTATGGTAAGTAATGAATTAACGTTGTTTAAAGTTTAATTTTTAAATAATAGATTTAAATGAGTTATAATTACCAATCGTTAATACAGTTTTCTAAGAATATTGTTAAAAAAATATCAAAAGTTATATTTATTAAATCAATTTGCAACGAAAGTACAAAAAATCAGAAATTTAAGATGTTTTATAAAAAAAATATAATTTCTTAGTTAAAGATTAAAATGCATATCATTAAAGTCCTTTACATAGAATATTAAGAAGACTTGATTTAGTTTATGCAGATTTTTTAAAACATTAATTAATGATTAATACAGAAACTATTTTTAATATTTATTAGAAATTTATTCTAAAGCCTAATGATACTTATTATGTTAATACATCAACATTTTTAGTATTAGAGTTACATGTTAAGGTATTAAAATAAACAAAGTCAAAAAAATAAGTTGCAAAGAAGATGGAAAGATTAACAAAATAATCATTTAGAGAGAAAGAATAAGAAATATAAAAAGAAGAGATTGAATATGATGAAGAAATTAGTATAAATTTATCTGAAACTGAAATTATTGAACTATTAACTTTTCCTTAATAATAATTAATTGAATAAATTAGTAGAGTAAATAAAATGGAAGGTGATATAATGACATTATTATTATTAAAAAATGAATTAGTCTTAACACCAACTGATATAGAATATTAAATATAATAGATTGAACCAACAATAGAATTTATAAAGGTTGAGTATAATAAATGTAAATAAGAACTTATTAAATTTAAAAAATTTGAATTTATTTTAAAAAAATTTAGAACTGCTGAAGTTAATGAACTTTTAGGAATACATACAAAAAGAGTTCCACTATCTTAATTAAATTTTGATGATATTGATGAAAAAATTAAAAGTTTAGAATAAGCCAAAAAGGAAATTATCAAAATATCATTTGATTCAGTAAAATTAGGTTTATTCACTTTAAAATTAAAAGGAATTAAAGAATTTCTAATAAATAGAGCTGAAGAATAAAAGAAAATGATTATGAATAGAATTCATGAAGTTATTTTATTCAATATAAAAAACATAGGAGAATAATATGAAGAAGCTTATAAAAAAGGATCACATATTCCAGACACAGAATAAGAATTAATAGACTTAAAATTAATGTTAGATGAAATTAATGTTTAATTTGGGAAGTTACGTTTTGAAATTAGTTAAATGTAAAACTTAATAATTTAAATTTAGCATGAAATATGTTAATATATTTGAAGATAATTATTTTGAATATGATAACAAAATTATTGAATCATATTATCATCTTTTATATAAACCAAAAGATATTACTCAAATTATTCATTCAAATAAAGATGTTATTTAGGTTAAGGAGAAAGAGTTTTTAAAGCGTTTAAAATAAGATGAATAAGATTTTAAAGAAACTATGTTTGAGATAGCAGAATTATTTAATTAAATTAAATAATTTAATGATTATAGTTAAATTAAGACTTATCTTCCTTAAGTTAATCAATTAACTAGATCATTCAATTATGCTAAGGATTAAATTAGTAGTTTTAATATTCGCTAATAAATGCTCTCCATGCAATTAACCAATTAGGCCGAATTAGATAACATAATATTTTAATTCAAGCCATATGAAAAGTTGTGGACTTTAGTGGTATACATCTCCAACTTATGTATTAGAGTAAATTCGAGTCCTAAAAGGAAAAATGGATTAGTGGATCCTTCAAATCATTGAACTATTAGGATATGATTTGGAAGATAAATTAATTTGCTAGTGAGATAGGATCAATGAGTGCCAATTTTGAAGGTGAGAATGAAAATTTGATAAACTTATTAAAAGGATTTCGAAAAGCTTTGGATTCTCTAAAAGACATCTTATGGGTAGTTGAGGCTTTAGCAATAGAGGCATTTACAAAAAAACCTTAATTTTGGAGAGAATTATTTAGGGAGTGCAAGATTAGTAATTTCGATCCAAAAGATGATTTTCCTTTTTTTGTTTTATTAAACAGAGGGATATTGAATTATAAAGAATAAGTGATTTAAATATCAATTAGAGCAGAAAAAGGATGGAATATTGAAAAAAGATTATAAGAGATGCATGATAAATTAAGTTAAGTTGTATTAGAAGTGAGTCCATATAGAGAAACATTTATATTTAAAAATTTAGATGAAATATAAGTAGTTCTAGATGAATAATTCAGTGTATTGACAATTCTAAAAGCATAACCTCATATTAAGTTATCTGTTGGATAAGCTAATTAATTGGAATATAAAATATTATTAGTATAAGATACATTAGATTTTGGTATGAAATGTTAAAAATAATGGATGTATTTAGATCCAATCTTTTCAAGTGAAGATATATAAACAAAATTAGTAGAAGAGACTAAGAATTTTAAATTTGTTGATCAAGCATTTAGAAATTGCATGAAAGAATTTAAGAAGGAACCTATTTTATGGGAATGTGTTGATAGTGATAAAATGAAAGTTGATTTTAGTAATGGAGTATTGTTATTAGATTAAATTTAAAAGAGTTTAACTATATATTTAGAATAGAAGAGAATAGTATTCCCAAGATTTTATTTTGTTTCAGATGAAGAATTAGTTTAAATACTATCTTAAACTAAAGATCCAACTTAAATATAAAATCATATTTATAAATGTTTTGAAGCTATGCATAAATTATAGTTCTCTGTAACTAATGCAATTACTGGATTTCAATCTACTTAAGAAGAGAAAATTTAATTATTCTAAGATGTTAAAGTTATGGAAGGTACAAGAAAGGGAAATGTTGAATTATGGTTATTAGATTTATAAAATGAAATGAGAACAGCTATTAAAAATTATTCTTATTAAACTTGGCTTGATTTAATATCTACAAAATAAGAATTTATTGCAAAATGGCCTGCTTAATGTATTTTATTAGCAAATCATATAAGATGGACTCGTAATACTGAATCAGCTATAAGAGGTTAATAAAAATTAAATTTGGGAATATTTTGTGAATAATTAAACAAGGAATTACATGAAACTGTATAATTGGTAAGAAAAGAAAATAGATTAATTCCTAAAACTATATTAGAAGCTATGGTTGTTATGGAAGTACATGCTAAAGATATAGTACAATCTTTATATAAATAAAATGTCTAAACTATTTTTGAGTTTGCATGGATATCATAATTAAGATATTACAATGAAGAAAATAAGAAT